AGGAGATCCATGAGCGCGTCAAACTGCGGGCAGTAGCCCATGAGCCGGCGCACCTCGATCTGCTGCGAGAGAATGTCAAAGCCGCCGAGCGTCGCCGTGCCCGAGGTCGGGAGCACGTCGCCCGTCATCATCTTCATCGTCGACGTCTTGCCAGCGCCGTTGATGCCGAGGTACCCAAAGCACTCGCCCTTGGGCAGCGCGAGCGCGATGTTGGAGACACCGACCTTGCCGCCCTTGTACACCTTGCGGAGGTTGCGCATGACGACGGCGTCGTTGTCGGCGCGACCGCTGTTGACGCGATCTGCCTCGGCTTGGACGTCAACGTCAATGTCCACCGGCGCGTCGACGATGACCGGGTCCTTGGAGAGCTTGGCCTTGATCTTGGGAAAGCTGAGCGCATAGTCAATGCCAATCGCAAGAATCGGGAAGAGCACGGCTTCGATGGCGAGGTACATGATTTCGTAGCCAGCGACGTCCGTGCTAAAGGCAGACGTGTCGGGCGCCTTGGTGCCGACGGTCGACTCGATCGTGTAGCTACTGAGCGCGTTGAGGCCACCGCCGATGCAGTAGAGCGGCGAGAGGCGCCATAAAAACTTGAGTGTTTCGTTGGCCGTCTTGGTCGACTCGACAACGTCGAGGACAACCGAGACTGTGATGAGCACCGTGCCAAAGCCGATGTTGGTCATGATCGTGTACGTCTGCGACGACGCGGGGTCCGAGAAGAGGTACGAGAGGCAGTAGCAGAACGAACAAAGGGCGGGGCCCAAAAGCACAAAGAGCGCGATCACAGCACCAAACGGGTTCGCCGCGCACCCAAAGCAGTCGTTGCCCGTGAAGGGCGTGATGTCGAAGAGGTAGATCGCAACGAGACCAAAGACGCACGGCACGATGTAGAGGAGGACGTCCCAGGCAAAGTTGGCGAGCCAGAACGCCGGGAGACTTACGCCCGACACGAGCTGCTGGTGCTTGGAGTTGTGCGAGTGGTGCTTCTCGTTGACGAGGTACGGGACGATCGACGCCGTGAAGAAGGCGAACGCAAGCACGACAAAGATCGACGTCGCAAATGACATGAACGTCGTGAAGAGTGTCTTGGTCATCGCCGTCAGCGGCAGCGGGTGGCTCGTCACCTTGAGCGTGATGCCAGGCTGCTGCGTGAAAAGCTGGTAGAGCGTCTCATCGATCGCCGCCTTGTAGTTGGGTGCTGCGTGCACAGCCGTCGTGTTGACCAAGACGTTGTAGCCGTACGTGTTGTCGACGGACGACGCCTGGAGCACGTAGCCGCCATACTGACCGAGCACCGGCGACGCACCGGCCCCGCCGTAGCCACGCTGGTAAACCTCGTAGCCAGTGGCGAGGCACGTGCCAGTCGTGTCGTTGGCTGCGATCGCCGGGTTGGTGTACGTGATACCAAACACAGTCGGGTTGTTGGTCGAGTACGCAGGCGTCGGCACCGAGAGGAGCGAGACCTTGCCGGCCGCGTAGGCCGCTGGGAACGCCGCGCACCACGCCGCGTCGCCTTGGCACGTCACAGGCACCGGCGTCACACTGCCGTAGCTCTGCAGGTTCATGTTGATTGGGTCGTCGTCCTTGGAGAGCGAGCTAAACTTGAGAATGCTCATCCCGAGCACGACAAAGATGACGGGCAGCACGGCACCAAACACGACAATCTTCTTGTCCCGCTTGGCCGTGCGGAAACGCTTCTTGAAGAGCGCGACAAAGTGGCGGCCAAACATGCGAAGCCGGCTCGGCGGCGCTTCGGCCGTGTTGATCTTGTAGCCAGCAGGCGAGAGGAGCGGGCTCGCGTCGTTGCGGGGCTGGAGCGTGTGCTGCTGGTGCTCGTCGCCGATTTCCGCCACCTTGATGAAGACCTCTTCCAGCGTCGTGACCGAGATACCGTACGAGAGCACACCGAGCGCACTGCTCTGCACTTCCAGGTCCGCAAACATGGCCGCGAACGACGGCGCGTGGTCGAGCGGCAGCTGGAACGACATCTCTGTCCCGACGTTCGAGAGCACCTTGGCGACCGGAATGTGCGACTGGACAAACGCAATGAGCGCCGCCGTGTCGCACGTCTCGGTGCGGACGAGCGCAAAGTTGTAGCCGGCGCCGTACCGGTTCTTGAGAAAAAGCGACGAGCCGACGCAGCGCAGCTGCCCCTCGGCCATGATGGCGATCCGGTCGCCGAGGATATCGGCTTCGTCCATAAAATGCGTCGTGAGCACCACGATGCGGTTCATGCGGTTGTTCATGATGATTTCCCAGCTGGACCGGCGCGAGTACGGGTCCATGCCGGACGTCGGTTCGTCCAAGAAGACAATCTTGCTGTCACCAAGGAGTGCGATCGCCAGCGACAGCTTGCGCTTCATGCCACCCGAGAGCTCGCTCGACGCCACATGTCGCTTTTCCGTCAAGCCGACTTCGGCAATCTTGTCGGCGACTTCTTCCGTCAGCGCCTTGCCCGAGAAGCCCTTGATGCGACCGTAAAAGATGAGGTGCTCCTCGACCGTCAGCTCCGCGTAGAGCACGTCGTGCTGCGGACACATGCCCAGCGACTGGCGCAGCTCCGAGAGGTCGTTGCGCAACGAGAGGCCGTTGAAGGTCGCGTCGCCGCCCGACGCCGGAATCATGCCCGTGAGCATCGACATGAGCGTTGTCTTGCCCGCACCGTTGTGCCCAAGGAGACACGTGATCTGGTTCTTGTACATGGTGAGGTCGAGGCCGTGCACGGCAACCTTGGTGCCACCGGGCACCTTGAACTCGCGCCGAAGTTGGCGGATCTGGAGCGCTTCGCCGCTTGCCTCTTGCGCCTTGAGCTCCATGCCCACGGGCTCGATAGCGTCGTGGGCCGCACCCTCGACGTAGTCGACGTCGTCGAGGTTGACACTCGTGACAAGGCGCGCGACACGGCGGTTGCGCCAGTACGACGGCGAGAGGAAAAAGTACCACTTCTCCGTGACGCCATAGTCCTTCGGCACGACCTTCTCGAGGTAGAGGCCGAGAAGCGTATAGAGCACAATATCAAAGGCCATGAAATAGAGGCTCGTGATGAACCGAAAGTTCTCGTACGGCTCGTTGATGTTGCCAAACGTGATGCCAAGCGAGTTGGACTCGGCGCTCGCCATGGTCTGGACACCAAACGCCATGGCCACCGGCGAAAAGATGCACATGGCGTTCTTGGTCGACTCGGCGGTCGTCGCCGAGAAGCCGGACGTGATGAGGTACATGATGAAGAAGCCAATGATGCCGACGTACGTGCCGATGCGGGACTTGGAGAAGACCGACGACACCATAAAGCTGTACGCGAGAACGCTCCAGCCAAAGAGGAGGAAGAAGACGAAGACGAGCACGACATTGCAGTTGGAGAAGAGGTTGACTTTGCTCGCGACCGCTTGAAGGATCGCGGCCACGACAAAGATGGCGCCGTACGTGATGTACCACGACCAGATGATCGCGCGGTCATGGACGCCAAGAATCTTCATGAGCTCGCGCGACTTGTTCTCCTTCTCGGTGATGAGCGCGACGAGAATCGACGAGACCGAGAAGAGGTACGAGATGATGAAGATGATCGCGAAGAACGACGAGACGCTCGTATAGAACGGCGACGACGTGTAGCCCTGGATCGGAAACGGGTACACGGCTTGCCCCAAGTACGGCTGCGGCGCCTGGCGCAATGGCACCAAGAGCGCTTGCTTGGCCGTCGGAGGCACCGCACTCCAGTCGACGATTGGCAGCGAGGCGCGACCCAGAAGCTGGTTGATCTGCTGCAAGAGCGTGTCGTTTTGGATGTGGCCAAACAACCGCGCATCCAGGCCCGAGGACGCAACCGCGGTCGCCTTGGCGTTCGAGCAGTTGCCCGGCGCGCCGTTCTTGTACGTTGGCTGGCACAAGGCGAAGCGCGTCACGAGCGTCTGCAGCGTGAGAAAGCCCCGCGTCGTGTAGCGCTGGTAGTCTTTCGTTTCAATCGACTTTTGAAGCGCGTTCGTATTGGCGACATTGGTGCGCGGGATGTCACCGGGGTTGCCGTTGTCGTCCATGGTCGAGTTCATGCGAATAGCATAGTCGAGCGAGACGGCTGACCCGATCTGGGCCTCGGACACACTCGAGTGGAAGACGAGGGCCGAGTGAATGCGCGGGTGGGCCAGATCTTTGCCGTACAAATCATCTATTCCACGACAATGAGACTCCAGAGAGGGTCCATGATGGAGAGGTTGTACCAGTGACGTGGGCTTCGAGCGCGGCGGCGTCGGCGAAAAACTGAATCGAGTCGGCAAACGACGGCAGCGTCGTCGTGTTGGAGACGGCAACGGTGGGGTACCAGGCGGCGACCGTTTTGCAAAGTAGTTGCGCGTGAACGCCGTGTCGGGGACGACTGCGATCTTGTAGGGCACAATACGCCCACTGCACGCCGACGGAATGGCATTCGGCGACGCTTGGTCCAAGTTGACTTTGCCCTCAAGCAGGAACGCCGCGCACGAGACGTTTTGGGCCGCCGTAAAGTCGGCCATCGACGCCGACTCGGTAAATGCCTTGACCGAGAGGCTCCAAAGCAGGCCCGAGAACGTCGTCTCGGTCGTAAAGTAGCGCGGCCCGCGGCTCGCGTACAGGTTGTAGCCCGACCCCGTGTAGTCGTCGACGGATGTTGTATCGTCCGACCACCCGGACGGGACCTTGACGTCTTTCAAGAGCACCTTGAGGCCGCCGAGGAGGATGATAAAGGCCACGGGCACGAGGATCTCGAGCGCCCACTTGACCGGGTGCTTCTTCTTGAGCAGAAAATTCTTCCAAAGCAGCGGACGAATGTGGTTGCGCTGCACGGGCGGCGCAACCAGCATCGGCGGCTCCGAGTCGACTCGCATGATTGGAGGCATGTTTAGAAATGAGCTTATATCGATGCGAGATGGATCAAATGAGAACCCGAGCCCTTGACGCTTGCGTACTATTTATGTTGTGTATGGTATACAAATACCAAGTTATAGCGTGGCAGCAGGGGTGCCCATCCCCGTGATAAATTTACCTTTTCAAGAGTGTTGGTGGACAGGATCTCTATACAAACAACAAGATATCACTATGATTACGATTGATGTCGGGGCGGAAATCGACCAGCCTCCAGGACGTCGACGGCGGCGCTGGCGGCGGCGGCGCTGCGATAACTTAGATGACACCTTGTCCGAAGTGCCTTGGTTGATGGCTTTGGTGTGTACGACCATCGGCTCGTAGCGCCTTGTCGTCGTTCCGAAAGGCAGGCCTTGAAAGACGACACCGTTAGCGGTATGCTACCGTGACTTACGCCCAGATGATGTTCATGGAGATGCACGCGTGCTGCAATCATGTCCGCAAAGGATGTAAATACTTTTGAGCCAAATAAGTGAGGCTTCTACCCAATGGCTTCTACGTTGTCGCGCGAAGGATAGGAAGGAGGTGCGTGCTATTACGACGCCAAGCCGTTTCCGTTGTCGTTGCGGTGTCCTACGCCTAATTTTGCCAGCCCGAACGGCTCGCTTCGCCCTCCTAGCGAACTCTTCGTGCGGTCGAACGACCGCGGTACGTCGTCGTCCGACTTCCGCGTTGCCGCGGAGTCGCCGAGATGCGTGTCGGAGCATCGGTGATGTAGCATCATCCGCGCCACTCGATTCCCGTCGCACCGCATGTGACAGACCTCGTGCCAACACTTCCGTGGCTTCAACCAAGGAGATGTCATATACTCCCTTGCTTTAGCCAATACACTTGGTGAGCGCAACGCAGACGCATGCCTTCCGGTGGCTGGACACAGGCTCAATTTAGGCCAAACGGTTCGCGCCTCTGTGTTCCAACACTGTAGTGTAGCTATCCTCTCGTGCATAGGGACGGCGTTCGATATTTCGTACATTAGATCCCACGTGGTTTTTCGGACGACGTTGGAGCGCCAGCGACGTGCTCTCGTCCGCAAGCTCGTGCTACGTGCTCTGTAGCATGGAGCCTCTCACGTTCCTCGCTGGGCTTTCTTCGTCAATTATTTCAATTAACGTTAACGCTACCCTCACACACACCGTTTCGATGTGCGTACGTAAAACTTAAAAGGCAGCAATCTGCGCCGTCACGGTCGCCGACGCCGACGTCGACGTGACATGGATGCCGATGCGCGTCCACGAGACACCGTACGATGACAGCGCCGTCGCCGAAAGCGTAAACGGGGCCGATGCCGACACCGTGACGGTGACGCGGATGCCGGACGGCATGGTCACGACGCCCGATGTGTTGGACGTCGGCGCCCAGACACCGACCGTGGTCAAGACCGACTCGACGTCGACCGCGGTGCCCGGTTGCATCGTGATTGTGTCTGAAATGCGCACGTGGCCATTTCCCGGCGACCGCACCAATGCCACCGATCGATTCAGACTCTGGAGCTCCGACACGTTGTAGGCGGCGGCGAGGTCCGTCGACACGACGTCTTGTGCGTCCGAGAGAAGATCGGTGCGCAAGGAAAATGGGTGCATGGCTTGTGCGCGGACGGCCTCGAGCTGGAGCTGGCCCATGACGACGGGGACCGGGTGGCCGTAAGCGTTCATCAGCGGGCTCTTGTACCGGTCCGGGCCAAACGTTTTTGCATCGTAGTACTTGGGGCCGCCGACGTCGCCGAGTACATTAGCGCCATTTAGTACGATCGCGAACGAGCCCATGTCGTTGTGGCTGTGGCCGCCGTTGCCGCCAACTTTGAACGTCACGTCAAAGTCCGTCGCGCTCACACCGCGCAGCACGGCGACGTGGGCCGCCGGAAAGATGTGGCGGAGCGGGTCGGGTGTGATGGCAATGGGCGACTGGCGCACACTACAGGCCCGTGCGGTCGAGAGCGGTATCGACAAGGCCATGAATGTGCCGGGCAGGGTGCTGTTGAACCGGCGGGGCGACGTCGGCTTGCTGCTTTCCCCGTACGTCCATTGCACGTAGTCCAGGAGATGCGGAAGGAAGCGTGCGTCGAGCCTGGCGTCCCCGAAGGCTGCGACGTGGTGCGACCGCATTTCAAAATACGCCGGCGCGTGGCTGATCGCGTCCACATTCGGCAACGCAAAGAGGTCGAGGAGGCCGTTCGTCTGCGCACACACGACCTCGCGGAGCTCGGCAAACTCTTGAAACCCGTAGTTGAAGTATGCGACGCCCTCCGTGCCGTACCCGTCGCGGCCAAAGGAGGCCAAGTAGTGCTCGCTCTGCTCTGCAAGTGCCAGAAGGACCGTGGCGCGGTCCGACTTGCTCGGCAACGACGCGAGCAGCGCCGAGGCCATGCCGTTCCAACACACGGCGTTCCAGTTGGACTCGCCCACTTGCCACCAAAACGGCGCAGTCGACCCGATCGTGCGGTCGAGCATCGGCTGCAGCGTGCGTCGTTGGAGCTGGTTCGAGACAGCATCGCGTGTCGCCACGGACAGCTCCGTGGGCAGCAGTGTCAGCGTCGTGGCCAGTAGCGACGAGACTTTTGCAGCGTTCAAGTCGACAAAGACATCTTGGTCGTCGTAGACGAGACGCTTGGGGTCGTGCGCCGCAAGGACCCACGTGCGCTGCGTCGCAAGCGACAAGAGACTAGCGTCGAGCGCCGCCAGGAACGTTCCGGTCATGTCGAAGCACTCGGCGAGGAAGAGGTTGCTGACGTAGGTGTGCCGACGGTTCATCATGTCTTGACCAGCGAGGCGGTTGCCCGTCTTGAAGTAGAGCTCGTAGGCGGTCGCATCCCACGGCGGCATGCCCGACGCAAGCTGCGCCGTCGCCCGAGCCCGCGTGGCGCGGACGAGGGCGGCGTTGGCAGCGACGAGCGGCTGCCAGTACGATCGGTCGGCACAAGGCCGCGCATACGACGCCGGCGCATCCGGTAGCACTGCGATGAGGTCCTGCAACGACGGCAGTGCGACGACCGCCGTCGTGAGCAGCGTCATTAGCACCGTTCGCATGGCCGACAAGAAAATTGGAAATGCAAGTCGACAGCCGCAGCAACTCAGCTGCGGCCGCCGCGAGCGAGGATTCTGAGGGCAAACGAGGGGTTTTCGGTCGTGGCGTTGTGACACAACGCTACGACAACGTCGAGTCGGAGTTCCGGTAGCAGTCGAGCATACCGGTACAGTACATGTAACCAAGGGTATATAATAAATGTACCCTTGATGTAGCCTACAGTAGACTGCTTTTGCTACCAAGATATCTTGATTATGTTACCCATGTGACATGTCCGAGGGCTCCGAAACATGAAATCCGGACCAAAAAAATCAGGCTCCAGCCGCTCTATCCCGATATCGATAACACGAGCGCCATTCATTGTTTGACCTGCAAAACGTATAAGCGACGAGCCGCCTAAGACGAAGAAGATATTCGCTTCTCCGTGGCCACGGACGTCGATCTCTTGAAGGAGGTGATCAACGTGGCCCCGTACGACGCTCCCTTCGGACAGACGATAGCACGCTGGGAAGAGGTCACCGAGCACATGCGCGAGATTCACGGTGAGCACGTCACGTTTACCGGGTGCCGCAAGCGCTTCGACGACCTCATGGCGGCCTTCGAAAAGGACGCCGTCAAGGCGATGCGAGCGTCAGGCACCGAAGAGGAAGTTAGCGAGCGCGACATGCTCCTTCAGGATATTTCCGACCTTGTGAGTCGAGCGCGACGTCTCTTCTGGCTCATAAGTGTGCGTAGACGGAGGCCGTGGCGGACAAGAAAAAGGCAGCCAAGGAAGACAAGGTGAAGAAGGTCGACAAGCGCGAAAACGACGGGCACCGCATTCGTGCTGCGGCGCTGCAAGGTCTCAAGCGCAAGACAGCAGGCGGCGACGACCAGGAATCGGACCATGACGACAACGCCGAAACGCCATCGAAGAGGTTCAAGCGCGCCGCCGCAGCGACTAACGACGTAGCGACCGTGGCGAGCGTTGTCAAGGACTTTTCCAGCATGATCGAATCGACCAACAAGCTGAAGGAAGACGAAATTGCCGCCAAACAAGAGGAAATTGCCGCCAAAAAGGACGTGATTGCCGTGAGGAAGGAAGAGCTCGCGCTCAGTCATCGCAAGCTTAAGCGAAGCAAGCGCACCAGCTCGATGATCTGTTGCTTTGTAAAGCGGAACTTGTACAGACAATCGGCCTCGCTTTGCGCGGCAAAGTTGAACCGTGTACTTGGAATGGAGATGGCCCGGGAGGTCGCACTACTGGCGAGCTGGACAAGAAGCAAGACGAGAGGAAGCGCAAGCAGTCCGTTGTCCATTGTTCAATCGCTGGTCCAATCGAAAATTTTGAAATAACGCGTTTGCAAAAACACTGGACACGCGACTCACTTTTCACGAACCGGCTCTCTCTCCGGATGTCTACCATAATTAAGATATCTTGGTAGCAAAAGCAGTCTAGTATCGGTATAATACATGTATGCTCGCTAAAACCATTGCGACACGCACATAATATTCCTGGGACTTCTCTCGTGAAGCTCCGGACTCGCTGGGGTCCGCGGGCTGCACGCGTGTGCTTGAATGTGAAAAGGGTTGTGATTATCTGAGTTACTAGGCTTGACTATGGTGAGCGGCCGCGCTGATTGGTCGGTTGGACTGACTGTGCGTGTCTTGCAGGGAACCGGGGCAGTCTTTGGTATGCGGACCTTGCTGGCAGACTGGACCGTGACCGGGTACCTGTGCCCCGGGGCCTCGGAGTTCTTGCTGAATATGTTACGAAATTACGGAACTTTTGAAAAATACTCTGTTACACCACGTAAGCGTTCCTACTAGGATTAAGGGTTCGTGTCCAGCATCGAGTTGCGTCAAGGTCGGAAAAAGGGCCGCGTCGTTGCGTGCGATAAACGAGGTCGGGCGATATCGCACCGACGCGATTTATGTGCCACGCGAACGCCGGAGGGTAGGACGATTGGCGCCCAAAAGCACCGACCCGCTTACTGAAATGAGCCGCCACGAGGCACATCTGACTCTCCAATCGCAAGCAAGGCTCGCTGCGACACGCCAAAAATGATCACCATACGACAGGCAAAAGATCCCATGAGGCGACAACGTTTCCACGAGTTGCTCCGAGCGGCTGTGTTGTGATCGAAGTACCCGGCAGTGTGAGTTTTTGCATTCAAAAGGATCTGCTAAATGCCAAGCATCAGCTATTAGTCCCTTCGTGAAGAGTCCCTTAGGCGTCAAGTCTGTCGCGGCGAAGACGCGCGCAATTCATGTTGCAAGGCGGCTGCACACGCTGCATCAAACCACACTTGGCGTGGACGAGGCAATCGCGACACACCTCTTCTGGTCACCGCGTCATTGTGGACCTGCGGTAGGCTCGTCTATGAGCCTTGCCCGTTTTTGCGGATTTGGCCATCGATTGACCAAGGCCACAGGCTTGCAATCGCGCACTAAGATCGTGTGCTTGTCCTCGCTGCATGTCGGCTCCTTATATTTCGCACTTGGGTGGTTGGCGCCGAGTCGACGCAGCAGTGTCGTCAACGACGGAGGTGGGGCAGCTGAGAGAGGGCCTCCCTGAATCTGGGCTGCGGCGCAACCCATAAAAGTGACAAGCCCACGCGAGCCAATCCGCGATGGTCACGCGCCGCGACACGGCCCATTACCCAGAGTACAATTGTTTTGGGTGTCTGGTCTGTCCCGCTTTTTCGTCGATTACAAACAACCATATCAATCGGAAGCGAACCAGGCCGATGATGGCCGCGTCCACCTGTCGCGTCACATATTTGACGCCCGTACGACGTATTCGACAAAACACGCATACTTGCCACGTCGTCAACGGTCCTCGCGCCAACGCACACGGAAATCGCAGTACGGATGCGCATGGATCTGTCCATTTTCGAAGACATGTCATCGCCTGTCTGGCACGACAGCGCTTCAGGCTACTTCTGCTTGGATACTGGCCCTGGGCGTGGTATGCGGGTTTTGTCCAAACGTAGACCGTATGCTGGAGACCGCATCAGATGGCCCTGAAAGCTTGCACGCGGGTCCAACTCTGCTGAGTTGATGCGCGAAGGAGACTTCTCTCGCACCTCCTTGATTAGGCGGGAGCGTACCATCCATTCTCACTTTTGCTCGGCCCGTCCAAGAAGACCACGAACAAGTAGCATGGCGACCGAGAAGTCCAAGCTCCTCAACCCGGCCGTGGGCCTCGGCGGCATGATTCCCGTCAAGCAAGAACTCCGCGAGCTCACGAGCATGGCGCTCCAGCTCTCGCTGCGGCAAATGGTGCGCCAGGTCATGACGATCACGGACGCGGCGTTCCAGGGCCACATTGGCACCAAGCAGCTCGCCGGTGTCGCGCTTGCGGGCATGTGGATGGGCGTGCCCTCGGCCTTCATCCAGTTTGCGATCCAAGCGATTTCGACGCTCTGCAGTCAGGCGTACGGCGCCGGCAACAACTCGCTCGTCGGCACGTGGCTCCAGACGTCGATCGTCTTTGCGGTGGTTGGCGCGATTCCCGTCATGATTTGGTACATGTTTGTCGGCGAGATGATCGCGCTGACGATGGACGACCCCGAGACCGTCATGTACGGCTCGGAGTTTGCGCGCATCATGGCCATCGGCCTCATCCCGCAGTACATTTACGGCTGCCTCACAACCTACTTTGCGACGCTTGGCGTGATCATGCCGGCGACGATCTGCAGCTGCTTTACGATGCTCCTCAACATCTTCTTCAACCAGCTCTTCATTTACGGCTGGGACGGCTTTGGCGGCTTTGGCTTTATCGGCTCGCCGCTCGCGACCGTCGCCAGTACGTGCGTCCAGCTTCTCCTCTTTGTGCTCTACACGATCGTGTGGCAAAAGTACCATCAAAACTTCTGGGCCGGCTGGTCGTGGGACTGCGTCAAGAAGGAGCGCGTCCAGGTCTTCCTCGCGCTCGCGATTCCGATGGGTGCCTCGAGTGTCGTGGACTGGGCCTCGGCCACGCTCGCCGGTGCCTTCTCGGGCTACCTCGGCCCTAACATTGCGGCTGCCCAAGCTGTCCTCAACGGCCTCTTTGGTGTCGTCAACTCGTGCGTCAACGGCTTTAGCATGTCGACGCAGATTCGCATGTCGCGCTACCTTGGCCAAGGCAGCGCGGAAGGTGCGAAGCGCGTGCTCCTGATTGGGTCGACGATCGTCATGAGCTGCTCGTTTGTGCTGTTGCTGGTCGTGCTTCCGTTCCGTCGCGAGCTCTTCAGCGTCTGGAGCAATGACCCGATCATCATCGACATGTGCTCGGACGTCATTGTCGTCTTTGTCATTTGCATCCTCGTCGCCTTCTCGCGCTTCCTTCTCACGTCGTGCTTGAACGCACTCTCGATGGCCAACCTCAACTTGATCGCCAACAACATTGCGTCCTGGTGCGTCTACGTGCCGCTGAGCTACCTCCTCCCGATCACGCTCGGGTGGGGCCTCGACGGCTTCTGGTGGGCCGACACGCTCGGTGAGCTCCTCAAGGCCATCATTCTCTTCTGGGGCGTCCTGCGCGTCGACTGGCACGACGCGGCCGACCAGGCCCAGTGCGCCGCCGAGGCCAAGGACGTCGATGATGATGAAAAGCGCGAGCTCGACACGCTCAAGAACGAGGCCATGGCGCCGACGCCGCCGAGCTTCAAGAGCCCCGCGGCGCTCGGCCTGAGCTCGACGCCGGGACGCACGCCCAACCGCACGATGCAGCGCCGCGCCGCGGAGCTGACGCCCAAGGTCAAGCGTACCTCGAGCAACGTTCAGGTCTAATAATTGTTGGTGATAAGTGCAACATAAAACTCAACCGTTGATAATTCTACGCTCTCGTCTTGTGATCCACCGCTTGAGCATTATGAGATCTTATTCGACCCAAAAGTGAGAGCTGAGAGTGAGGACGGCTGCTGCATTCGGTCGCTCTCGAACAGGACTATTAATAGCGTTTGCCATTCGTAGTACGTGGTTGAGCGCAACGCCGCGCCATCGAACGCGTTGACAGTCTCGTCATCATGTGAAAGGACGACGCGAGTCTCATCAAGCGGCTATAATGGCCCACAAACACCTCAAACTCAAGCTCCATCTTCTTTTGCCCTAAATTCCCTTGGGCGTAGGGGTGGAGTGGCGAGCGCTCGTGATGAGAGGCACATTTGTACAGTAGTTTCTGTCAATCCCAACATTGAGTAGCCAGCACCCGAAACTGTCACAGGTCAGGTTGATACTCCAGCTTGATACTTTCCGCGCCATGGCCTGGATACCCGATGGCCTTGTTGACGAGAACGGGCCCGTCCATCGGGCGAATGTACTTGGTGCGATCCATGTACGCACGAGGGTTCTCGCGGAAGCTCTGCGTCCTTTCCTCGTGGCTCGATCATGACTCTCGACGCTACAAAACCGACATGAACGTATGTACCGTACTCCTCGTTTGAGACGATCACGTTGCAGCACACCACAACACCTTGTGCGACGTAATGCTTCATTCCTCCACCGTAAACGATCAAGTGTGTACAGAATTGTCTTACAGCATGCATAGTATTGCACAAAAATGAAGAAAAACGCGTTTCGCGACAGTTCCAGAACTTTTTCGATGGATTCGCGAGCTGTCAGTTGGAGCTATCGCGGACCCACCACACGCGCGCAACTTTACGGACTCGTGTTTCTTCCATCCCATGCATGCCGTGCGCTAATACAAGTGGCAGGTGGCAGGACGAACGATGCTGGCGTGTGCAGCCGGGTTCGAGATGGTTGGTGGTTGACCATCATTCTCGCAGACTTGATCATTGTAGCCGAGCCAGCTTTCTTCGGTAAAAGCCGTCCAGAAAAGAGCTTGGCGTTTGTATGCCTGCTTATCCGGATGCTCGTATGCGGAAACCAGACCTTTGGCTTAAACTCTTCCATTCCGCTTGTAGCTTCGGTGCGCCCACGAAGAGGAGATGACGTCGATTGCTCCGCCCCGCGAGACCATGTCCCTGAAGCGGACCCGCATGATGGAGACGCCCTTCCTCGGCGATATGGAGGTCGAGAGCGCTCGTTCCATGAAGCGTCGCTGCTTCCAGCAGGAGCCGCCCCATGAGCACGATCTGCCCAAGTACTCGCAGCGCCAGTTCGAGTTCCTCGACCAGGCCAAGCAAGCCGAGATGAGCCGATTAAGGTACTTACGCACAAGCGCTCTCATCAACTGTGACGCTTCTGACACGCATGTGCTGTATAGATCCGAGTTTGAGCACATTATGATGAGCAAGGAGAACGAGCTCAACGACCTGCGCATGGAGCGGGAGCGTCTGCGCCACGTCTGCACGGAACAAGCGAAAGAAGCTGAAAAGATCCAAGCAGAGAACAAGCTCCTGCGCCGCGCGGTGACGATCCAGAACCAGCAAAAGGAAGACGCGACGCAAGAGAACAACATGCTCAAGCAGATTGCGACGCAGGCCGCGGAGCACATCAAGCGCTTGGAGCAGACAAACTACGCACTCCGCGTGCACCTCCAAGCGAGCACGGGCAACAACGGCTCGGCCAACACGTTCTCGTCGGACGTATACTAGAGGGCCGTCCGCCCTCGCTTCTATTTGCATGCCATTTTTATTAGTCGTAGACCCATAAGAGAAATAAAGTCAAAATTCATCGCCGTTATTACATCCTCGCCCATCTTCCTGCTCACAAGCTGCTGCAGCACGACCACGAGCTATCGTTGTTGTTGTTGCGCGCGTGGAAGGCCTCGGCGGTCGGGCGCACCGTGTCGCGACGCGGCTCCTGCTTCTTCTCAAAGACGTCGCGATGGGCCAGAATCGCCGCCACGAGCGCCTTGTTGGCCTCGTCAATGTGGATGTTCTCTTTCGCCGAGGTCTCAAACCAGCCCGCAAAGCCATTTGTCTCGCAAAAGCCATCCAAGAAGGCGCGGTCGATCTCGCCCGCCACGTCGCACTAGAGACAAGCCAGGCCATCGTCATGAGCAATCAATCATGCATGCCTTGGTCTACCTTGTTGCCGCAGAGGATCACGGGCAATGGCTTCTTGTTGGGCAGCTCCACCTACGCCAGCAGATATGCATGCCACTCCATTGACTGCGCGCCACCAGCTACCTTGGTATCAATCTCCTTCTTCCACTAGAATTCTTGTCATGAGCAAGCAACCACGCACAATTGGCACCTGTACCTTGAGCGCCGACTCGAACGTATCGGGGCGCGACATGTCGTAGACGACGAGCGCGCCAAGCGCGTCCTTGTAGTAGACGCGGTTCAAGGCGCGGAAGTGCTCCTGCCCGGCAATGTCCCAGAGCTGGACGCGGAGCGTCGTGTTCTGGACCGTCACGGGCTTGAGCGCAAAGTCGACCCCGATCGTGGTCTTGTGCTGGTCCGAGAAGACGTTGTGCACGTAGCGCTTGATGATGCTGGTCTTGCCCGTGGCCGCGTCGCCGAGGACCAGCACCTTGACGACTGCGTCCTGCGCTGCGTGGAACCGCCCGTCCATCTTGTCCGCTCGTTGGTTTCTTGGTAAAGCGACGAAGAGAGAAGATACCGACTTCGTTCTTCGGCAAGCGTCCGGATATTTGCAATATTATGCGGATGATCAGCCTGGCGCATACTTGTCGTTGGAAGCGACAGTGCCTGCCCCCGGTCTTTGTAACCGACACACCGTTTACAGGGGTTAAAAAGCGACAGACCGTATACCATCACACATAAAGTATATCCGTTGTCTGATTTTCATAACCGACAAGTGAACCCATGGGCAACTCGCTGCATTCTTTGCGTCCTGGTTGTCTGTCGCATCCGTGTGCTCGTGGACATGGCGTGTGTATCGTGCGATCGGTAATCGCATCGTTTGATGCATCACAATGCTGCTGCAGATTGCAAAAGCATTTCGATGATGCATCGCGCGAGGGACATGGATCCCGCAAGCGATGCGATGAGCAATCACGCAAACGTGCAAAAGGGGAGAGGCAACGCATGGCAGCTTGCTTACCTTCCATAGTAGGATGGAAACATTAGCAGTCAGCCGAGTCCTGGTACTGTACAGACCAACGCAGCCTCCTGTTCCTGTCCACCATGCCTCTTGCACCTCTTGCAGTGGTCGCCCTTCGGGATAGCATCGAAAATCGAAAATTCAAAAACGCGTGATCTCGCAATACCGTCGTTATCATGTCCACGGTTGTGGGCGACCTGCTTCAACAGCGAGAGAAAACCATATATTTAAATTAAGACGCCACGTCATGATTTGATCAGCGCCCCTTGGATTCCAGCCCGGAAACGGTAATCACGTGTTACATCGGCGGACTTCGGTGATGAGTTCATGCCTGGGTTGTACCAAGCACCGCCCCGCGTCGATATATTTTTACCGCACAGCGACACATCCCGCATCGGACTTCGAAGGAAATGCGGCTCCACAATAGCAGCAGCCATAGCTTGTCCCCTCCATCGTCCTTGCAAGCCGTTCGAGCCATCGAACACCACTTGGAGCATTCGGAATCTCCTGCCCCCTTGGCCATTGCCGCGTCGTTGGACAGTGGCGGTGGGTCCTCTACTATACGCTCCAGCATGACGTTCATCGCCCACGGACCGCCCCAGTAATCACCGCTGTTGTTGCGTTGTATTCAATTATCTATCTTTTTGTATGTCGTTTTAAATAATAGCAGGTGGCCAGAACGAAGGACCGACACTCTGGTCCCGATCCAAGTTTGGCGCCGGGTTGGAAGCCGCTGGGTCGTTTTATAAAAATATGCACCATAAACTGTACTTATGTATATATCTTAAAAATATGGTATTGAATTTGTGAATTTGGTACAGAGTGCAGTAACGCAGGTCAATCATTTCCCAAGATGCTATCGGCCGCGCAGTCGCCGACCCCGGTCCTATCGGCGCCGGCCCAAGCGCCGGACCATATCCGGCCGCTCCTCTGGAAGAACTTCCTCCTCAAAAAGAAGCATCCGGTCAAGTGGGCGCTCGAGATGATCGTCCCCGTCGCCTTCATCATCCTCCTCGGCGGCCTCAAGCACCTCATGGACGACGTCAAGGTCCCATCGGGCTGGGCGGACGAGACCAACCCGCCGGGCGACGACACCCTCGGGACCGGCTACAACCTCTACGCGACCAGCCGCCTCATGAACGCGACGTACTCCAAGTACTACACGACCGAGTCGACGATGGCCGCGCTCCTCATGAACCTCGCGGTGCAAGCGTTTCAGAACGCGCAGTCGATGGCCGACTTTACGCTGGCGCAGAACCTCTCGTGCTCGGCCTTTGTCGTCCAGGGCAAGGTCAGCCTCGACCCGACCTCCCCCAACGCGGTGCCAAAGGAATGCATGGGTCGCATCGTGCCCTGGAAGATCGCGGTCGTCCCCGATACGGCGTTCACGCGCAACTACTTCGCCAAGACGATCGCGGCGTGGCATCCGGCCGTCCCCCTCACGAATACCTCGAGCATCCTCGGCCGACCCACGATTCCGGCGTTTGGTGACTCGATCATCTTCTTCCCGGACGAAGCCAAGCTCGAGGCGCATGTCATGGGTACGAACGATGTGCGTTCTAAGGGTGCAATAGCTCATACGACCATGTAGACAACTTGTACGGCACGGATCTGGACCATCCGCGGATTCACTCGGCGATCGTCTTCAACGCGCCGCCGGCCGAGGCTCAAATTGGCTCTGCCGTCTCGCTCGACTACTCAATTCGCCTCAACTCGACGCTGGGCAGAGGCGGGATCCCGGGCGACGTACCGCGGACGAACCTTCCCGCGTACGACCCGCTCCAAAAGTCGATCTCGGTCACGAATTACCAAAATTACGCGCTCACGGGGTTCATGACGCTCCAGACGCTTGTGACGCGCTTCGCCTTGTGCCAGCCGACGTACGAGAACGGCGCGCCGGGCAACTGCACGAACGTCAAAACGACCGCAGTTGCGTCGCCGGCGCTCGACGCTCGGCTTTTCAGCCAAGTCCAAAACGACTTCACGCTGCAGACGATCGCGGGCTTCTTCAACAAGCTCTCGCCGACCAAAATCAACTTTGACCAGATACCGGAGGCGTCCAAGCAAGCGCTCTTGACGCCATTGCGCCAGGCGCCGCAGCCGTACTTTGGACAGCACGTGTACCCGTTTCCGATCCAGGGCTACACGTCGTCGCCGTTCTACACGAGCGTCTCGTCGTTCTTCGCCATCATCTTTATCATCTCGTACCTCTTCTCGATCTCGTCGATCCTTGTGGCGCTCATCACCGAGAAGGAAAACAAGTCGCGCGAGCTCATGAAGATTCTTGGTGTCCACGACCGCGCGATCATCTGGTCGTGGTACATTACGTACGGCGCCATCTTCGTCGTGGCCGCGATCCTCCAAGCAGTCGCGAGCAAGGCGAACCTCTTTTCCAACTGCAATGTCGTGCTCGTCTTCATCTTCTTCCTACTCTTTGGCTGGAGCGTTCTCGCGTTTGGCTTTATGGTGTCGTCGGTCTTTTCCAAGTCCCGCATCGGCACGTACGTCGGCATCATCCTCTTCTTCGTCATGTACCTCATCACGTCCGGCTTCTCGGCGACGACCGCCGAGTCGACCAAGAACGCCATGTGCATCTTTGCGCCGGTGGCCATGGCGTTCGGTGTCCAGACGATGGCTAACGCGGAGGCGAGCTCCCTCGGCATCACGTTCGGGAACGTCAACGAGCCGTACCAGAACTTTCGGTTCTCGACCAGTCTCTACTACATGGCCTTCGACATTGTGCTCTACACGCTTCTCGGCCTCTACCTTGAGAAGGTCGTGCCGAAAGACTATGGCATCACGGAGAAGTGGTACTTCCTCGTCTCGCCGTCGTACTGGCGCAACAAGCGCAGCGCTGGTTCCGTCCAGACCAACCTCAACATCGACGACGCGGCGTACGTCGAGGGTGCGGCCCATGACGCCATCGAGCCCGTGGGCATGGAGCTCAAGGCGCAAGAGGCAACGGGCGAAGCGCTCCAGATCCGGCGGCTCCGGCGCGAGTTCAAGGTGCCCGGTGGCACCAAGGTTGCCGTGCACGGCCTCGACCTCACCATGTACAAGAACCAGATCACGTGTCTCCTTGGGCACAACGGTGCGGGCAAGACGACTCTCATCTCGATGCTCACGGGCATGATTCCGGCGTCGGGCGGCGACGCGACCTTCAACGGCCTCTCGTTGCGCAACGACCTCTCGGAGCTGCGCCAGTCACTGGGCATGTGTCCGCAGCACGACGTGCTCTACGCAGAGCTGACGGTCGAGGAGCACCTCATCTTTTACGGCCGCATCAAGGGCTTTTCGGGCAAGGCGCTGACGGAAGAAGTCGCCGACAAGATTGCCGAAGTCGGCTTGACGGAAAAGCGACATGTGGCGTCGAGCGAGCTCTCGGGTGGCATGAAGCGCAAGCTGTCACTGGCGATCGCACTCCTTGGTGACAGCAAGATTGTCTTCTTGGATGAACCGACGTCCGGCATGGACCCGTACTCGCGCCGGTCCAGCTGGGAGATCATCATGAACAACCGCATGAACCGCATCGTGGTGCTCACGACGCATTTTATGGACGAAGCCGATATCCTCGGCGACCGGATCGCCATCATGGCCGAGGGACAGCTGCGCTGCGTCGGCTCGTCGCTCTTTCTCAAGAACCGGTACGGCGCCGGCTACAACTTTGCGCTCGTCCGCACCGAGACGTGCGATACGGCGGCGCTCATTGCGTTTGTCCAGTCGCACATTCCGGTCGCCAAGGTGCTCTCGAACGTCGGGACAGAGATGTCGTTCCAGCTGCCGCTCGACCACGCGCCGTCGTTCGCGGCCATGTTTGCGGACCTGGAAGTGCAGAGCAGTGCGCTCGGTGTGCTCTCGTACGGTATCTCGGTCACGACGCTGGAAGAGGTCTTCATCAAGGTGGCGGAAATCGGCGACGAGCACCAGCAGCACACGCTCCAGCCTCGCAACGATGCGGGTCCGCTCCTCTCGCCTGCTGGCTACAAGATCAACACGGCCGAAGCGCCGCCGAGCCGGCTTCGCATGTTTGGCCGCCACTTTGTCGCGCTCTTCAAGAAGCGTTTCCGCACGGCCAAGCGGGACAAGAAGATCGTGCTCTTTGGCGCCGTGCTGCCCGTCGTCTTTTTGATTCTCGGCATGTGCATTCTCAAGTTTAGCTCGCTCTCCAAGAACGACACCGCCATGTCCATCAACCTGCAGAGCTACGGTAGCATGACCTCGGTGCCCGTGACGTGCCAAGGCGACGCGGCGTGGTGCGCGGCCTTCCCAGCGGCCTACGCGGCCGGCAAGGCTTCGCTCCTCTCGGTGCCGACGCCTGCGTACCCGACAAACAACCCGACTGTGTTTGACATCACGTACACCAACCCGGCGATCGCAGCCAACGACACGACTGGCACGTGCCTCGCCACTGGCTACGAGGTTTACCAGCGTGGCTACGGCGGGGCCGGTGCGTCGCCGGTGCTCGGTCAGTATGGTGGCTACGTGCTCCAGGCGTCGTCGGTTGACAACACGTACGGCTACAACGTCTTGGTCAACACGACGGCTGTGCACGCAGCACCCAACTACAAGGCGGCGATCGATGAGACGCTCTACCAGCTTTTCACACAGCAGCCTGGCATCACGCTCAAGGTGACGAGCCACCCGCTGCCGCTGACGGCGATGACCAAGACGCTCTTCACGACGTTCATGTCGTTTGCGACGTCGATCTTTGTCGTGCTTGCGTTCGCCTTCTTTACGGCGTCGATCGTCCCGTACCTCGTCAACGAGAAGCACCACTCGCACAACTCCAAGCACCAGCAGCTCGTGTCGGGCGTGAGTCTCCCGGCGTTCTGGCTCGCCAACTTTGCCTGGGACATGATGCTGTTCATGATCCCGTGTGTCATCGGTCTCGTTGCGATCTACCTCTTCGACATCACGCCCTTCACGGGCAACGACTGCTTTGGGTGCGCGGCAAACCCGTTTGGCGCTGTGATTACGCTCTTTGTGCTTTTGGGATTTGCGCTCTGTTCGTTCTGCTACTGCCTCTCGTACCTCTTCTCAGAGCCGGCGTCGTCGCAGACGTACACGATCATGACCAACATCGCGCTCGGGACCGTGCTCATGACGGTCTCGATCGTCCTGGATGTCATCGAGTCGACGAAGGACATCAACCCATCGCTCAAGTTCATTTGGCGCCTCTCGCCGCTCTTTTGCGTCGGTAACGCGCTCAACCAGCTCAGTATCTACACGATCCGGTCGACCTTTGGCCGCACTACCAAGGAAGTATCGTCCTTCAGCACGGACGTCATTGGCTACGAAATCATGTACCTCGCCATCGAAGCCGTGCTCTTCCCGATTCTTGCGATTGGCATTGACTATGCGCTCAGCTTTCCCAAGATCAAGGCCAAGCTCTCCAAGGACCCAGTCATCGTCGACGCGCCGGTGGACATTGACGTTGACGTCCAAGCCGAGGCGGATCGCGTCAACAGCGGTCGCGCCGACAACGACGCCGTCGTCATGCGCAACCTCCGCAAGGTCTACAAGGGCGGCAAGGTCGGTGTCTCCAACATCGCGCTCGCGCTGCCCAAGGGCGAGTGCTTTGGGTACCTCGGCATCAACGGCGCTGGCAAGACGTCGACGATGAAGATGATGACAGGCGACGTGCTCCCAACCTCGGGTACGGCGACGCTCGGCGGCTTTGACATTCTCTCGCAGCAGATCGAGGTGCGCCGGCTCATGGGCTACTGCCCGCAGTTTGACGCGCTCATGGATCTCCTCACGGTCCGCGAGCATCTGGAGCTCTTTGCGGCGATCAAGGGCGTGCCGTCCGGTCGCATCAACGACACGGTCGCCGAGAAGATGACGCAGATGAACCTCAACGACTTCGAGCACAAGCTCGCGGGCACGTTGAGTGGCGGCAACAAGCGCAAGCTCTCGGTGGCGATCGCCATGATTGGTGCGCCGCCCATCATCTTCCTCGACGAGCCGTCCACGGGCATGGACCCGGTCTCGCGCCGCTTCATGTGGGACGTCATCGCCGACATCTCGACGCGCTCGAAAGAGTCGACGATTCTCTTGACGACCCACTCGATGGAAGAGTGCGAAGCCTTGTGCACGCGCGTCGGCATCATGGTCGGTGGCCGCCTCCGCTGCCTCGGCAGCATCCAGCACCTCAAGCACCGGTTCGGCGACGGCCTCATGATGCACATCAAGCTCGCGCACGTCCCGGGCGATGCGATCATGGACTTTGTCGAGCACGAGTTTGGCGCGACGCCGACTCTGAGCCTCGAAGACGCGCAGGAGGCGTGCCGCCGCCTCGGCAAGCCGCAGCGCAGCAGCTGCATCGCGATGGACCACGCGACCGGGTACACGCTCATGGAGTCGATCACCAAGAACCAGTACATTCGCGCCCGCGACTTTTGTACGTGGTGGCTCACTGAAGACCGGTTCGAAGCGTTCAACGCCTTCTTGGCCACTGCGATGGGTGCCGGCCATGCGCAGCTGCTCGAGCGCCAGAACGACGTTGCGCGATTCAAGCTCATGAGCCCGACCAAGCTCCTTCTCTCGCCGTTTTTCGATGCTCGAGGGCTGCAAGGCCGCGTACCACGTCGAAGAGTACACGGTGGCGCAGACGACATTGGAGCAGATCTTTAACAGCTTTGCGAGCCAGCAGACGCAAGAGAAGGGTGTTGCGCGCGGCGTGGTCGTCCCGACATCCGAGGTGCACGAAGACTATGTCGCTGTGCGCTAGACGCTTTTGTATACATGCAGTAGTGTTTAGTGGATATCTCACATTTCGGAATATATATTATCTATGAAATAATAATGGCCTCCATAAGTGGCGTCGACTTGCAAGGGGCAGTATCAGCCGCTTCCCAAAGCGTGTCGGTACGGTGCGTATGCTGAAATAGACACGGGAGTCCACCACCAAGGCCACAAGTACCCCTTGAACTATATGGTCTTGACCTATAAGATCCAATTTCGCCAGCGCCGTCGGATCGCACCGCCGTCGGATCGCGCCGCCGTCGGACAACATACTATCGTCGCGTGGTCTGCGCTTGCCCTTGACGGCAACGACACCGTCGTCGGGTCCGACCGCCGCCGTCGGACCCGTCGTCTCCGACGGCGCCATTCGCATCCGTGTACGGTGGTCGAGATGGACGTTTTCACTTTACCTTTTCACAGTCGCTTCGCATGGCGCCTTCCCTTCGCACATCGACGCCGCCGCTGCCCGTGACGCTCCTCTCGGGGTTCCTCGGCGCGGGCAAGACGACGCTCCTCAAGCGCATCCTCGAGTCACCCGAGCACAAGTTGCGCATCGCGGTCATCGTCAACGACATGGCCGAGCTCAACATTGACGCCCAGCTGCTGCAAGGTCCCGGCGTCGTGCAGACCAAGCCCGAGTTTGTCGCGATGCAGAACGGGTGCATCTGCTGCACGCTCCGCACCGACCTCGTCCGTGCGATCGCCGACATCCGCGCCCTCGGCGTCTACGACTACCTCGTGATCGAGTCCACGGGCATTGCCGAGCCGATGCAGGTCGCCGAGTCGTTTGCGTTTGACGTCGAGACGGCGACGCTCGCGACAAGCGACGACAAGATGCTGGCGCACCTCGCCGCGCTCGACACGTGCGTGACGGTCGTCGACGGCGTCGAGTTTCCCAACCTCGTCCGGTCGACGCGGCAATTCCACGAAGTCTTTCCGGTGGAAGACGACGGCGGCAGCGAAGGCACCAAGCACGTGAGCCAGCTCCTCATCGAGCAAGTCGAGTTTGCCAACGTCATTGTCCTCAACAAGATGGATCTCGTGACGGACAAGACGTCGGTCGTTGCGCTGCTGCGGACGCTCAACCCACACGCGGCGATCGTCTGCGCCGAGTATTCCAACGTGCCGATGGAGACGATTTTGCACACCAAGCGCTTCAACCTCGACGAAGCCAAAGAAAGCGTTGGCTGGATGGAGTCGCTCCGCAGTGACCACACCAAAAGCGAGCAAGACGAGTACGGCATCGGCTCGTTCGTGTACCGGGCGCGGCGTCCGTTCGACCCGACGCGCCTCGATCGCTGGGTGCGCCGGCACTTTGGCCTCAAGGGCGACGTCGTCTTTCCGGGCGACCGCGCCGCGCCGTGGCAGCTGCCGACGTCGCCGTCGCCGATTCTGCGCTCGAAAGGCTTTGCGTGGATTGCCGGTCGCGACGACACGATGGTCGAGTGGAACCAGCACGGCCGCCTCCTCTCGCTCTCGCCGCTCCAGCCGTGGTGGTGTGTGCAGCCCGAGGCCGACTGGAATGTCCCGGCGGCCGACGCGGCGCTCATCCACTCGGACTACGTCGCTCCGTTTGGCGACCGCAAGCAAGAAATCGTCTTCATCGGTGCCGACATGAACAAACGCGACATCGAGGCGGCGCTAAACGACTGCTTGGTGAGTGACGCCGACCTCCAGCGCCTCGCCGGTGTCGACGCCTTCTCCACGACGCAGCCGCTCGCACTCAAGATCCCGAAGCGGTCGTTGTCGGACCCGTTGCCCGCGTGGCCCGAGCGCCTCGACAACACGGCGCCGTGGACGACAGTCGTCCGTGCCAACCAGCCAGCACCGTTCGTTGTCGGCGCCGGCGCGCGCCTCTCGATTGCAAGCGTCTGCCTCCGCGTCGCACCGACGGGGTTCGACGCCGATGGCTACGAGGTCGAGACGCCAGACGTCCCTTTTGCCGCTGTCCAAGTGTGGTACGACAACACGGCCGGCGACCGCACGCTGCTGGGCACGCTGCGCCCGACCACGTCGTTGCACGTCACGTCGTCGATCGTGGTGCCGGGTGGCGACGCCGAGAACGACGTCGTGCACCGGCTCCGCCTGCAGCTGGTTGTCACTGGTGCCAAGCGCAAAACGAGCGAAAGCTTGAGCGATGCTGCCGCGAGCCTGGAGGTCCATGTCATCGGCGATGTCGAGGGTCCACCTGGCGAAGACGAGGAAGACGACGCCGCAGAAGGGGCTGATGCGGAAGGCGAGGATGACGATAACGATAACGACGACGACGACGACGACGAAATGTAGATAAAGACAAGTGTAGTGTTAGTAGATACCAACGTTTAAATAGACGAAATTGATGTACCAAATCATTTTAGTGACGTGCGGCGACACACTCAGATCTCTCAGATGACCGCAAAAATAGAAATCACCCCATCACCGAAAATAAATACATTACCACTCGCACACTACATCTTTATATAGATATATAAAATAAGTTTTTAAAAGATTGCAATACAAATTCGATGGCGTCTGGCGCGGACGCAAAATGCATCGATCGATCGGCGCCCTCCAAAAATGACGCAAACGACCGATGCAGACGCAGACTGCGTCCTTGATCCAGATCCCCACATGAAATGAATGGTGGGGAACCACGCCATCTGGTATCCGGACATGAGACAGGCGCCCGACAGTTTCACATTTCGAGCGATTATGCGCTACCTGCTCTACTACTTGATTCTCGACCGCGCCCGGCGCGCCAGAGGCCATAAAGCACAACTCCGCCGCGTCTTGGAAGCGTACGAGGCAGCGCTGCGCGCCGACATCGAGCACCTGCACCGCATGCGCCGCATCCGCGCTCTCGAAGCGTCACTGCCCCGCGTTGAGGAGCACCGGCCGTGGTACAAGCTCTACCGCGCACGCGACGACGCCGCCTTTCTCTCCTTCGTGTCGCTGCCGCCACCGGCCTTTCACGAGCTATTGACGGCGTTTGCGCGCCGCTACGACATCAAGTCGGGGGTTGGTTTGCCCGGGCGGCCGACAAGCGTGCCCAAGCACGCCGCGCTCGGCCTCGTGCTCGCCATGTACACGCACGCGCTCAACATGCCGCGTCTCTGCGAGCACTTTGGTGTGAAAATGTCGACACTCAGCCGCGTGTTTGCCAAAGCCGAGGCGGCGCTTGCATTGGCGCTCGCCGACCTCCCGAACGCGGCCATGGTGTGGCCAACCCAGCCGGCGTTGCAGCGATTTGCGGCCGCGACAGTCGTCCGCGGCGTCGTTGGACTCGTCGATGTGTGTACGCTCGCCGTGCAGGCCCCGACGGTCGCCGACCGCCGCCGCTGCGAAGGCACTGCCGGTACGATGGATGCGAATATCGGAAGAGTTGATTGGTACGATGCTGGAGCTAGAGGCGGCGTGGCTCGAGTGTGATGCGGTCTGGGGCATGATGATCGTCGGCCTCGATGGCACCCTTTTGTGGTACAAGCACAATTTGCCTGGTTTCTGGGACATCGACTTTGAAGTCTACCAAGAGGTAGAGCGCCAAGCCGCGCAAAAGTTGCCGGCCCACCACATCCTTGTCGCGCCGGCGACATTTCCAGTGACTAGCGAGAGCGACGGCCACATCGTAACGCCGCTCGCTTCCGACGACGACGGCAGCGGAGGCGACAAGCAAGCCATCACGTCGCTGCTCGGCGCCGCCGAGTGGGGCACGCCCCATGTGAAGCTCGTCTACCAAAAGTTGGGTCAACCGCTGCCATTCGACCGCGAGCTGCGTCGTTGTCGCATCAGTAACATCCTCCGCCTCTACAACTTTCGACTCCGGAGCATGGGCACGAGTCCGCTCCAGGCGGCCTTGGCGGGTCGCGTCTAACTCCCGATAGAATGCGCTCTTGTAGGCGTCGTCAACGCCACCATAGTCTGCCTCGTCTTCTATAAACAATATGGACAGTGGCTTCAACGTGTATTTGTCCTTGCGTTTACTGCCAGATCGCTCGCGAGCAGCTAGAGCTTTAAGAGCTTGTCGCGGAGAAGCGACCGCATGTTCCAGCCGTCGCCGTACCGCGTGCCATAGTCGGCCTTCCAGCTCCAAAACGTCCAGCCCGCCTTGGCCGCATCGAGCGCGTTGAGGAGGCGCTGGCCAAGAAGAGCGACTTTGGCGTCGTCCTGGAACTGCGCGTGGGCAGAGTCGGGGTGCCCGAGGCTCCACTCGCCCATAAAGACGCGGTTGTTGCCACGCCACGCCTTGAGGTCCTTCTCAATGTTGTCGACGCCGCTCGAGGTGATCTGGTCCATGTTCTGGCCTTCAAAGCCCCATTTCAGGTACTTGTGCCAGTCGATCCAGTTGTTGACGGGACTGGAATCGGGGAAGAGCGTGCCCCACTCGGCATGAGAGCTGTCTTGCTCGGACAAAAACGGCGCGATGACCACGACGCAGTCGCCGCAGAGCGCCCGCGTCGTCGCGTACAAGTCTTTGTAAAACTGCTTGAGCTTCGTGCGGTCCGTGCCTTGGTTCTTCTCTTGCCACCACTCGGGCTCGTTGAGCAGCTGAAGACCGAGAAACGCCGGCTCGTGCTTGTACCGGTCCACAAGAAAGCGCCCCGTCTGTCACATTTGACGGTTTCAGGTTGAAGTTGATGTGATATCCCATACCTCGATCGTGCGGTCGACGTTGACCGCGTAGTCGGTAAAGTTGGTCGCGCCAAACACGGGTGCCGCGCCGTGCTCGCGGCCGTTCTGCGAGCCCTTGGTGGCGTGGATGTCCAGCAGCACAGCGACGTTGTACTTGATGGCCCACTCGTTCATGAGTCGATCGAGGTACTCGAGGCCGCCAGGCGTAAAGTGCTGCCAGTCTGTCTCCTACGTTTGTGATGAGCGACTATCGCAGTCGACGAGGAGATGGCATTACCTCCGGCTTTTCGTAGATCCACCAGCCCACGGGCACGCGGACCATGTTCATCCCAAAGGACGCAATCTCCTTGATGTCGTCTTCCGTGATCCACTCGTCGCGGTGCATCTTGACAAGCGGATCCGCCGTCGCCCGCCCGACGGCGGCCATCGCCGCGTGCTCACCATGGTCCTTGATGCTCTCCGGCACCTTCTTCCAAAGCTCAGCGTACGAGGTCATCCAGCGCTCGAGGACTAGCCAGCCGCCGAGGTTGACGCCCCGCGCGGTCGCGGCGCCCGACCGAATCGCAGTCTGCACATGGCCATGGACGAGCGACGGCGCGAGCGATACAAGCAGGCACAAGATGAGGCGGCGTGCCATCGTGGCAAATTCAAAAATGAAGAGTTACAACTCGACTGCAAACTGGAAGAACGAGGGCGTGCGACGATAGGATCCAGCGCGTTGGCGGCGACGCGGCAGCCGAAAGCAGCTCCAAACGGACGTGTGGCCGCATACTGTACAGGCAGGACACTGGGCGGAACTGGGTGGCGATCGGATGCTCCAACGGCACACGGACGCGCCGACATGTGTCGGCAGCTATCATCCCGTTGCCTTGGACGCTTCCGGTCCTACTCCAGGTCACTCGTTGTCTGTTCAAAGCACACGCGCGTAAATATGCTTGTCATGATCCATTACATGCATTTTCCTCGCTCGCGATGAGCTTTCTGGTAGAGGCGCGGGCGAACGACGACGACGATGGACGATCGAGACGAAGAATTCGGTTTCTTTGACGACGATCAAAACATGTGCTTTGGCGGCGCGTTGTGCCCACCGTACGTTCCAGGGTCGATCGAAAGCCAGACCAGCCTTGTGTGCAGATGATTCGCACACGCCATTTCAATATTTTTCAAATACTCGACTTTGCCTTTTGAAACTTTTGATTTGGATTGTGAAATATGCAATTTGATTCTAACGTTAGTTGTTGTAGAAGTGGGTCGTCTATTACAATACAGAAAACTATGCTAAATAAAAATGTCGGACTTTCGTCGTTGTGTGCACTCGGTTGAGGAACTTGATTTAGGCAGGCCGAGGATGAAACGCAGGCACTCGTGTTGGGCGACGAGCCGGAGAAGCCGACGAAGAGCAGGCTGCTCGGGCTCTTCTGCGAGGCTGTGGTGCTAGTACAGTTGAGCGACACGTGCCGCCTTGACGGCAATCGTCCATGGATTTGGCAGCGGTAGGTCGGCGCGAAAGACGCGATCGTTCCGGACGCGTCAGACGTTGAACCAGACGCAGGCGCGGAGCACGGGCCAGAGGTAGCGGAACGCGGCTTGGTGCATGTTGGACGCCGTCTTGGGGTCGAGTAGAGGTAGCCGGAGAGCATTGCCGGCAAGGTCACGTCCAAAGGGACCGTGACGGCGTGAAGCGTGCTCCACACGTCCTTGATGAAGTTGCAGTCTACGAGGAAGTGGCGGTACGTCTCGTGCTCGGGGCAGAAGAGGCACGCTTGGTCGGCCCTGTCGAGCCAGTGCAAATGTGCGCGGAACTTGACCGCGCGGAGCATCACTTGGTAGACGAAGTCGGCGTATTCTGTAGTTATCCTGGTAGGAACGTTTACGTGGTGTACCAGCATCCCAGGGGATTAATTCGTACATTCTGGCCAACCCATTGGCTATAATGCCAGATTTGTTGTCCAATGAAACGCAGTTTCATTGGTCTCAGCCAATCGCATCGCGCAGAACATGTCCCGTGAAGTGCGATTTAATGGTCCCCGTTAAGTGCTGTCCATTTTGGGACATTATACTCGATTTTGTATAAATTAAGTACGACGCACTCATCAGGGTACATGACGCCATCACAGCCGCACCTAATAGAGCTCTCACCGCGCTTTGACAGTTACGCGCGGAGACGACCGTCATGGCAAGGACGCCCTCTAGTGCCATACCATGGGGCCGCATGGGAAGCAGGTGAAGCCACGAACGGTGTAGGAGGAGGAGCTCTTCCGGTAGCGGCAAGCGCAGAACAAGCAAGAGACCCGAAGGAGGACAAGACTCGCGAAGCGTTCGCAACCCGCCGCAGCGACCCCATCGACGGAGGCGAACTCGACTCATGACGAAGGCGTCAAAGATGCTCTGGAAGAACCAGGTGACCTAGATGACCGAGGTGCGATGTCTTTTGAAGACTGCAGCAAGCGACGACGGCGCGTTGGCCCGGAAAAGTCTGCGCACCGCAGCGCAGCGAAGGTGCGCAGACTTTTCCGGGCCAACGCGCCGTCGTCGCAAATACCGGTAAACAATCAGGGTAAACAATGCTTCGCATTCAAAAGTTCAACTATTGCACGCGGGCCCTGACGCCAACGAGCCTTGCGGGCCTTGACAGCTTCCAGCTGCACCGCCTACTACCGTGGTCGGTATCTTTCACCCGAACACGCTCGGCGACGTCGCGCTCTACAAGGGCTACGACAGTGCCCCGCTGATCGCGATCGTTGCCCGCCAGCACTGGCGCATGCTGGGCCACGTGCTGTGCCTGTAGGAAGACGTCCCTGTCAACATTGCCGCCGCCCGCTTCTTTGCCACGCCCGATGCACCCCGTTTTTGAGGCCGCACCAAGATCTCGTTGCTGATCGTCCTGCACCGCGACCTCCAGTCATCGACGCCGCCTCAGTCGCTGGCGCCTCTCGAAGACTTCAGCCAACTGCATAGCTTTTACACAGCGTGTCGTCATGGGCCTCACCCGCGGCCGCAAGCGCCCCCGGGCGACTACAGAAGAATAAGACGTGCCCCGCGCCGCCGCCTGCGCAGCCACGGCCCAGTGAACGAATGAAGAAGATGAAGAATGCTAGTTTATACGTATGTGAACTCTTTGTAACAACGAAGATAACGCGAAACACGTTCATATATATTCATAAGTTCCTGCCAGCTCACCCCGCACGGGACCTGTTATGTTTGCGGTTTCGAATGTGGTGGTTTGCCACTCGCACCCAGTGGATATTTTGGGATCCCCGAGTCCGATATTCGTATCAAAAGTACATCAATTCCATACTTGAAGTACGACTCATGATCGCATGCACGACGATGTGTACACGAGGAACCAAAGCTCTTTATGATAAGTTAAAAAACACACTCTTTATGGCAGTCTACGCCAGCTGCTGCATCGAGGCAGGTTTAAAGTGCGTGCGCACCCAGCCCGCGAGCGTCTCGTCGCTGAACTGGAGGTGGTCGTCCGGCGTCTCGTAGAGCGTGATCTTGCCCGCCGCGTCGAGCGACTGCAGCCCAAATGCGTCCGTGGTGTACCATGGCGTCGCGTTCATGGGCAGTAGCGTCGACCAGTCGCCATCCTTGTAGGCGCCAAACCACGACGAGAGACTCGGCGCCACCTACGCATGCTCCAAGTCAGACGCGAAATCGCAAGTGTCCATGTGTACATACTTGGCTGTCCCGCATAGCACGGACGAGCACGAGCTGCCGAAGCGACTTGAAGTGGGCAGCGTACGTCGTATTGACGGTCGCCCACTCGTTGTTGAGGTCCGGTAGAAAGTGAACTACATGGCAACACGTCCTTCCTGCATGGTCGTAGCGTCGGAGGTGCGTACCGTGGTCGAGGTACTCCTGGATGCGCGTCGGGTCCCGGTAGTAATTGCTCTGCGCCAGGTGCTCTACGTTACAGATGGTCAAGGGACCGAAGTGCGTGGGTTCGAGGCGCACCTTGGAGTTCGTCCGAGTAGGCGACAGCGCCGACAATCTTGTTGAGCTGGCGGCAGCCAAAATCGTTGGGGTTGCAGATCGGGAGCGCGCCAATGCCGGCGAGCGGGCTATGGCAGGCGAGGAAGCCAATGACGGGCGGGTCGTTGTAGCGCTCAATGTACGCGCGGAGGATTAGCCCGCCTTGGGAGAACCCGATGCCATGGAAGCCCTTGCGCAGATTCGGGTCCTTGGCGACGATGGCGGCGAAGCGCGCGACCTGCTCGTCCATGGTCAAGTGCACGCTGTTGTACTCGTCCTCGGCGACGTTCTTGCCGATCTGGACGCTCGTCACGTAGGCGCCGTCGAGCGTCTCGGAGACCACGTTGCGCATGCGCTCCATGTGGCCATTGTGCCCGGCGTCGTTCATGCCATGCATCATGACGACGGGAAAGAAGGCCGAGGCCGGACCGTCGACGTACACGGTCGGAACGTCGATGATGTACTCGTTCTCGAAGGCCTTGGGCGGCGACTGCACCTCCCAGACCAAGGAGCCCGAGACGGCCATGAGGAGGATGCGGACGACGACCGACTGGAGCATGCTGCGGCGGCGGCGCTTACCGACACGTTGGAAAACCGACTGAGGCTGGATGCCCATCAGGGATTGGTCGAAACTCGGTCGCGCGTGGATTGGTGGAAAGTCGTGGATTTGCGCCAATCACGCATCGAAACAGTGGTCGTTTCCGCCCTTTTCAGATTTCAGTACCTCGAAACCCCGTTTGACCAGCGCGTTAAGGATCCAAGCAAAGGCTCTTCGATCTTACCGGTAGGATCCTACCCACCACAATGTACCAACTTCATTCACAGGGCCACGCTCGTTGCTGTGTACTTCTCGCGCGCTTGAAGAATCGAAGGTCTACCGGTAGAAAAAGGCGACAGATCAATTAATTGCTATTTTGTAGTACTCTCAACATGATTGAAAAACGAGCTCTTTCAGCTGATCCGTCCAGTGCACTTGCGCTGGAATACTACGCTGCGCATTGGACGGCGACGTGCTTCCGTAGCGCGCACTACGACCAGGTAGGGCCAAGCGCGAGCTTGGATCCAGAATCCAGCCCTAATCTGGTTGATTACGCTATGCTGATGGAACGAGGCGAGAAGCTCGCACAGGATTGGTCCATAAAGATATATATATCGCCCAATGAAACGGCATCCATATCTTTTTTAAACCAAGATGCGAAGTCCGTTGACGGCGATCGGGGCGATGGCGCTCGTCCTCATGGGCCTCGCCGACGCCTCCGCGGGCGCTGATGCGCTGGCGACGAGCAAACTCTCTCTCATCGAGGCGAGCCCATTCATCCTTCGCTTTGACGAGGCCATGGCCGCCGAAATGGCCATGAGCTCGGCCACGGGGGTCTATGCCGCTGGCATGGACGGTAACTTGCCCGTCGTGCTCATGCATGGCATGGGCGACGCTGCGGGGAACCCTGGCATGCAGCGCCTCCGCAAGGTGTACCGCCCCTCGCCGTCGTATCGTCTGCTAACGCTCGTCGTCGCAGGCGGTCGCTGCGCACCTCAACACGTACGTGACGAACGTCCAGATCGGCGACTCGGTCGCTGCCGACTCGTCCAACAGCTTCTTCATGAAGTTTGACACCCAAGTCGACCTCTTCGCCAAGCAAGTTGCCAATGTACACACGCGTATCTTATATCGAACGCGCTCATGCAGCCGTGCAGGACCCGAACCTTGCGGAGGGCTTCAACGCCATGGGTTTCTCGCAAGGCAACCTGCTCATCCGGGGGTACATTGAGCGCTACAACACGCCACCAGTCAAGAACTTCATCTCGGTGCACGGCCCACTGGCCGGCGTCGGGGCGCTTCCCCACTGCGCGCCGACCAGCTTTATCTGCAAGCAAATCAATGCCGTAGGCATTACTAGCTTTTCGTGCTCGTTGATTGAAATGGTGCACTAGATCATATCGACTGCAGCCTACACGGATACCGTCCAGGGTATTCACCATCCTCTTGGTGTTTGCGCAATGAGCCTGTCGACGTTGACGTAGGCAAGCTCGCGCAAGCCAACTATTTTCGCGATCCAAGCCAGATTGCTGCCTACCTCGCCCACGGTACAAGCCGCTTGTGTCCGAGGATCTTGTCTACGCAGCACCGTAGCTCTCTTCCTTCCCGACATCAACAATGAAAAGTCCGTCAAGACACCCGAGTACAAGACCCGGTTCGCGTCGCTCACGCACCTGGCGCTCGTCCGCGCCGCGCACGACACGATGGTCTACCCCCATGTACTACATTCGTGTCCATGGTCCTCGATGTCGGAATGCGACGCCGCTGGTGTAGGAGTCGGAGTGGTTTGGGGCGTACGCCGACGGTCAGAGTGACGTGGTGTTGCCCATGCGGTCGACGCAGTGGTACCAGCAAGACTCGTTTGGGCTCGCAACGCTCGATGACAGCGGTCGTATCACGTTGTACGAGACGCCAGGGGACCACCTCCAGGTCTCGACCGCCGACCTCCTTGGCTGGATCGACGCACATTTTGTAAACCACGCGGTCACGAATGCGTAAACGTGGCGTGTTAATGGGCAATGACGCGCTTGCAGTTGTCGCACGTCTTGTTGCAGTCCTTGCGATTGAACGTCTGCCCAAAATACCCCACGAGGTACTGTCGCCGACAGCTCGTCCGGTCTTCGCAATAGTCCATCATCTTTTCGAGCTTCTCCATGTGCACGGCGCGGCTCTTGGCATTGTTGCCCTTCTTGGGCATGTTGATGATGCTCTTCATCTTGACGACGTCGCGTCTACCGAGGCATGCCATTTGAAAGATGCTACAAGGACGGAGGTGCACCGGCTGTAGAAGATGGTGCAGCGGGACGGGTTGCCGTCGCGACCGGCGCGCCCTGCCTCTTGGTAGTATCCCTCGACGCACTTGGCGACCGCGTAGTGAATCACGTAGCGCACGTCGGGCTTGTCGATGCCCATGCCGTACCTGCCATGAAGAAGAGGATGATGCGGCATGTCAAGAGACCACGTACGCGATCGTGGCACAGACAACCTTGATCTCGCCGCGCTGCCACGCGTCTTGGACGAGCTCGCGGTCGCTGGACGACTGGCCCGCGTGGTAAAAGTCGGCCAAAATCCCTCGGTCAAAGAGGTAGTTGGCGACGTCTTCCGACTGCTGCTTGGTCATGCAGTAGACGATGCCGACGACCGAGTTGTCGTACTTGGTCTTGATGTACTTGAAGAGCGCTTCGAGCGCTTTGCCCTCTACATACGCACTATTGCAAGCGACCGGCGAGGATCGAAGCGTGTCGTACCTTCAGGGTCCTTCTCGATGACTTCAAATCTGCAGCTCCTTATTAGCCGATGGTTTTGTAGTCGCATGCACGTACGCCAGGTTCGTGCGGTTGAAGCTCATGGAGAAGATGGTCGCGCGCGGGATCTTGAGCACCTTCTTGACGTTCTCAATGACCTTTTGCGGCGCCGTGGCCGTCAGCGCCATCATGGGCACGGTCGGGAAGAGGTCCTTCAAGTTTCCGAGCTTGTGGTAGTCGGGGCGAAAGTCGTGGCCCCACGAGCTCACGCAGTGGGCTTCGTCCACGACGAAGCGCGCCAGCATCTTCTACTCGCCTCCAATAGCATCAACGTGTAATCCTCCTCGCCACAATGTACCCGCTGATGGAGGCTCTGGAGGACTTGGATCAAGCTGTCCGAGGCGGCAAGTCGCTCTGGTGTGACGTACAAGAGCTTGAGCGTCGGAACCGGGCGGTGCAAGTCGCGCCAAATGGCTTTCTTGAGCTTGGCCAAGGTTTGGCTCGAGAGAAAGGCCGCGGGAATGCCCACGGGCTGGTTCCGGACGAGCGACGTGACCTGGTCTTGGATGAGCGACAGCAGTGGTGAGACGACAATCGTGATACCAGGCGAGAGCACGGCCGGAAGCTACATGTCGTTGGAAGCGCCATCGTCGACCTAAATGACGTCTACCTGGTAGCAGAGGCTCTTGCCGCCGCCCGTGGGCATGAGCACGAAGACGTCCTGGCCCTTGAGCGTGGCCTCGATCGCATCCCGCTGGTTCCGCCGGAAGCCGTCGTTGCCGAAGATGGCCTTGTTGGCCCGCGCGATCTGGTCGTCGCGGACTCCCGCGTTCAGGAACGACTCCATCCTCACTGTGGCCAAAATATCCACGCGCCGGATACCATCAGGATATCATCCGGATACAAAGCCCAATTTGGCGCCAAACGAGCTGCGAGCGACCGTGGCGCTCGTTCGTGGACCCCACGCACAGCAGCGGGTGACGATGCGAATATTATTATTTTGAATGGCAAGCACAGATACTGGTAGACGTTTGTGCACTGGTCGACCAGCGACGTAGTGTAGGATGCAGCACAGGAGGTCGCGCCAAGATGCGACCATGACGACACCAAAAATGCATGTCGCTTCGGCCACGGCGGCGCAGAATAATGCCATGTAGCTGTCCTTAGCGAGTCAGCCTCGGCGAGCCATCATGAGACTGCATCGCTGGTGGCCCTTTGTGGCCCGCTACGGCTACCATTGTCAGCGCCTCGTGGTTTCGAGCGCACTTTATCTCGTGGTTCATGGCGTTCTGCACAAGTGCGTCGACATGCACCCGTTTGCGCACGAGGCTGTCGTCGTCGCATCCACCGTCGCGCTTGCGTGTGTCGCCTCGCAGTACGTCGCACGGTTCCTACTCACCTTTGTTTCCTTTTTGGTTGCTATGACATCGTCCTGGCTAGTACGTGGCGTCGCTTCAGATGGTGGTTGCTGCCGTGCCACCGTCCACCAAGTGTACCGCGCTCGTGTTTACATGCGGCTGTGCCGTCTCGTTCGTCGACGTGTGCTGTTATCGCGGCCGGTACCATGCTGTGATAGAGTACGTCTATGTTGCGCTCTGCCTCGGCGCTCCCGCCGTGCCCCTTCGCGACGTGGTCTACGATGCGGACGTCGTGAGCTTCGTTATCACCCTGTGGCCTGTGCTGAGCCTCTTTCCACTGCAATAAGTTGCGTGGACACTCGTGGCCTCGCTGCTGCTTTGCGCGCTGGTGGCGTGGCTCTGGATTGCTTGTGACGTGCGCTTTTCACGGCAAAAGCCTTTGTCGCCTGGCGTGACTTGCACATCATGTGCAGGTCACACCAAGATGTGCAGCACATCTTGGCAATCTTGGGTGTATCCGGCTTTTACGGCATCCGGCACGTCGGTTCTGCCAAATTGACGAGGCGGTGCCGACGATAAGATTAGCATTATCAAGCGGCGACGGCGCGATAAAGTACAGTAGTACGGCGGCAAGCAACCGTGGTACCACTGGACGACATGGCGAAGGACGAGTTTCGCTCCCCAATGTTTTACGAAGAAGACGCCAAAACCAGAAAGCCAAGTCCTACCGGTCGGTGCTGCGATTCAAAGACAACAAAAAGGCAGCGCTCAACGGGAAGATCGGGACGCTCAAGCTCCTGCCGTATGAAATCCCACCGAAAGATGGCGCGGCGCCGGTGTGCATGAAGCCATACCCTGCACTGGTATTGGGACGCGTCGCATGTCCAAGAAGGTCTTCCGCAGCGTGCTCGACCACGTGGCGAGCTTCTACACTCGTTACTTGGCGCCAAGAACCGCGAGTGCAGCTAGCGCGACCTGTGGCCGCACCACCGCTCTCTCGCGCCTCGACAAGGACGACGACGACGAGACGCTGACGCACGCTGACGTACGACACCCTCTTCAACTGAAGTCTCGCGCAGCACCAACATGACGACAAGTCGGAGCTCCAGGAGCTCTGGAACAAGTTCAAGCCAGTCGAGCTCTCTGGTACGACGCTTGAATGCAGTCGTGGGTCGCGCTGCTGACCAGAGCCATTCGCGATGTCCTCGACGCTCACGCGCTGTGTCAACCATTGGCGCGCCATAGTTGCAAACAGTCGCACTGCGCGTGACGGCGCCGACTCGACGGTCCAGACCTACTCATGTATCAAGTCGATGTATTGATATATATGGTTTGTACATTGCTAACTTGGCCGCGGCCGACAAGGCGTACGCGTTGCGGCCACGTGTTGCAAGACACGGACAACGCGCTGCGCTTGGCCGCTGCGGCTGCCGCCCCTCGCCACGGTCGGCGGATGTTTTCGATTTCCAAACATGCACTAATACCAAGTATGAATATTGATGCTCCTGCTATGTATGCAGATACTGGATTGGAGAAGCTAGAGAGTTGGTTGCTAGCGCATCGAAGCACTGCTGTGGAGCTATGCTGTGGAGATGCGCGCTAGTAGAATCCTCTCCACTTGGACGAGTTCTGTACCAGCGGTAACTCCTTGCCGGAGCGTACACGTGTACAGCACCAACAACTATGAATCAGGTTTAGCATGTCCAAACGTGTTTATAAAGTATGAATATCGATGTTCCTGCAATGCAGATGCTGGATTGGAGGAACGAGAGAGTTGGTTCAGCGAGGCACATGTACATACATGCTGTGGAGATGCGCGCTACTAGCATTCTCTTTACTTGGACGAGTACTGTACCAGCGGTCCCTCCTTGCCGGAACGTACACGTGTGCAACTATGAGAACTGCAGGTTGGTAGGTGTCGATGACGAGAGTCCATCATAAAAGAAAAGGACCCTCCACGGGCACATTGCATTGGTCCCCCTACCGGTACAAGAGCGAAGACCTTTGCGCCGTGCGCCAGACACTCTACGCGGGTACAAATGGCCCAGGCAGATACTTTGCCTCTTGCGACCGCAACCGCGTAGAATCGGAAAGGAGTAACACCACCGGGGATCGAACCCAGCGCCAACCGGTGCTAAACCAGCGTCTAAACCACTAGACTAATAGATGCCACTAGTTTCTTCTCGTTCGCAGTGGCTACTGTAGATTTCTTCTGCCGTACAAAAGCACCACGACCCTTTACACGCTCACTGACTTCTCGAGAGAAACCCTACCCCTCGTCGGAACCATGCATGCGTCAACAACACACAAGACCGAAAGAATTGCAGGATCCTGGTTGGTCGGGTGCTCCAATATGTGGAGGCTGCCACCGAGCTTGTATGACCCGAAGCGCTTGAAGTTGGATCCCAAACTTGCGTTCGCCCAGCTGTCTTGTCCGCTATTGGTGGCATATGCCACCTGACTGTATGCCGAATGCTGGCGACATGGCTGGCATTCGCGGCATGAGCCATCTCCTTTGCTGCCGAATTCAAAGGTCGGTGCCGAAGATAGGAACATTTGCGCTCTCAGTCGAGAACAGCCAGCGTCTCGCGTCTCTCCGAGGTCATACTAGCGTGGGCAGCATTGGATTGCAATGGCGCAGTCCCGACGGCGTGCTTCTGGTTCAGCCCGTCATCCTCGTCTCTTGCAAGCTCTGATCGTAGAGCTCTTTACTATTGTCGGGGCATACTTTCTGCGCATCGATGCGTCGACCCGCATGCACGACGCGTCCTGGTTCACAAGTTGAAGGATCACGGCCATTCTCATGTGCGCCTGGCATGTCCGGAAAGGCGGTGGTGTCGTGTTTGGCCGTCGTTGTCGGCAACACCGAGGCACCACCCGAGAAGCCAGCCATCGGTCGTGTCGAAATGTGCGAGGCCCTCGACGAGCTCGCGCTCGGTCGGAAAGATGCCAAAGGTTCATGCAATGTCGTCGTGGGAGGCAAGCACCGAGAGCATCAAAAGCAAGTCGTTCGCGCCGCAGCGTCCTTATTGAGAAGCGTAAACCACGGCAGGTGCAATTGGACGCGGTCGTTCCACTGCGGTCGACCGAACGCCTTGTTGGTATCGGAAGAAAGGCCCATAGATGGTGTACCAACACGCCGACGCCCAAAGCTACCAAGACCTTATACACCGACCCAATCTCAAAGAGCGTGGACGACGTTACGGGCATATTGAATTGTTCGTGCGAGGCAGAACCGTTTGCGAACTACTTTCGATATGTGCAGTACCTCGAGCAAGCCAAAACCCTCGGCGAGAACGACGTGGCCATCGCGCGCCACGGCGATAGCAAGACTAAGAAGGCGGGGCTCGGCCATTTTGCGCTGCATGTAGGCGCAGATAGCGTCCAGCTCGGGGTCAAGGGAATCATGGTCGACAACTATCGAAGCTCGCATCCTCATAACACACAAAACCAGTCATGTCCGTATGTGGAGAGTCCAAGGCAAGACGCAGCAATCGATGCAATGAGCTTTCCTCCACCGAGGCACTGGGCGCGCCACGAGGAACGTTCGGTGGACCTTTCAAACACAGCGGAATAATCCAGTCTTCATGGGCAGCGCCGACTCTGTCACCAGCGTGTTGACCGCCGACCAAGCAGAGAATTGGTGCCACGCAAGAAGTATCGCGGTAAAAATAGAGTGCTGCGTACGCCCATGACCCCTGCACCTTCCTTACGGGTGTTGCCACGACGCTTTATACTGGTGCTGCCAAAAAATGGGGGGGATAGGGCCCCGTGAAGACGCAACTTCATTGCCGCAGTACCGCCAGAGGGAGGATGGACGTGGCCGGATCCGTAGTTGCCCGCAATGGGGTGGGCGTTAATTGCTGGAGTTATCCCGCATGCACTCCATAGTTTCTTCGTACCGTACAGATATGTTGTTACGCGCTTCGAGCCTTGGTACGCGCCTCCTTTTTTCTGTTTTTTGAACGGCGACGTTATAGAGCAACAATCAATTCAATCAAACGTGTTCGCGTTGAAATCAAATTAGCAAAAACTAACTCAAAGACTTCGCATACGTAGCGCTACGCCTGAATGCGTGGGAGTTGACACGAGCGCTTAATTGTTGGGAGTGAGCTGCGTACGATCCATCCCGTGGTGAGCCCACTCGCCGAGGGATAGCACCGACCGCTGCCAGCGACCGGCACTTACGGTACTCATCAGAGGACGTAAGACACAGGGCACATAGCACGCCGAAGAGCGTCGTGGTCCTTGGAATGGCGTCACCCAAATCCAGCCAAAAAGTTACAGAGTAATAGGTAGAGAAACTATTGCTCTTGCGGGCTCCTCATATTATTAATAATAATTCGCCTAAATAATAGTACGACAGCTGGTTTCAACAATGGGTTCCAGCTGCAAGACCCATCAACCCTCATCAACCCTACTCGACCCAGGTTCACGTGTCAACCATATGGTATGCAAAGCCATCTGAGCGCACATGACATGTGCTGAGCGATAGGAGGCCTCGTGCCCAACCCTGAGGGATGCATGCATTCTAGAACTAGAAACCTGTGGTTGACAAGGTTTGATGCATGAGCATGTCGAGAAATATCTATTATCAAAAAGGCATTAAATGAAGATGTTACATCGCTCACACAGCCATGGCGATGACGTGGACATGTGTGCGGAGGACGAAAGATCGAGCACAGCAGCACATCGAACGACGACGTCACGACCGACCAAGCGCTGCGAGTAAAAACGCGTGAGGGTAGCGGCTTTAACCGCGATGCTATGTGCTCTTCTTCTGCAGCCGCCATCCGTCTAGTTTGCACGGTGGTACTGGCCTAATAGTCGCCGTGTCATAGCACTCGGCCAAGCACTTTCACACGGTTCGTTTTTGCTCGTACTACATTGTTTGCTATGGCAGCCAACTTGAACTTTGCGAAAAATATTTCGCTACGTGGCGGCCGCAAAAGGATATCGTTGCGCGTGTCCATTGTCGCCACGCCGATTCTTTGGCGGCGATTAAGAATGTATAAAGTCGAACGATGATGCTGCAACGAGTAGCCAATGCCCCTGTGCACCCTACGTCGTACGGCGTAGTGAATACGACTTGTCTGGACACTCTTCGGGCGATTTCTTCTCAAGACGATCGCCATGGTTCAAAAATCGGCTTGTCCGGCGTCGGAGGGTTAATCATCGCTCCGCTCGCAAAAGGTACTCTGACGGAGAGGTGAGTCGGTCTGTACTAACGTAGTATGAAGGATGTGTAACTTCTTGCTTCGCCAAGAGCGGAAGCTGCTTCCGGCGCGCTAGTTCGCAATGCAGCTCGGATATGGGCGCTTTGATGTTGAAGCTGGCGCTTTGCGGACACGACACCAGATTCAGAAGCAGGTCGGATGCCGCCCGCCCTAGAGTAGCTCTGATTGGTGTGACGCATCGCCGCCGTGATAGAGACGTCGGATACGTTAAGAGCTTGCCTCGCGTAGTACTTGTCGATGGATCGAGTTGGGCACATTCAACGATTTTGCCGCCGGATGGCCCAAGGTATTACTTCGACCGAGCGCATCATCGATTGCTACCTGGCTATCGACGTGACATCATCATTGGTACGACCTTGGATGACCCGTGTCACCCAAAGGCCAAACTGGTAGCGCCAACTTCAACGTGGCTGAATGCCCAAGCACGACCTGCATTCTCGACTCGCCAACGAGCCAATCACACGCCCCTGCGTCGTCGGGGCGATCGCAATTCTGTCTCGGACGACATCTGCGCAGGCGAGTTCAGAGGCCACAATCGCATGAAACTTTAAGAGGGAAGAAGGCGCGCGCGTCCCTGGCACCGACGTCTCATCCTCCGCAGACCAGCCCACGAGCGAGGGCACAAAATACGCCATATCAACGGCCATGGGCACACCATCTGGCGTGCTTGCGCAACTCGGCGGTAGCTTGCACAGCAGAGAAGCCGGCGAAGCGTAGTGCCATCGCGCTATCGAAAAAGACAGGGGACTTTCTCGGAGCAGCAATCTGCGTATGCATATATAGTCCGACCCAGGCGTCCTCTGCGATCCCTCCGCGTTGCAGCCATCTCGCACGCTTGCCGCGCACCACGTTTATACTCGAAAGGCGCGTTGAAGCAGCTTTCTTGTGCAGCGCCTTCCAGCTGCGTTGCAACCTCAAGCCGCTTCTTGTCTTTGTCGACGCGCCAGCGCAACGACGCTCGAGCCGCTTCGATCACGACGCTCTGCGGTTACACACAAGCTACTCCAGTCTTCTCTGATCTCGAAAATCCGACCAATGCTATGTACCAATCATTGAGAAAGCTTAGCCGGGGTTGGGTACTTGCTGTGATGGGCACCTTGACTCCCAGAACGCATCGCCGTCGTCTTGCGGGCGAAAAGTGCGATGGTGTCGAATCGACGCGGAGGGAGGATCGGTGATGCTTGCTGCGTGCTAATGCACGACGTCGGAGTGGGAGGCGCAGGATCATGCACCCAATCGACCGACACAGATGCAGAAGCTTCTGGACAGATGGCGTTGGCGCTGCAGCGAGCATGCCGGCAACGTTGAAGTTACGGTACAGCACATGGTGCGCGTCGTCTGACTCGGCGAGCTTGGAATTTCTGGTCCACTAAGTGGCGCCCCACCAACGCTCATTTTGCTTTCTGCTTCCTTCTGCGCATCAGCCCGTACAATGAGCTCGGCGATCTCGGCATGCTTCCAGCGTCACTGGACGGTCGAGCCGCCGGCAAAGACGCCAGAGGAAATCGAGGCCGAGAAGTACCTCATCTGCATCCCGCTCTGCGGCAACCGGTTCCTCACGGTCAAGTCGATCCCGTTCAACCGCTGGTACCTCTTCGCCGCGTCGTTCCTGTGCCAGTTCTGCTGCGGCTCGCTCTACTCGTGGTCCATCTACAACGTCCCGATCGACACGTACATCTACGACGACCCGAAGGCCGGGAAGGCCGTCTACACCTTCTACATGGCGTGCGGTCTCCTTGGCAGCACGGCCGCGGTCCTTGGCCCGTGGCTCGAGCGCAACGGCCCGCGCCGCGGCCTCTTCCTCGGTGTCTCGATGTTCTGCTCCGGCTACGTCATCGCCGCCATCTCGCTCTGGTCCAAGTCGATCATTGGCATCTACATTGGCTACGGCATCATTGGCGGCTTTGGCCTCGGCATCAACTACATCTCGCCCGTCTCGGCGCTCCAGAAATGGTTCCCGGACATGCGCGGGACGGCGGCCGGCTTTGCGGTCGGCGGCTTTGGCGCGGGCTCGATCGTCTGGGGCAAGGTGTACCTCCCGGCGGCCAAGGCGTTTGGTCTCCCCGGCTCGTTCATCTTCCTCGGCGTCCTCATGTCGACGGTCATGTTCTGCTGCGCGGTCGTCATGCGCACGCCGCCGCCGGGCTTTACCGCCGCGGGCATGGACATCCACGGCGTCCAGGAGTCGAGCAAGCTCCATGAGGACTCGAAGCTCGCCGAGTCGCCCAAGCACGACGAGGTCCATGTGCAGTACACGGAGCTCTCGGAAGCCCATGGCCGCGAAGTGCACGCACCGACCACGACTGTCCACGAGCTCAACCAGGACAACTACAAGAACGTCAAGAGCCTCAAGCTCATCGACTGCCTCCTCTCGGCCGACTTTTTCTTCATGTACTTCATGCTCGCGGGCAACATCGTCTTTGGCCTCGTTGCGCTCTCGCGCCTCTCGTCGATGGCGACCGAGATCTTCAAGCAGACGCCGGACGAAGCCGCGACGGTCGTCGCGATCAACGGCGCGTTCAACTGCTGCGGCCGCCTCTGCGTGCCCATGGTCTCGGACGTCCTCGCCCGCAAGTTCAAGCTCAACCCGCCCTTCGCGCGCAAGATCATCTTCTTCTGCACGCTCACGATCCAGATGGTGATTCTGCTCACGATGCCCAGCATCATGCGCGAAGCGACTACGACAGCTTCCGTGCCGAGATCTGGGTGCTCACGCTCTGCTACGGCGGCGGCTTTGGCACGATCCCCGCCTTCCTCACCGACATGTTCGGCGCCTACAACATTGGCGCGCTCCATGGCTTCGTCCTCACGGCGTGGTCGATCGCTGGCGTCGGCGGTGGTCTCGGCTTCACGTTCTACTACAACGACCTCGTCAAGGTCCAAGGCGTCTCGATCCCGGAAGCGTACATCCAGAACATCCACTGGATCGTCGCGACCGTCATTGTCGGCTACGTCGCGCTCTTTGGTGTGCGGACCAACCCCGCCGACCGCTTCGCACCGGGCTACCAGTACAGCATCTGCGGCAAGCCCGTCCTCCGCATCGGCGCGACGCCCAAGACCCACTGCCACGTGTAAGCATCCTTCGTCGCCACCTCGTCTTGTCTCTCTACTGTACTACTTGCTCTTTTAACCTGAATACGATCCATCGTGCGTGAACCTGAACCCTTCTCTGTATATGCATGGAGGCCTTGAAGGCCACGGCAAGCGCTTGGAGCATCGCACGGCAGAAAAAATGGTCGTCGTCAAGCAGCAGATGGCCATGACCACAGTAGGACGTCCCATATCGCACTCGGGCCGTGGCGCCCAGATGCGATGCCACGTGGCCGGCGATCCTGCGAGGACCAAGCCACGATGCATGTACACGCGTTCTACGCCTGCACGTCGATCGACGGCTGGCTCGTTGAGACGTTGAGAAGCTACCGGTGTGGGCCTCTTGTACCGCGCGAGCGCCTGTCCGCTGCCTTGGGCTGGCAGCGCCGACCAGATGCATCGCTGCCACCGGCCGGCGGTCGCAGGCCTGCGCTTGCAAGGGCCGCCCGTCCTCGGCAGCGCGGTCCTGGCCTCGTGCTGCTGGCCGCGCTGGCGACCCGTTACCGGATGTCGTATATCTGTTTCGACGTCGTATATCTTTTCAAGTATACAAACGCCAAGAGCCAATTGCGCCGCCGCAATTCTTAACGCCCGGCCTAAAATACGCCGGCTATTCTGTGAGCTCGGCGTCGGCCGCGAAGAGAACTGCATCGTGGATGGAGATGAAGCGCAAGCACACGCCGGCCGACGAGGGCCCGCTGCCCATCGAGACCAACGCTTGCGGTGCCAAGGGCAAGACACGCAAGCGCGACGCGGAGAACGCGCATGCCAACGCCGGCGACGGCAACGATGAGAACGGCGAGAACGACGACGAGGACCACGAAGCGGCGTGTGGCGACGATGCGCCGCTGGCCGTCGCCAAGCAGCCGCTCGCTAAGCCGCGGCCACGGATGCGGAATCCCGGCAATCTGCTCTTGGACCTCTCGACCATGGAGCCGCATCCGCCACCGACGCATGGCGGCAAGAAGGTCGACTACGCCAACGTGTGCTCGCGCGTCACGGACTTTCTCTACGTGGGCGGCGCGGTCGTGGCCGCCAAGCACGAGACGCTCCTCGGGCATGGCATCACCCACATCATCAACTGCGCCGGCACGGTCACGCCCGACTTTTTCCCGCACCTCTTCTCGTACTACCATTTGCGGCTGCGCGACCACGCGACCCAGGACATCCACCGGCATTTCTACAACATTTTCCACTTTATCGACGCGGCGCGCGAGGCCAACGGCAAGGTCCCCGCTTCGAGCCTCGGCGACCGACCGAGTTTATATGTTGTTCTTGTTGTAGGTGTTTGTGCATTGCGTGAAAGGCATTTCGCGGTCACCGACGATGGCGATCGCATACCTCATGGCGCGCGAACAGCTCGGCTTGTACCCGGCGCTCGAGCGCGTCCGTGCGTCGCGTCCCGTCATTGATCCGAACGCAGGCTTTATCTTCCAGCTCAACGAATGGGACTCGTTGCGGCAGCAGGCGCGCAAGCAGGTCACGATCTTCCGCATCGAATCGTCGTTCTCGGACGACGACGACGTGGACGACGAGTCGCACCCGCTCATCGTCGGCCCCATGACGCCGCAGCAACTCGTGTCCATCTCGCCCGAAGTCGCCACCGTACTTGTACGTCAATAAGCTTGCACTAAGCTCCTGATGGTGACGTGGCAGGACGAGCACCACGAGTCGTGCTTTGTCGTGCTCTCGATGGACACCAACTACTGCTCGCTCTGGTGCGGCCGCGACGTCTCCGACTCGCTTGTCGCCTCGGGCCGCGCCGCCATGGTACGCCTCGTCCGTTTCTACCCGCACTTTTGGATGCGATCGATGTGGTCTAGCGCCTCTTGCAGACGTACGAAGCATTCCCGCCGACGTTCGAGGTTGTTCTAAGCGGCCACGAACCCGCTACATTTTGGAGCGTCGTCGCGCCCGAGGCCGAGGTCCGTGTGCGCGACCATAACGACGACGACGACGGAGCTGCCACGCGCGACGATCGACCGTCGTCGTCGTCATCCTGTTTGACCCATGCCTAGTCGACGCACCGTCGTCGTCGTTGTAGAAATATTACACCCTCGTCTGTTGTACATAACGCTACGGCTGGTGGCGGAGCTCGAGAAGCAGCGACCGGAGGTGCAAGACCTCGGTGCGCAGCGACTGCACTTCGTGAACGAGGAGCGACAACACCGAGTGGTCGCGGAGATCGGCGATCGGGTCGGGTGCGATGGGCGATGCCAGCTGCGACTTGGTCGACACGACAAAGCCCACCACGCAGAGAGACAGCACGCAGAGGACGCCGAGGTGCTCCATCGGGCGGGTATACGCGGCGTGGAGAAGGCTCACAATGGAGGCAGGCGACACAGAGCTCGGCTCGTCGGCAGACTCGACAATGTGGGGCGCCGGATACGGCGTCGCGTCTTCGTGTTCGGGCGCCCATGCCGTGCTACTGCTGCATCGGCGCCCAGGGTGACGGCGCGTGGGTGCGTGTCCCTGTAAGATCGGCGGGCCCATGCGCTGGCTCGGCGAAACGGTTCTATCCGGATATCCATATCTCGTTGTGCCAATGACGTGGCAACATGCTAGGGCTCCAATAGTATACCCCGCGGTGCTCTTCGCAACGCCATGTCTGATCACTCAAGTTCGATGTCGTGTCCCTCGGCGAGACGCAGTAGCGCTCCTCGTCACCCGTGTAGAACGCATGTGGCTGTGCCCAATGGGATGGACGATGGATGCTTTGGCCTCGAATCCTTGCACGATTGTCGTCTACTCTTGATAGATGGGACGACCGCAAGGTGTGCACTAGAGAGCAGTGCTCGTGCCATGGCCGCTCCAACTTGCTCGCATGAACTTTCTCAGCAGCCGTGCGTGTGACACTGCTTCATGGCAGCTATACTCGTCCACGGATGCCATGCAGTTTATACAGGACCGACATGCGTATTCAACAGCGCCAACCCACGACGCTCTGGATCGCCATCGGGTGGAGCTACGAGCACTTCGGCTCGGTATACCTTGCTTGTCCAAGGGGCTCTGTGAGCATACGACAAGAAGGTGGACCATCTTGGTCCGAAATCCGAAAATATCAACTGCCTTTCTGCGAAGCGTCTAACTATAGCCTTGTGATGTGCAAAGTCGGCGCAAAGATAGCGTTCGCCACTTTGCATTTCCGCATTCGCGCTCGACTTGCATGGTCGCGCTTCTCCGGTGGCTCGTGCTTTGGCCGCTCGCTGCGCTTGCGCATCGGACCCACATCGCGTCGCTCGACGATGGTACGGATTTCATCGCCACGAAGCCGTCAGTACTAACGCCGTCTCTGTCTAGTTCTTGGGGATAGCTCCGCGCGCAACCTCGATGTCGTCGAGGTACTCAACGTCTCGCCACGGTTGTCTGCTTTCGGCAGCGCCCCCGAGCAGCTCAATGTCACCTTGCGGACGCACGGCGTCGACGTCGTCGCTCTCGTGCAGCGGCACCACGCCCTCTTCGACCCGGAAGCGCTAATCTACGCACACATGGGCCCCGAGTCCGCGACGCTGCCGGTGGCCTCGCCCCACGACATTGCGTACGCGGGGTCCGTCCTCGACGGCGGCTACGCCCGCCTCACGCTGCAAGACGGTGCTCGCTTCCACGCCACGCTCAAGATGGGCGACCGTCTCCTCGTTGTCGACCTCGTCGAACAGCACGCGGGTGCGCTGGCGTCGGACTCGGGCATGGTCGCGTACTTTGTGCCGCTCGCCGACGTCCACGTGGAGGGTGCTGACCATCGCCGGCTCGCTTGGGGCCGCATGCAGAACTGCGGGTGGGCCGCGCAACAGCTCCTTGTGGGCGTAGCGTCCGACGCTGGCTTCACGGCGCAGCACGGTACGCTCCACTTATATACCTAGTATCTCATGGATACGGTGTGCAGGCGGCGCCGCGGCGACGCAGTCGTACCTCATTGCGGTCTACAACTCGGTCAACGGACTCTACGACGACCAGATCGGCGTACATTTGACGATCGGGACCTTTCTCATCGAGACCCAAGTGGGTGGACCAGCGTGGAACTTGGCGCCGGGTGGCTGCGGCGCCAACGCCGACATGGGCACGCACCTCGACACAATGAAAACGTATGTGGCGTGGATGTCGTAGTCCATCGCCGGAAGCTCAATGTTGTGCATGTAGCTGGGTCGCAACGGGTTCGCCGCCGCTCTGCGGGTCCCAGCCCTGTGGCTTGTGGCACCTCCACACCAACTGCAACGCCGACCCGCGTACGTTTATTGTTTAGAAGGCACGCGAGAGGCTCATGCAAATGTGTAGAGTACAAGGGGACGGTCGCAGGTATCGCGTGGATCGGGACGCTTTGTACTGGCAGCGTCGGCTACAACACGGGCGTCTCAATCGACGCGGCGGCCCGGACGTGGATCCTTGTCGGCCACGAGATTGGCCACAACTTTAACGCGCAGCATACGTTTGCCGAGGGCGGTATCATGAGCTACGACTGGTCAACGCCGATGCGGTTTATCGACAACAATCAAGTGTGCAGCTATGTGGCTTCGGTGCAAGCCAAGTGCCTCTCGCCCTTCCCGACAACACCGACACCGACGGCGGCACCAACACCAACACCGACCACCACGACTGTGACACCGAACCCCACGACTGTGACACCGACTCCCACGACTGTGACGCCGACTCCCACAACGGTGACACCGACTCCTACAACGGTGACGCCGACTCCTACAACGGTGACGCCTACAACGGTGACGCCGACGCCGTCAACGGTGCCAGCAACAACGATGGGTGGTACTCCGACGCCAAGCGTCGTGACGCAAGACCCGTGCGCGTGTGCGACGACCAACCTCTGTACGCAGCTCAATCGACCGGGTTGTCAAAAGCACCAGGATCAGTTTTACTATTGCTACGTCGTCGGATACGCAGCGTGTGCCTCGGCGCTCCTGTCGGACGCGTGCACCAATGCTCAAGGCCAGCCTCTGTACTATATTACCTCCAAGGCCAGCTGCCCCGCCTTGAATGCGTCGACACCGCAACCGTCGAGCAGCACTCCAGAGCCATCGACCACGGTGACGCCGGCTCTCACCACCGAGACGCCGGTTCCCACGACCGAGACGCCGGTTCCCACGACCGAGACACCGGTTCCCACGACCGAGACACCGGTTCCCACCACCGAGACACAGGTTCCCACCACCGAGACTCCGGTTCCCACCACCGACACGCCGGTTGCGACGACCACGCCACCGGCAACCACCACTGCTACGTCGAATGTGCCGACGACGATCATGACGACGACAACAGGGCCGACGCCAACCAGCGTGACACCGACGCCGACGACCCGCGATGATCCGTGTGCCTGCTCGACGACCAGTCGTTGCCCGACGATTCCGAATGGCGGGTGCCAAAACTTCAACGGCCAAGGCTGGTGCTACGTCAAGGACCCTTCTCGGTACTTGTCCAAAATTCTTGTTTTCCAGCGCTCAACGATGTGTAGGTGCTTCGGGTCGCAGGCGCTGAGCTCAATGGACTGCCCGGGCGAACTCTACAAGCCCTGCCCCCTCTCGAACGCAACGACGCCGCCTCCTGCCACACCCCGACCGCGTCCTATCGACCCGTGCGGGTGTTCTGCAACGCCCAAGTGCCCCAGCATCGACGCCTCGGGTGGCTGCTTTCGAAACGCGTCGTCCGGTGCGTCCTTTTGCTTTGTCAACGATCCCACCGCGTACGTTCCTTGACGATCGCTCTATCTCGTCTCATCATGTTCGTATTCCTCAGATGCCGTGCGCCTGGGACCATCACGCTGTCGACACGGGCGTGTGCAGGCCAAAAGCTGCGGCTCTGCTCGTCGTCGTCGTCGCGCACCGAGTGGGTCTCGTCCGAGTGGTCGCAGTGCTCGGCGACCTGCGGCGGCGGCGAGAAGCGGCGCGTCGTGCGCTGCTCTGACCGGCGACACGCCACGACGCTCCCCGACAGCGCCTGCGCCGGCGTCACCAAGCCCGTGACGCAAATACCTTGCAACACCCACGCATGTGCCGGCGCCAATGCGACCAGCACGGCCTGCGCCGGCCCACTGAACTCGACCTGCGTGCTGCGAAAGAACAAGCGGTTTTGCGACTGCGCGTGCGACGCAGGATTTCTGTACGACCGCAGTCGGCGCGACTGCGTCGCTGCGCCCACGGGGAGCCGCAACGTGAGCGTTTGGAGTGCCAGTAGCTTTGAGGTGCGCTCCCACAACGTGGCGCCGCTGCAACCGACCAGCTGCAACGGTCGAGCGGCGGCAAACACGACTGTCACCGCATCGTGGCGCGCCATGGTCAACCAAGACACGAGCTCGGGTGCGGCGTCGGCGTCGGATCCGTCGCCGGCGGCGGTCGTCATGATCGCTCTCGTCGTTGCGGCGCTCGCGGTCGTCGTGGCGATCGTCGTGTACCGACGCCACCGGACGTCGGACCGCAGCGTCGACGGCATGGTGCAGACGCCCGTGTACCTCGTCGATGCGACGCCCGTCTCGATCATGTAGTGGCTCATCACTTCAACATGGATGATCGGCAATCGAGATTCGAGACACATCCTGCTGCACGGTGATAGGCCGAAGAATAAAAATAGGCGCCATAGACAGTGTATTTGTATACATGATAAAAAATGGATATTGTACGATGGATTGGCTAAAACACGCCATTTACCTTGTGACTTACAGCCGGCAGCGCTGTTGCTGCCATCGGCGCCAAAAGTTTGCTGGAACCAATAACTTGCTTGCCATAACGCAACGGATACCTGGATAGCTCATCTAGCCATAGAAAGGCTTGGACTTCCCAGGCGATGTAGATACAACGGCAAGGACTGGATACCGGTACTGGATCGATCGACCATGAGAATAAGCTTAGCGGATAGCTGACTTTGTGGCGCAAGAAGCTGGCGCAAGTAGCCGCTGCACTTCCGAAAAGCTGGATGGGTGCGTTCTCCTAGACCCATTAAAAGACGTGCTACGATCATACACGCGACATGTAATGTCAGCAGTTGCGTGCGCGGCTGCACGAGCCGACTCTTCAAGCACTTGCCTCGTCAAGAAGCGACCCTTTGGTAGCTCAATGCCCGTAGCTCTCTCTCAAGCCTCCCATATTGGTAGCAGACAGTGCCCCACACGTCCTGGTGCCATGGTATAGACCACGCGACCCAGGGGCAGTAATCCCGTCAGCATCGTAGATACACTTGCAGCGTTCGAAATCTGAACTTGGCGCGTGAGTGGCAAAGTTGGGTGGAATTAGCTGCACTCCGACCACACTGGATCGCAATCTGCACTTGTGCTTTTGACCTCAAGAAGAGGCACGGCTGATGAAGCTGCTTTTGACGACTGCTTGGTTGGCGGTCACCGCCGCCTCCTTCTACGACGGGTGGAAGCTGCCCGACTACTGCATGGACCCAAAGGGCATGGCCGCCCGCCAAGCCATTCCGCCACTCCAGACGAGTCGCAACTTGGAGCTTGTCCAAGCGCAGGTCGTCGCCCGCCACGGCGCCCGCGCGCCGTACTACGCTGCTTTTGCTGGGACACTGCGCCGAGCCCTGTGAGCGTCACGTGGAACTGCTCGACCAACCAAGTCTGGGTACGCCGACATCTCCAACTGCGTGGCCGCTACACAATGATATGGTGCAGACGCAAAACTTGGACGAAGGCAGCCAAGCGCGTGGCTACGGGCGGCTGTACCGCAAGCAGTACATCAACCACCGCAACGTCCTCAACGGCACCTGCATGGTCGGCGGGCTCCTTCCCATCGGCCGCGAGCAGCACCGGCAAAACGGCGCGTACGGTCTACGTGCTTGCGTTGGCGCCACACTCCGTATCTTCTTGCGATAGGATCCTCCGTGACGCGTACATTGGCGACGGCCCGCGCAAGCTGTTTTCGACCAACAAGATTGGCGTACGTCGAGCAAACACTGGCACATGCAGCGTCTGGAAAGGGACTCTGTAGGAACGCGCACCCCACGAGCTTCTGCTGCGCAGGTGCGCCCTTGCTTCATGCTAGCGTCGTCATCTTATTGGTGCTGTCTCAGTGACGATCAAGAGCGGACGCTCGGGTCGGGCCAAGCGCTCGTCGACACGCTCTTCCCGTACTCGCCCGAGGACGAGGCGAACGTCGATGCTATGCTCACGTGGATGACGGCAGACGCCAACTCGGACTACATTGACCACCGCCGGGACACGTCATGCCCGATGCTCGACCGCGTACGCAACCCATCTCTGGATGCGTTAGAATCATCTTGTTTGGGGCGCTAGATGGCCAAGGAGATCAACAACTCGCCGGCCGTCGTCGCGCACCGCAACAGTCCGGCCGTGCTGTCGCTCCAAGCACGCTTTAACGCGATTGTCGGCGTCAAGTTTCAGTGGGACACGTGTCTCGAGTGCCTCATGATTGCACGGTACTACGCCGCTATCCTGCCTGGACAGCTCTTGACACACGAGGCAGATGCAACAACTTGCCGCTGCCCGACGGCACGACCGAAGAGCTCTTTGATGCGCTCATCCACGAGGTCCAGACGCGCACGCGCATGAAGCTCACGTACCAGAACGGCGCGTACGCCAAGCTCGACATGCAGCACATGTGGCGCGACATCCTCAAGCGCGTCGACGCCGCCATCCACGACCCGTCGTCCGCACTCAAGCTCAGCATCACCATGGGTACCCACACAGCAATGTACCATGATTGACGTAGCATACGCATAGGTCATGACTCGACGCTGATGCCGATGATGGCGGTCGCCATGGGCCCGACGTGGGACGGCCACTGGACGACCTACGCTGGCATGCTTGTATTGAAGTCTACCGGGTACCAAGCAATGGCGCTATGTACTTGCGCCTCACAGTGGCTCTAGGACGTCGACATGGATCGTCGGCACGGCGACGCCTTTGCGATTCGGCTTGTTTACAACGGCAAGCCGCTCCAGCTGCCCTTCTGCAACGACGGTAGGCGAGCCATGCGGCGTTCTTGTCGCTGATGTGCTTGCTAGAGCTCTGCCCGTGGTCGACGTTCAATGCGTCGCTGTCGTGGGCGCGCGAGACGCGGCAGTGCAAGCTGCCGACCAAGGCATCGACCCGCCTCGACACCAACGTAGCGACGCATCAGCCGTCGGGCGCGTGGTTCCTCCTTCCCGTCGGCGCGTTCCTCGCGGTTGTCGGGACCTTGGCCACGCGCCAGAGCCCGTACCGGCGCGAGACCGATCCGCTCCTCGGCTAATCCCGTCCACCGATTTTCAGATGATGACTTTTTTCCTGTGTGTACGCTGCTGCTTGTTACCACACCTCGGCTATGTACTTGCCGTCGTCTTGGAGGCGCGAGATAAACGCCTTGGCGGCGTCGTCCGTCCAGCCGTTGGCGGCCACGAGGCAGGCCACGAGCGCGTGCTTGACGTCCCGGCCCATGGCCAAGGACCCACAGACGCAAACGGTCGCCTTGTCGTCAACCAGAGCCTTGGCCACGAGGCTGGCGCGGGCAACCAACGCATCTTGCACATATTGCTTTTCCTAACTCGGAAAATCGCACCATCGGAACGAGCTCCAGTCGTCGTACCGTGCTTGGGTCGCGCGAGAAGACGGGGTAGTACCCAGCGAGGACACCGGTCGTCGCTGCCGCTTCCAACTCGGCGTGATACAGCCAGTCCATATCGCGGCGCTGGGACCCGTGGAAGAGCACCATCGGTGGCCATTTACGCGTAATACTGTCATGGAGTCGCTCCTGTGCGATCGCCCGGAACGGCGCAATCCCCGTGCCCGTGCCAATGCACAGCAGCGGTGCGTTTGAATGCAGCTGCTCGCTAAAGCCCGAGCGCTTGACGTAGCCAAACAGGTGCGACGACGCAGCTGCCATGTACATAGCGCAACGGCCGCGCGACTTGAGGCTCACAGCGACCGCGAGCGTTGACGGCTGCGCCGCCGCCGAGGATGCGATCGTGTATTGCCGCGCGGGCAGCGATGGCGCCACGGCAAGAAGGGCGTCGAGGGACAGCGACATCGACGCAAACTGCGACAGCAGATCGACCACGTTCGGGGCGTCGCCGTCGTTGGCCCATGCCTGCGCCAGCGCCAGCACTGCTGCTTGGTCGGCGGCGTTTCCAGCGTACGCCGCCAGCAAGCGCAAATGGCGCGGCCGCAGCGGCGACGTCAAGTCCACGGCCCACGTGAGGAGGGTCGCGACTGTCGTCCAAGCTCCGAGGTAGGTCGGCGGCAGGTTGGCGCAGGCATCGACGCGGAGCACGGTGTCCAGGCTCACGCTGAGCCGCGTCGCACAGGCGGCGACCGCGCTGTCCGCGTTGCGCATGTGCACAACGAGGTTGTCGGCTGTCTCGTACGGCGTGCGAATGTCGACTTCAATGTGGCGAACGCGGGGCGAGCCGAGCTCGGTATTGATGCGCACGGGCAGCAGCGCCACGTCGCGTGGTAGATACGCGACGTCGAGTGTTTCGAGGCTCGTCGTCTCTGCCATCGTGAGGATGGTGTCGACGGGCGATGGCGGCGGCAGCGTCGCCTGGTCGCCCATCTCGCTCCAGCGCACGCTGTCCTCGTACTCCATGAGCTGCTCCTGGTACACGAGCAGCACGCAGTTGGGACAGTTGAGGTTGCAGCAATCGTCGTCTTGGGGCTTCACGGGCGGCTCGAGGCGCAGCGTCTTGGGCGCCTGCGATACGATCAGCTCCGCGTCCAAGGACCATATCCTGGCTACCTGCGGAGGCTGCTCGGCCCGGCGCTTCTTCGCAAGCTCGCGCTCAAACTCCATGAACGCGTCCATGCTGTACATCGCGCTTCGTCCAAGCGTCGGTCGTCGCCATCGCCGCCCCGTGGCGCGGATGAGATGCCCAAGCATGGTAAATTCGGCAAACGCCGCCTCTCACATCGCAAAATCGGCATCTGCCATGGGCAAGGCTGGCACAGTACGCTTATCTTTCATCGATCGCCGAGGCCATCAATCCACTCAAAAAACGAGTCGTTGTGGGACTACTAGTACCTCGTTGGCGTCTACAAAGACTAGACCAGCACCGTCGACGTCGACTATTCTCTAACCTCCTTGGAGAACTTGAAGACTTGCGAACATCGAGCGATCCACGGGATGATGACAATATTGTCCATCCGTGCGTAGACCGTCCTCACGGCGACATACGGTGAGCGTGGCACATGCTTTGACGCGCGTCGCGACCACAACATTGTCTACTACCTGGTACGTGCGTCCATGTGCCACGTCGGTTTTCCGGTCCTCGTGGCATGGACGCCGAATCTACCGTTAAATGCGCGACGGTTTATCTCTTGAAAAGAAGCTCGTGCTGAGTATGGACGTCGCATTATAAAACGACGATCTTTCCCGGGCAAATCCCGGTAGGCGTTTCATATCCTCTCTCGCCGGCATATCCAAAATCTACTTTTTCTGGCAGGCTATTGATTGCTAGAGGTTATCGGGTGGCCGGCCCACGCGCTGCCAATACAAACATCAAGTTCTTTAAAATGTCTGGTGGCGGTCACATAAACAGGATGGCCGAGAGTATGTTTTTTGAGAGGTGATGATTTGGCACGTTTGGTTGGTGCGCAAGGGAAACCCCAGGAAGGAACCCCACTCCCCATATTTCCACCTGAAGATGCTCCGCTCGATTGGTCGTCTCGCCGCTGTTGCCCGCCCGGTCCAGAAGACCGCGCTCCATGCGCTCGTCTCGTCCTTCCACGTCGCGGCCTTTGCCGCGCCGGCGGCCAAGACCATGCTCGCGCCGCAGTTCGCAGTCTTCGGCATGCCCGCCAAGGGCCACTTCTTCTCGTCGTACGCGGACGCCGACCGCCTTGCGTGCACCATCTTCATCGGTGGCTTGCCGTTTGACACGGAGGAAGAGCACATTAGCGACTTGTTTTCGCGCTTTGGCGACATCGAGTCGATCCACATGCCCAAGAAGCGCAACGGCACGCCCATGGGCACGTGCTTTGTGCGCTTTGAGAGCGCCGAGGCTGCTGCCAACGCGCTCGAGCTCGACGGCGAGCAGTGCGGCTCGCGCTACATGGCCGTCAAGAAGGCCGAGCAGCCGCGTGAGCGCGCGCCCGCCAGCACGGAAAAGCCCGAGGGCTGCACGAGCATCCGCTTTGCCAACGTGCCGTACAACGTGACGGAAGACAGCATCCGCGAGATCTTTGCCCACTGCGGCGACATTAGCTCGATCTACTTCCCCAAGGATAAGGACACGGGCCGCGTCTTGGGCTACGGCTTTGTCGAGTTCGTCCACACCGACTCGACGGACAAGGCGCTCGAGCTCGACGAGTCCGAGTTCAACGGCCGCACGCTCCGTGTCAACTACTCGCACAAGGCCAACAACTCGCAGAAGCGCGTCTCCAAGCCGGAGGGCTGCAAGTCGGTGTACGTCGGCAACATCTCGGCGGATGTCAACTCGGGCATGCTCAACGACATGTTTGCGCACTGCGGCGAGATCGAGCGCGTCCACATCGCTGTCGACCGCGACACGCAGGAGCCCCGCGGCTTTGCGTACGTCAACTTTGTCGACACGGACTCTGTCGACAGCGCGATCAAGCTCTCGGGCGCCGACTTGGACGGCCAGGCGATCCGCGTCGCCTTTGCCCGCAACCGCGAAGACCGCCCCGCCCGCCCGCAGTACGACCGCGACTCGAGCCGCGGCTATGGCCGCACGCGTGGCGACCACGGCTACGGTGGCCGTGGCAAGGACGGTGGCCGTGACTTCCAGCGCCGCGGTCGCCGCGACAGCCACGATTACTAGAGACGGCGTCGACACAACTACCGTAATAGCTGCATGTAAATCAGAATTCTAAAGACATCCCCACAACATCCATTGCGTTCCACGGGCAGCCTCGTACACGGTACAGTCGACGACCCCGGCTCGATCTTGCTGGTTGGCTTGCTACTAGTAATGCACATGGGCACTACTGTTGCAAGCGCGACGGCCGTCTCCAGCTTCTCGAACCATCGTCAACACTTGTAAGCAGATTCGGCAAGAGTTACAGGCGCGTCCTCACGATACCGATGCTGCTGGTAGCTGCTCTTTGTGGCGCCGTCGCAGCGAGCGCCCATGCGACCACCGTCCTCGTTGTCGTCTCGTTCGGCGAGCCTTCCTGGCAGTCGGAGGCACGCGGCCTTTCTGCATCCGTGTCATCGGCAAGGCGCTTTTCCTCCAATCCGCAGCCTGTTTAAACAAATCGCGCATTCGATTGGTGTAAATATGACCAATGGCATCGCGCGCGGTATCCGGCAACAGAACCACTCGTTCAGCACGCTTCCAGCACTCTCATGTTTCGCCACGTCGCGCGCTCGCTGCAGCGCGCCGCCCGCCTCCGCGTCGCGGCCGCGTCGCCGGCGATGCACATGGCGCCCTTCCAACTGCCAGCATTGCGTCACTTTGCGACGCCGCCGTCCCGGCGCGCGCCGACCAAGATGCTCTCGGTGCTCGAAGTCAAGCAACTCGGGCAGACGACCAAGCAAGAGATCCTCGCCAAGCACGGTAGCGCCGGCTTCTTCTCGCGCGCCAAGCAAGTGCGCCACACGTGGACCGAGTTCTGCGCGAGCACGCCGGTGCCGTCGTCGATGGACTTGCAAATGTTCTTCGCGGCCGCGAAAGCCACCGAGGCCGACTTTGTCATCATCGAGTCGCTCCTCCAGCTGCGCGCCAACTACCCGAAGGACGTCAAGATCAAGCACTACATCGAGTCCAAGGTTGCGTTCCTGCGTTCGAAGCGCCACGAAGCGATGCTCGAGATCTTTGAGGACGAGCGGGCGTCGCACTCGCACCCGCAGGCCATTTTCACGTCTGGGCGCTCAGCGCGCTCAACGACCTCGGTCAGTTTGACCGCGCCCACGCGCTCCTCGTCGAGATGCGCCACGCCGGCTACATGGTCCCGAACGACACGGTCACGCGCATCATGTACAACCTCGCGCTCGCCAACGACAAGGAAGGCGTCCTCGCGCTCTATGAGCTCGTGGATGCGACCATGGGCATCTGGACGCCGGCGGCGCTCAATCGGCTCATGGCGTCGCTCGGCCGCGTGGGCTGCCCGGAGGAAGCTTTCCAGTTCTACTCGCTCTCGACGATGGAGCTGGACCCGTCGACGTTCCGCACGCTGCTCGAGATTTGCGTCCGGAACAAGTGCTTGAAGGAGACCGCCGACGTGCTCAAGAACCGGAGCCTCTTCAACATTACGCTCGATGCGAGCGGCTACAACACGATCTTGGAGGCGCTCTTGATCCTCGACCGCGTCGACGAGATCGATGGCATTCTGCACGAGATGGCCGCGCATGGCATCAAGAGCGACTCGAAGACGCAGTTCATCTTGCGCCGCTGCCAGTACGCGTCGCGGGCGACGCCGCACAGCAACAACGATGCGTTCAAGTACACGACTAAGCGCCATACCAAGTGAGTCGATGTCGTAACTAATACTACATGTGGTTCGTAGCCTGAAGGACCCGAGTGCGACGCAGCTCGATACGTTTTTGCAGAACGAGGAGTATACCGCCGCATCGGCGCTCGCATCGACCCTCCTTTTGGAGCAGAAGACGCCGCTCCACATGCAGACGCTGGACGCGGTCATGCGCGCATCCTTTACGCCGGCGACGACGACAAAGTAGACCACCTCCTCGAGCTCTTGACGACGTCGACGTGGTCGAGCTCCGGCGTCGCGCTCCAGACTGCGATGCGCCACTACGCCAACCGTGTCGCAGACAAGAGTGGGAAGTTTATGATTGCCGATCCGGACCGCGCGATGGCGGCCTACCGCGCCGCCCGCTTCCAAGGCGTCCCGATGCTGAGCCCGGGACGCATGTTTCCCGTCTTCCTCTACGTGTGCGACGCCGACGCGGCGATCCACGAGCTGCAGACGTACATGGAGTACCACCTGCGCGACCCGATGAAGGCGCGGCAGATGCGCGAGACCGTCTTCTTTGACACGCTTCGCGTGTGCATCAAGGCGCAGCGCTACGACGACTACGACAAGCTCATCAAGACGATCGTGGACGCCAAGTACATCTTGTCGCCCAAGGCGTTCCACTCGTTTTGGTTTGACCCGACCAAGTACTCGCTCTTCCAGCGCGGCATGCCGCATTTGTCCGAGAAGCAGAAGCACGACCGGCTCCTTCGCCTCGGCAAGTCCCTCAGCGCGAGTCTGCGCCTCCTCATGGACAAGCAAAAGCTCGTGCCGACGTACGAGACGATTGATGCGGTCGCCAACACCCTCTACTACTCGGGGTACCGCTCGACGCTCGCGCAGCTCTATCTGCAGGCACCGACAACACCGCGCGACGTGCTGCCGGAACAAACGTACGGCAAGATCCTCGACGTGCTTGTCGTCAGCAAGCGCCTCGTGCACGCCAAAGCGCTCTACGCCGAAGCCAACGCCCGCCTTCCGCGCATTGACCAGCCGTGGCTGCTCGCGGCGCCCCTCGCACAAGGTCTCGCGGACGCGGGCGAGTACGACGCGCTCTTTGCCCACATCGACGCCCACCCGTACCCAAGTGTCTTTCGCAGCGCGCTCCTGGCACTCTACCCCCGGGCGCCCTTGGCCGTCGTGCGAGACGTGCTCGAGAGGATGCTCGCCGCCGACCTCGTGCCCAACATGCAGCTCGTGCAGCGCGCGATGCTGGCAGCCGTGAAAGCGGCCGAAAAGAAGAGCCAAGTGCGCGAGATTCCTGGCTTTGTCGACGCGTTCTTGTCGCCGCTCGAAGCGCGCCTCGTGCAAAACGACGTGGTCCAGCCGACGCTGTCGCTGACCAACTCGAGCGGCCACACGTCGACGATGGACATTGATCTGCGCGAGCTCAAGCGCACGTACGGCTTTGCGCAGAAGGCCCTCGCCGCGACGCAGGACGAGGCCGCGATTTCTGCCCACGCCGACAAGATGCGCCGCTGGAACCTCGCACCGACCAAGAGCAACTAGAGGACGACGGCATGCGGCCATAGACAATATTCATTCATACGACCTCTACTTTATGATCCCAAGGTTGCGTGTGCACGATGAGGTAATCAATCTAGCGCAAGGACACGTTGAGGCGGTACGATGTCGTGAGGTCACTACTAGTAGGTATTGAGCAATGTGGCGCGAACAAAAAACTACTAGTACGTAGGACGGCAACTTCAACGACCGCTGAAGGATGCTTGCTCGTTCAAGACAATCTGTCCAAACCTGGAAAGCCTCCGACTCCTCGTTCACCTTGTGTCAGTCATAACTGACGGACGTCGACTCCTTGGGCCAACAGCGTAGTATCCTGCTGATATACAGCGATGCTCAGAATCTGAAATGTGCTCTGCTGTCGAGTGGATTGTCAGTAAGAGAAGATTGATGATGCTACTGGTTTTGAATTTGTGTTACGACGATGGCTCGGATCGGGGCTAAAGGCTACATATTTTACGGCTACTACTATCTACTAGGGAGTCAATGGAGAGGATTGTTTGCTCTATGGTTTGTCTCATTACATTAGAGCCGCGAAGCAGCTAGCACGAGATTGGGAATATAGAGCCATCAATCGACGGTTCCGGCGCCGTCTCGTGAGAGTCAGCACCAGATCAACATCGAGACTTTGCTATTCAACTGTCCTCCTCGCTTATCCCTCAAGCAGCGTCGTAGATCGACTCGGGGCGACTTCAGGAGGTGACTCGGAACGCCGCCACTGTGCAGATGGCGCTCACGAGTCCAGTTGGAAAATGAACCTTACGAGGCCGGTTTCGACGACCTTAGTAGGAACCAGTCATTTGCGCTGGCCAATCAGCGCCGAGTGTCACTTCGTATCCGGCAACCGCATCCGGATACACGACGCAAGATCCACCATTTCCCGCCAAGCGCCCTCGACCAGTTGGATGGACGGTGATGGTCGCCTCCTCCTGCTGAGACGACGGACTTCACCGGCCGATGGCTAGGTATGTAGACACCAATACGGCTTCAGTGGCTGGTGGGCTCGGACGCACTGTCGTTGGCATCCAGGAAGTTGGCACACACTCGACCGTGGCTGTCGGCGTTGGGAAGAGACTGCTGGCGAGAGCCACCAGAGACGCGTAGCGGGATCGTTGCGGCGACCGTGCGCACAGTCAAGCGGTGCATCGCAGAGCCTTTGTTGTTTGAATATAAACGTCCGGGACTTTCTGCCAGAGTTATACTACGGGTGCTGCATCGAAAAACCGCGATGCGAGTCCTATTTTGGGGCTTCGTTCCATGGGCGTGTGCGCGTCGGAGCTCAAGTATTTGGCGCGTCCGGCCAAGGTCGACCAAAACTTGACGTTGCTCGTGCGGCACGCCGTCGAGGGCCGCGTCGACGACGTCCGTGCCATGGTCCAGCGCACCCCCAAGCTCATCCGGACCGTCGACGTACGTTTCTGATCCGCGGACCATGAGCTCTACATGCAGACGTAGCGCTTTGGCATGTCGGCGTTGCATTGGGGTGCATCCAGCCTTCGCCTGGATAATACTGTAATCATGCACGTGGCTGTGGCGTAGCGTGTTATGCGGGCAAGCTACCGTGCGTCACGGCGCTTCTCGAGGCCGGCGCCAACGTCCAGCAGGCCGACGTACGAAGGCGACGACATTCTCGTCGCTCATGAGACCGCGTCTGTAGACCAACAAGCGCAACGCGCTCCACCACGCTTGCCGAAAAGGCCATCTAGGGACGATCCAGCTCTTGGTGACCACGCACCGCATGGACGTCAACCGCCAGAGTGTAATACGACGTCCAGCCCTTGCGTGCTGCCCACAACAACTGTGCTAGGGCAACGGCGACACACCGCTGCACAAAGCAGGTAGTCTTCCCACATCAATGTGAAGAAACGAGGCTGCTCGATTAGTGTTGGCGGGGTCGCCGGGCGCGACGCTCCTCCTCCTCTACTACGGCGCCGACCCCACGCTCCCAAACTTGGTAGTACTTGGTTGCCAACCAGATCTGATAGCAGTCCTTTCCAGAATTGTGACAATGCGATCCAAGAAGTGCAGGCCAAGATCGCGCAGACGATCGCTCGGAGTCGACGCAATCCGGGAGCAGTCGTCGTGGCGCCGATGGCATCCATGGCCGCCGTGGTCCAAGCCTCGACGACGCTCGAGCCGCATACCGAAGGCGACTTCCACGACCTCTCCGAGACCAACGCTGGAGGCGAGACCGAGGCCACGACGGTCGAGCCCTTCCATGAGAAGCCACATACGACGCCTCCCGTGTCGCTGCAAATCGCCAAGCGGTCGACCAAGCGGCTGCTGCGGGCGTCCACGACCAAGGTCATTTTGAGCATCCGCCAAAAGCAAGCGCTCGGTCAGTACGAAGTCATTGCACACATCTTTAGCGTCTACAACGAGAAAGCGACGCGGGCGGACGAGTGGCGCCGACTCCTCGAAGAGTACACACCGATCCGCGTAGTAGTATAATCGGAATGCTTCATGACGCGTGGGCTAAATGCGTGAGCTGCGCTTCGACGCTGCGTAAATTGTGCTCGTACGCACTGCCGCGGGCGTAAAACCAGTCGACAAAACGCAGCGCAATGTCCACTTTGGTCGTCATGTCTTTGGACCAGCCCGAGAGCGCCGCGATCTCGCTCTGGAGCGACGCGAGGGCTGCCTCGGCCGCGACCTATCCATACCGTATACTACTACTATCCGATGCGATCCAAGTCGTACCTTGGTCTGCAGTGTCGAAGTAAGCGCGTTCGTTGCGTCGACAAATTCGCTCCGGTTGGCCTTTCTCGCCACCTATCCAACAGCGAGGATCGTTGTATCTGGTTGTAGATAGATAGATAGATAGATAGATAGATAGATAGATAGATAGATAGATAGATAGATAGATAGATAGATAGATAGATAGATAGATAGATAGATAGATAGAGGACCTCGTTGCGTAGCTGGCGGCATGAGGTCTGCAAGACAGACGCGAGTCCTTGGACGTTGGCGTCCCATTTGCTCTCTGTGCGCAAAGCGGCCTCGGAGAGACGTTGAATCTCGGCCTGCAGATGCTCGTGGAGGCGCGTCTCGCTGCTTTGGACGGTCGACGCGGTCGCCGCAGCCGACGCTCGCACCTCGGTCCGCAGCAAGTGCACGGCGTCCGTGAACGTTGTCCGCATCGTCTCTCTCTTCGCGGCAACTGCAGCTTCGAGCGTCCGCACGTCGGCGGCGACTTGTGCGTGGAGAGATTCGAGGCGGTCCTGTACCAGCTCCAACGCAACGTCGAGGCCATCGGCGCGGGCGCTAAAGCCCGTGAGCTTGGCGCAGGCGGTCTCGAGCCGCGATAGGTCCATCTACCGTCGTCCAGGCCGCTGCTTTCTAGGCAAGGTACCTACCTTGTCGAGCTTGGTCGGCAGCGTCTGGTCGATCGCGTGCACATGGGCTTGGATCGCCATGGCGCTGGCTTCGAGTCTACGAGCGCGCGTGATATGCATCAACGGCGAAGGGTGGTGGTGACCTCTCGGCCACGCGTGCTGTCTCGCTGGCAGCGTCTTCGTTGCGCTGGAGGCGCAGCACCAGCCGACGCTCTAACGCATCGTCGGCCGCGTGGAGCATCTCGATGTCGGCCTTGGCCTCCAAGCGCGCTTCCGCCGCAGCCAGCTGCCTCGAGAGCCGGGTCACGCACGCGCCGAGACCGGTCGCGGTCTCGGACGAGAGCTCGGCCTCCACGTGGACGAGCCGAGCGTCCAGTGCGGTCGCTTGGGCGCCATGGGCCGCGAGAAGGCGGTGATGGCCAGCCGCGCGAGCTTCGAGCGCGTCGACCTTGGCCGCGAGCCGCGCGAGCTCGCAGCGCTGCGTCTCGACGACGGTCGCGAGCTGCTTGAGGAGCCGCGTGGCGTGCGTCGTGTCGATCAGCGGCAGGTCGTCCATCCAAATATCGAATCCCAAAAGATCGTAGCCGCCCGACGGATTGAATCTCAACACGAAAAAAGATCTCAAAAAGTGGAAATGTAAATACCAAGTATTCATTGCATCTGGGGCAACACCACTCTAACGACCGACCATGCGTTGTTTACAACTCGTCGTGGTCATCCTCGTCGTCGTCGTCCGCGCCGGCGCCGGCGCCGCCCGTCGACTGGTAGACCTTGGACATGATGGGGTTGACAACCTTCTCGACCGCCTTCTGCTGCGCGTCAAAGTCCTCCTTGTCGGCTTCCTGGTTCTCGTCGAGCCAGTCCATGGCCTCCTGGACGGCCTTGAGGACCGTGTCCTTGTCTTCGTCGTCAATCTTGTCGGCGAGCTTGTCCTCGACGTTGTTCTTGAGGTTGTAGAGGTAGCCTTCGAGCGAGTTGCGGCCGTCAATGCGGTCCTTGATCTTCTTGTCTTCCTCGGCGTTCTCCTCGGCTTCCTGGACCATGCGGTCAATCTCCTCCTGCGAGAGGCGACCCTTCTCGGCCGTGATCGTGATCTTCTCGGCCTTGCCCGTGCCCTTGTCCTCGGCCGAGACCTGGAGGATACCGTTGGCATCGACCTCGAACGTGACTTCAATCTGCGGCACGCCACGCGGCGCCGGCGGGATGCCCGTGAGCTCAAACTTGCCGAGCATGTGGTTGTCCTTCGTCATCGTGCGCTCGCCTTCGTAGACCTGGATCGAGACGGCGGGCTGGTTGTCCTGGTACGTCGAGAACGTCTGCGACTTCTTCGTGGGCACGACCGTGTTGCGGTTGATGATCTTGGTCATGACACCGCCGACCGTCTCAATACCGAGCGAGAGCGGGGCGACATCGAGGAGCAAAATGTCCTTGGTCCCGTCGTCGTTGACACCGGCGAGAATACCACCCTGGACGGCAGCGCCGTAGGCGACAGCCTCGTCGGGGTTGATACCGCGCGACGGCTCCTTGCCGTTGAAGAAATCCTTGATGAGCTGCTGGATCTTGGGAATGCGCGTCGAGCCGCCGACAAGCACAATCTCGTCGACCTCCGACTTCTTGAGGCCGGCGTCCTTCATGACCTTCTCGACGGGCCGAGCGTCTTCTTGAAGAGGTCGTTGTTAAGTTCTTCGAAGCGAGCGCGCGTGAGCGTCTCGTCAAAGTCCTCGCCGTCAAGGAGCGACTCGATTTCGAGGCGCGCCTGGGGCTGCGTCGAGAGGGCGCGCTTGACACGCTCGGCTTCGCGGCGAAGCTTCTGGAGCGCGCGCTTGTCCGAGCTGATGTCAATCTTCTTCTGCTTCTGCCACTTCTTGATGAAGAACTGCATGACGCGCTGGTCGAAGTCTTCACCGCCGAGATGCGTGTCACCGTTGGTCGAGAGGACCTCGAAGACGCCACCGTCGATCGTGAGGAGCGTGACATCAAAGGTACCACCGCCGAGATCGAAGACGAGCACGTTCTTCTCACCCTTGGCGTTCTTTTTATCGATACCGTAGGCAATGGCGGCAGCCGTCGGCTCATTGATGATGCGCTGGACCGTGAGGCCGGCAATGGTACCGGCATCCTTCGTGGCCTGGCGCTGGGCGTCGTTGAAGTACGCAGGCACGGTCACGACCGCGTCGTTGACCTCCTTGCCGAGGTAGTTTTCAGCAATGTTCTTCATCTTGGTGAGGATCATGGCCGAGACCTCTTCGGCCGAGAACGTCTTGGTCTCGCCCTTGACCTTGACCTGGATGTACGGGCGGCCTTCCTTGTTGATGATCTCGAACGGAAGCAGCTTCTTGTCGGCCTGCACCGACTTGTCGTTGTACTGGCGACCAATGAGGCGCTTGACGTCAAAGAGCGTGTTCTCCGGGTTGATCGTCGCCTGGTTCTTGGCGCCGTCGCCAATGAGGCGCTCGTCGTTCGAGTCCCATGCCACGTACGACGGCGTGATGCGGTTGCCTTGGTCGTTGGCGATGATCTCGACCTTGCCGTTGGCGTAGTGGCCGACGCACGAGTAGGTCGTGCCCAAGTCAATGCCAATCACCGGGCCCTTGGGCTCTTCCGCGACGACCGACGAGACCGCGCAGGCCGCGAGCGCGCCCGCAGCGTACGTAAGGACCTTGATCAAGTTCATTTCTTAGCAAATTCGAAAGTGAGTCGATGCGCGCCGCTCAATATGTTGCTGACGTGGCGTACGAAAGGACCTCTGAGAGTCGATAGATCGAGCGGCAGGGCCACGTCACCGCGCGCGCTTGCGGTCTTTGACAGGATATCGGATCGCAGAGGTTTTGAAATCAGAAAAGGTAGCAAGAAAGCGTGTGGTGAGATATTCTAAAAAGGCACATATGCATTGTGAGAGGTAAACCGCGCCACGTGTCCGACCGTGAACTTGAAGTTTGTAAGCAATAAGCCATCGAAATATGGTATACAAAGCGCAAGAGATCTCGAAATGCGAAAGATCGAATCTTCGATGGAAATCCATCCGCATCGAGACGTGCTTCGAGACGCTGCCACGTGGAGACTCATTGAGATTGTGCGGTGGGTAAGACGAGGACGCGGACGCGCAAAAGGACCGGAATGCGCCTGCGTCCATTGCGGACACAGTCGTAGGAGGTCGGTGGACCCTGGATTCTACCGGTAGGGCGGCAAAGCTCACATCTATCATTTCTGTGCACGATACCGCGTACTAGTACTAGTACATTTTGGACCTTTCCAATAAGGCAAGGCGCAGGAGGCTTTGCGCGTGGGCGAAGCAGACACGTCGGCCATCGCCAAGCACGGCAAAACACTGGGATCTGCTACTGGGCTCGCTTCTGGAAGCTTCGGTGCCACGTGGCACGTGGTCAACGTACGACGTTGGCTTCGACATTCGAATGTTCTTGCGGGCGCAACGGAGCCAACGCTCCAGCGCGTCAGTGCACTGCCAGTGACGGTACGAACTTGTACCCAGCGGTGGACGCTATGTTTGTGTTGCATGCTTCAATCCAGCGACACGCCGTGCATGATACCAGTGTCCTGCGTCTCGCCAAGCCTTAGCCATCGAATACATATCGCCCGTGGTATCTAGTCTAGCTAGTGTTGCATTGGCCTGTGCTACGTTGGTAGCGTCGGCGGCGGGTACAAGCAGTGCTCGCCAACAAGTCTATTAGTTCGTTCATCTCTCTGTCCTCGTGCCTGTTGAAATCTTATACATGCAAATACGCACTCTGATTGGCTACGCGTGGCCCAATCACCGCGCGCGCGCGCCAAAAATACCCAAGTGCAATCGCATCCATTTCCGCGATGGAGCTGAGCGCGGACGACAAGGCCGCGGTCCGCACGCTTGGACGCCTCTAAGATCTGAGTCGAATTCTGTAGTTTTGCGACGACCTGCGTTTTGCGATCGCGCAGCTCGAGCCCGTCGCGCTCGGGAAGAAGAGCACGCTCGAGGTCAAGAACCTCGTCGATGCGTACGCGGTCTTTGGGTACCACAGCGACGACATCATCGACCCGCGCGACCAGCTCGTCATGTTCACGCGCATCCGCAACGAAATGACAAGTATACTGCATCAGATGACGAGCAAGGGCAAGTACGCGAACGCCATCATCATGCGCGACCGGCTGCGCACGATCAAAGCCGACTTTATTGCCCTCCAGACCACGTACGAAAAGGTACGACGACGTCTGCGATGGCTTGGAAAGTAGCATTGCTATTGGGTAGCGCCGACAAAGCAGTGAGAACGGCCACTTTGCCGAAGCCGTCTCGCTCGTGCGCGACCAGCACGAAAAAAGTGGCTCGCCAAACAACGCGACGTCGAAGCCGACTGCAGCGTGCGGCGGCAGGAGCTTGCCAAGACGCAGCAAATCCAGACGCGCCAGTTGGAAGACTACTTGGACCGACTGCCAGACCCGCACGTCAAGTACTCGCGAACGCTCCTCGAGCTCAAAAACTCCGAGTACTACCTCTCCAAACTCCAGCTCTTTGAACAAGCCAAGAACGTCTACACGCGCGCCGACGCGATGGAAAAGTTTGAAAAGGCCAAGTGTGCCCAAGTACTCAATACCATATTTGATTCGACGTCGAACTTATCCACGACGTGTATAGGAGCACCACCGGGCCAAACAAAAGCAGCGGGATGACCTGCGTGTGCAGCACGAGATTGAACGCCGTCAACTCGAAGAAGTCCTCACGGAGAAGAAGTACGGCAGCTACCGCGCCCAGGACTGGGATACAAAACGGTACAAAAACCTTGGCAATAAACGAGCTAAATGGAGGAATGCAACCTAGCGAGGCCCAGCGTCTCAAGAGCCTGAAGCGCGACATGCACCACTCGCATACGCTCGAGCTCCAGAAGCCCCCGGAATTTTCAACCCACCCTCTTAGCGCCCCGCGCGTCCACTACCAGGCCACGTCCAGCTCGTATGGTGGGCAGCACTTTCTCGGGGCGGTCCGCGGCGCGCGATTACAAGTGCAGAGCCTCTGTGCCCTCCACGACGCCGAAGAAGGCAGCCCGCTGCCATCGGGTTCGGTATGCTTCTCGTCTCGGGCGGGCTCAAAGTCTAATGTCTGTGGGTAGATTGTGTACCACTAAGCCTCGATGCATGTCAACTGTTGCGAATATATCCATATATTTCATCCCAATGGCATGCATAACCATGAGAGTCAATACCATTGATGATGAGTTGCAGCACACAATGGGGTTCTCCGTATTACGCAGCTCACTCCAAACGACCAAGTACCGGTGCCAACTCCATCGCCCTCAGGTGCTGCGAATGCAACGTCTTTAAGGTCGTCGTCCTTGCACAGTTTATTCCAACGCGGACACGTTTGTTTGATTGGTTGATTGATTGATTGATTGTTGCTCACGCGGGGGACGGCGCTTTGTCGGCATCGGCATCGTCGTTTTGATTGGTCTCGTTTGAAGCATCGTTGTCGCCTCCTTCATTGTCATCTTCTTTGTCCTCGTCGCTCTCGTCACTCTCGCCGTTGGCCTCGTCGCCGTCGGCTGCAGCTTTCGGCTTGATTTTCTTGTAGCCGTAGCCGTCGTCTTCGTCGTCGTCCGACATTTCCTTGATGAGCTCGTTCACCAGCGCTTCCTTGGCCAGTTTCTCGGCCTCGCGACGCGCACGGTTAATGTCTCGACGCGCTTCCTTTGCCGCCTTCTTCTCGGCGATGATGCGGGCCGCCTCCTTCTCGCGGTATTCGAGCTGCAAGTCGAGCGCGCGGAGGTCGTCGCGCACGCGTAGGAGCGACCGCATCGACATCTCCGTGTCCATGTCCACGCCCGACCAGTGCAGTCGTGCTTCGGCCGCCGCCTCTACATAGACATAAGGTTCCATGGCGCCAATGCGATCTTAGTGCGCGCACCACCGAGAACACACGGCGCCCAGTTGTCTTTGGCGTACACGTGCACTTGGCCGTTCCCGAGGTCGATCTCAATGCGGCCCTCGCCGTAAATACGGTTGCGACGAAAGTTGCCCTTGTACTTGTGGCCGAGTCTACGCATCCATATACTTCAGAACTGTCTTCACCACCAAAGACGATATTCTCCACATGGAGTGTACGGGCTCACTTCGACGCCGGCGCCGTGCCGAAAATTTTGGAAAAAGTGGCCATCGTACACCGCGCCGGACGGCAAGGTGAGTTTGCCCTTGCCGTCGCGGAGGCCGTCTTTCCAACTGCCTTCGTATTTGGTGCCATCGCTGGCTTCCCACGTTCCAAGACCGTGGTACTTGCCGTCTCGCCAAGTGCCTTGGTACTTGCAGCCGTTCGGGTACTCCTACGCGACGCCGTGAGCGGGGTTCCGAGAACAGCTTTTGTGTACGGCTGTGCCCGGGCCGCACGGCCGACTGTCCTTCCAAGCGCCGACGTACTTGCCGCCGTCCGCAAACGTGTAGACGCCGACGGCGCCACGCATGTGTCCATCCTTCCAGCGGCCGTTGTAGTGGTAGTAGGTATGCTTTCCGTGGCTCTCGAGCTTCCCGGGCACTTGTGGCGCGAGCCCGGGTGGCGCGGGGGCTTTGGGCACGGGCGCAATCTGCAGCTGCACCACGCGCGGGTCCTCGCTGTCGAGCCGGTCCGGGTGCGCGACGGCCTCCGGGTCGTCCTCGGCCGTGCCCGGGCTACTGGCCTCGAGCGGGTGCAGCGCCGCCGACTCGGGTTCGTGGCTGCTTGTAAGCAGCGCCGTGCGGGGCGCGGGAAACGAGCAGTCGCGAAAAGCCCGCTGCACCAGCGCTTGGTTCTACGCAACTTGTCTGTATGTGCAATGACCGTAAAGCTACCTTGTCGCGCGGCGGCGCCTTGAGGGCCATCATGCGCCCGAGAAACTCCAAGTGCTTGCGCACCGCGGCCTCGGTCTCGCTTAGCGCAGTTTCGCGCGTGAGGTACGCGGCCTCAAACTGCTCAAAGAGCCGCTGCCCGTACTTGTTGAGCTGGAGCTTCTCCGACTTGAGAAACCAGGGCGCAAACTATTCGTCCCATCCAAATAAATGGCCAACAGGGGCGAGTAGCTACCCGAGCGTGCCGTTCGGGGAGCCCGACGCGCCGGAGCATCGAGTGATAAAAGACGCAGCGCGGGTCATCGTCCTTGTACTTCTACTCGCCACGTTGACGCTTCAATACTATTGTACCGCATCGCACCCGGATCCATGCTGGCACGTTCTTGCGCTCCTTGCGCAGGAGCACGTTGATGTCCTTCATGAGCTATAATAGCACATGCATATTGTTTGCGCCGATGGCTGGCAATGTATTGAGAGAACCTTTGTGAGCTCGTCGTGGAGGAGCTCGTTGGAGGCTTTGGCACGAATGACGTTCCAGTTGGGGTCTTCGGGACGCTTTTGCTTTTGCGCACGCTTGGCGGCCCGCGCTTTGGCGGCTGCGGCGACCTGCACGTTCTTCTTGACGCTGCCCACGGACGCCATTGTGGCCGACGCTTCCGCGACCGCCTCTTTCTTCAACCCCGCGAACTTGAGCCGCGCGATATCCGCGAGAAGCGCGAGCGGTCGGCTCTGGCGCCGCCGGTCTTCCTCGGCCTGGGACGTTTCCATTCTCACTTTGTACCATGCGACTTCCGTTTCAGCGACGCGCGGGCTTCAAGCAATGGCGCCAAACCAACTGCGGCCTCGGCATAGGCATTGCGCTCCGACGCGTGCGAGCAGCCAATTCATTGTTGCATCCAGTCATGGGCTCGATCTTCTCGACGCCAGGCTCGCCGGCAGCAGGAACGGACATGGACAGCGAGCGGCTGCTTGAAGATGCGGCAAGGAAGGATGCGGCCTGCTCCGAGAGCCATGGCGGTGCTACGACGGACGACGGGCATGGCGCTTCGCGACGAGCTCGGCAGCATGCTACGGCGATATCTCTTCCTTTCACCCATTAATGCTCTCGCCCCAGGTCCGCCACTGCAAGTTCTGCGTCCTCTGTCTCATGTGCGGTGTCTGTGTCGAAGCTTTTACGGAGCTCTCTGCAGTCCGTGGAGTATTTCGTGGCCACGGAAGTGAATGCTATGGTTGCTGGATGGTTCGGTGACAAATTGACAGCACCAATGGTGAATGACATTAAGTTTAGAAAGTACATGAATAACGAGGACTACTACACTAAGGACTAAACGAAGAATGAGTTCTCTCAGTGGTTTGAATACATTGTATCAACACGGTCAGTCGTCGTAATGCGCTGTTCGGAATTAGCATGGTTGTAACATCATCGAGAACTCGGGTTCCTACTCTTTTCTCTACGCGGCAAAATCCAAAATGCCCACTACCGATAGCGTGCCGGCGAATGATTGGCCAGCGTGGCCCTTTTCGTATCCGTTCGATCCGGATACCGACCCTAGTCCAAGGACACATGTGTCCTAAATAGGCTCCTGATAAATAGGCAGCGCGAATTCCACGATTCGCATGGCCGGAAGAGACGCCGATCGCCGCGTCGCCGCCAAGCTGGCCGAGGCCTGCCGAGAGACCGCTGCGGAAGCCATCGCTGCGACGCTTGCGTCGGGCCAAGCGTCCACTGTGTACCACAACCGCGGCAAGTTTGCCAGCCGCAAAGAGGTAGGCAATGGCGACAAGGAACACTTTGCTGCATCTCTGTACTACAGGCGCAAGCGGCCAAGATTGCCGCTGCCAAAGCCAAGCGCGAGGCCAAGGAAGGCAAAGCATAGAGCAATGGCACTTGAATATATCTATGGCGTGGCATGCGCCGATGAGCTTGACGCACTGTCCATGATGGAGCGCATGCCAAGCTGTATGTGCACGAGGATGCCCGCAAGCTGTAGCCAATAAACAGTTGACGTCACCATCATTTGGCAAGCGCCATGAAGTACCTGCGCCATCGCCGACTCGACAAGATGGGTCTGCATATCCCTCTCGTGCCGAGCCACGGTTGATACGAGCTGTCGACACATAGAATCCTTGGCAACATCCACATGTGCGATCGAGGTCATTCATTTATGGGGTGCGTGGCGGAAGCAGCATCGAGCTGGACCGACCTCTTGAACGCACGGGCACCGCCTCTGGTCGCTCGTCGCAACCGGTCGAACATCACTCACCGCCACGTCGCCAATCGAACAAAAAACATGCATGCGGCAGTCCGGGCCCAGGACCCACTGCGGGCTGCAGCAAGCGAGCCTGCCAAGCGCGGTCGCAGCGCGCCTCGCCGGTCGCAAGCGGCCCTCATCGCGGTGGCCGAAACGTGGCAGCGTGAAAGATCGCGGGCGTGTCCGGATACCGTTATCCGTAGTCGGCCGAATAAGCCTGTTGGGGCCGCAAGTGCCATTCGATGCTTCGAATTAAATTATGCGTCTCTTTCTATTCCGGGGTCGTTAATAAAATGCAAAATTGCACTCGGCGCTTCCCCCACAAGAGCACGGATTGTGATGACGACGCCATTTTGGCTTTCGACGACGAAGCGGGTCGCCGACGAAGACGCGACGAGTCCGCCGACGAAGAAGCTCAAGACGATGGAGAGCCTGGAAGGAGATGCTGGCTTCATGGACAAGTACAGCCGGCAGATCGGCGCCTTTGGCCTCGAGACCATGGCCAAGGTAGTACTACATCCTCCTGCCATGGCGCGACGACTGCTCATGCCCATGCGCCATTAGCTTGTGAAGCTCAAGGTGCTCATCGTGGGCATGCGTGGCGTCGGTATCGAGTGCGCCAAGAACCTCGTCCTCGCCGGTCCTGGCGCCGTGACCATTTACGACGGTAGGACGATGGGTCTTTCTGGAATGCTCATCAGCAGTGTAGACGAGGTCGCTGACATCAAGGACGTTGGCGTCAACTTTTTCTTGACCGAAGACGACGTCGGCAAGCCCCGCGCCGCCGCCGTGGCACACCGCGTACGACCCTCGATTCGCATGCAAGCTTTTCATATTGGTCGACGTAGTTGGCCGAGCTCAACAAGATGGTGACGCTCAAGGTGCACACGGGCAGCCTCACGGAAGACGTGGTCGCGCGCCACAACGTGGTGGTCTTTACGCACTCGCGCCGCGCCGAGCTCGAGCGCTGGAACGCGTTTTGCCGCCGCCAGTCGCCCGCGATCGGCTTCATCGCGTGCGACATTCCTGGCGCGTTTGGCTACGCGTTCACGGACTTTGGTCCGTCGTTCACGACCCACGACGCGACGGGCGAGAACCCGATCACGCGCATCATCACCGACATCTCGAGCGACGAAGATGGCCTCGTCTCGCTCCTCGGGCCCGACGAGGACGGCAAGATGCACGAGCTGCCCGACTCGGACCACGACGGCTATGTCGACATCAGCGAGGTCGACGGCATGGTGTCGCTCGACGACCCGTCCCAGAGCATCAACACGATGGGCCCGTACCGCATCAAGTTTGCGACGAAGAAGGTGTTTCGCAACGGCAAGCAGGTCGACGTCTTTGACCCGTACCGCTTCCACATTGTCGGCGGCACAGCGCGCTTCTCGCCGTACCTCGGCGGCGGCATGTTTACGCAATCCAAGCAGCCCTTCACGACGAGCTTCCGGTCGTTCCGCGAGGCGCTTTCTTCGCCCGTGCACCCGGGCGACTATGGCCTCATGTTTACCGATGGCGCCAAGTTTGGTAGGAATTTTCTTGTATTTTCTTGCATTTTTTGATTCCGAGGCCCACACATGAACGTAGGCCGCGCCGAGCAACTGCATTTACTGCTCTGGGGCCTCATGAAGTTTGAGGAGACGTACGGCCACCGCCCCCGCGTCTACCACGATGACGATGCGGCCCAAGTCGTATGTCATTTCTTCTTCCTACCTCAGGGTTCCGAGAGTTACATGGTGGAATATGGGTCGTAGGTGGCCTTCGCCAAGGAAGGCTTGCCGGCGCACGACGACATTGAGCCGCTGACGCTTGAAGAGCTCGATGAGAAGCTCTTGACGCAGCTCGCGCAGGTGGCGTCGATCGAGCTCCACCCGCTCGCTGCCTTTTACGGTGGCGTTGTCGCCCAGGAAATCGTCAAGTTTACGGGCAAATTCACGCCGCTCAAGCAGTGGATGCATCTGGACGTGGTCGAAGTGCTGCCCGAGTCGATCCCGACCGACAATGCGCCGCAGCAGTCGCGCTACGACCACTTGATCGAGCTCTTTGGCGCCGCCTTTCACGCCAAGCTCGGTACAATCCTCGGATGATTGCCTCTCGCGTCTCACCTTTCTGGCAGGCAACAGCCGTACGTTCCTCGTCGGCTGTGGCGCGCTCGGCTGCGAGTACCTCAAGAACTTTGCCATGGTCGGCATGGGCTGCGGTCCCGACGGTCTCGTGACGGTCACGGACAATGACCGCATCGAAGTGAGCAACCTCAACCGCCAGTTCCTCTTCCGTGAGCACAACGTCGGGCAGCCCAAGTCGGTGGCGGCGACGCAGGCCGTGCGCTCGATGAACGCGTCGCTCAAGGTCAAGACGCTCGAGCAGCTCGTGGCGCCGACGACCGAGCACGTCTTCGACGACACCTTTTGGTCCAACTTGGACTTTGTCACGAACGCGCTCGACAACGTCAAGGCGCGCTTGTACGTCGACAGCAAGTGCGTCTTTTACAAGAAGCCGCTGCTGGAAAGCGGCACGCTCGGCACGAAATGCAACGTGCAGGTCGTGCTGCCGTACAAGACGGCGTCGTACGCCGATGGCCCGAAAGACGCGGCCGACGACAACATTCCCATGTGCACGCTGCGCAACTTTCCGTCGCTCATCGAGCACTGCATCGAGTGGGCCCGGGCCCAGTTTGAAGACGTGTTTGTCGTGCCCTTTGGCGACGTGGCCAAGTTTGCGGCCGACCCGAGTACGTACATTGAGACGGTCCGGAAGGCGACGCTCGACCACCCGAACCCAAAGCAAGGCGCGTCGGCCATTAGCCACGAACTCGAACGGTACGTTTTTTCTTTTTTGAATTGTTTCTTTGGTTTTGCCGGATCTCACGCAAGATGGGGCTAGGGTCCGCGCGCTGCACAAGCTGGTGATGACGCCGGACGTGGACTTTGACGCGTGCATGGAGATGGCGCAAACGCTGTTTTGCTCGCTCTTCCGCGACCGCATTTTGCAGCTCATTCACAACTTTCCCGAAGACCACTTGACCAAGACGGGCGAGCGCTTCTGGTCGGGCGCCAAGCGGTTTCCGCAAGCAGCGACGGACCTCAACTTCGAGGACTTTCCCAACCACTTGGACTTTGTCCGGTCGGCCGCGAATCTGTATGCTGTCAACTTTGGCCTGCAGCCGCTGCCCGAAAAAGAGACGGTGCCACGCCACTCGCTCCTCCGCGCGCCGGCGACGTTTGCCGAGTTTGCGGTCGCGCACGAGCTCCCGGCATGGGCGCCGTCGACGGAGACGATTGCCGAAAACGACGAGGAGCTCGCGGCGCAGCAAGCCGCCAAGGCCGGCAACGACGCCGAGGCCAACGAGCTCGCGACGCTCCTCGACGCGCTCGCGAGTTTGTCGCCAGAGGCGCTCGCGCACTGCGGCCGGTTGGTCCCCGCCGACTTTGAGAAGGACAATGACGCCAACTTTCACATTGACTTTATCGCGTCGGCCGCGAATTTGCGCGCGTGGAACTACCGCATCAAGCCGGTCTCGCGCCACAAGTGCAAGATGATTGCGGGCAAGATCATCCCCGCGATCGCGACGACGACGGCGTCGGTGACGGGCCTCGCGATGATTGAGCTGCTCAAGATCGTCCAGGACAAGAAGCTCGACCAGTTTAAGGACTCGTCCAACTCGCTGGGCCTCAACATGTACCTGCTGCAAGAGCCTGCCGAACCGGAGAAGGCCAAGGACGAGTACGACCCGATCGAGATGGCCGAGGTCAAGTGCAAGCCGCCGGGGTTCACCAAGTGGGACGTGACGATGCTGCGTGTGCCTAGCGAGATTACGACGGCCGAATTCCTCGAGAAGCTCCAAGAGACGACGGGCTTGACGTGCAACTTGCTCTTCCACGCGGCCGCCGAGCTCGGCGACGCCGACCCCAAGTACGGTCCCGTGCGCGGCCTCATGCTCTACGACCGCAACGCCTTCAGCGCGACTCTCAAGGCGCTCTACAACGAGAAGCTCCAGACGCCGCTGCGCTCGTGGGTCGCCGAACGGTACCAAGGCCTCGTCGACTGCGACCGCCCGTTTGTCGAGTTTCAAACGTCGTGCTCGGACGACGACGACGTCGTCTTCAAGATCCCGACCGTGCTCTGCCGCTTTGAAGCCTAAGCCATGGCGAGAACGCGTGTGATAATTGCCTTTCCATCTATGCGAGTCGTTGTCCCCGTTTGCACAAACGAGTCTGTCTGTGCTCGCATGGCGGTGTCTGCTACTGCTGCGAGGGCCAGAGTCGCAGTCTACCCAACCTTCCATTGGCACTTTCACAAGGAGGGCGCGTGAGAAGAATGGCTTCATGGCGTCGTGGGTGTGAGCGTCAAGCAGCCGGAAGCTCCATAGACCTACGCCCGTCGCGCCGCTTGCACACTAAAGGACTCTTCGTGCCTGATAGAAAGGCCGAGTTGGTGGTCAACCTCACTGACGAGACTGGAGGAGGCGGGCGCATGGAAGTGGCCGGTTGATGATGAGCACAATAATGGGCTAAAATTAGGAAAGCATCGACTCGATGCAGGACGTGGTGGACCCCGAGGACCCGGCGTACTTGACGCGGCATGCGCAGAGCCAGCTCGACCTCGGCGGCACCGCGGCCGCCAAGACGATCCGCAAGCTTGTGAACGAGCGCACGTCGACGCGCATCCAAGCACGGAACGCCGATGCTTCGATTGCATACCCGCCGTCGCGAGGGCTGGCCAAGTACACGCCGCGCTTTCTGCAAGCGTGCAAACGCCTCTTTGAGCGCTGCGAGCGCGATTCCGGCGGCCGCTCGATGGCGCTGCCGACGCTGCGGCAGCTCGCGTCGGCGGGCGCGTTCGCCGTCGACCAACGCACGATGGACGCGTGGCTGCAGCACCCGCGCGCCGACGACGCGCACGTGACCTTTGGCGAATTCGTCGATGCGTGCTACTGCTTTTACGGTCTCGACCTCGAGGATCGTCTCGGGAGCGAGACGAGCCGTAATTGTCACCCGTTTGCGTTGGCGTGCGCGCGCGACAAGGACGCCCGCGCCTTCTCGCCCCGCGACCACATTCGGCGACGCAACCCTGTACACTTGCATTCCGATATCTCTTGCATCGAGCGATTGCGCGTAGATGAAGGCGCAGCAAGAACGCGATGCGAGCGACGTCGTGTGGCTCGCGCAGAGTGGCTGCTTGCGCGCGTCCAAGAGCCAGCCCGTCCTCCGAACGAGCCCGAGTGCCTCGTGCTTGGCCAAAAATGTACCATTCCGATACTGCAACACTGGGTGACGACGTGCTGCTGCTGCTGAGGTAGGAGGCCGACGTCGCGCTCAAGCGGGACAAGGTCGTGGCACAGCGAGACAACGCGTTGCGGCAGCGGTACGACCGGCATCACAATGCTCCTTTGCTACTTTTACCTGCGGAAACTGTAGAGAGGCGGTGCAGGCCAACGTGGCGCTCGCCCAGCACTTTAGCACCAACGTGGGCATGGTGGCGAGGCATGTTCAGATCGGCGGTCGGTCGCGTCTTTGTCGGAAGTGCGACGAAATGGACCATTCTGGTAGAGATCACGGAGAAGCGGCATCATCACGCGCGCGCCAAGAAGGCGCGTTTTGAGGCCAAGAAGCAAGCCAACGAGCAAGCGAGCGCTTGCGCCAAGGCCTTTACCAACGTACTAGTCGATCGCAGGAATGCTTTATGAAAGGATTGGCGTAGCGCATCAAGCTCTCCAAGCTCGAGGACGTCCAGGAAGCGCGCCGCGAAGTGCAGCATGAGCTCGCGGCCATTAAGGAACGAAAGGTGGGCGCTGCTTGCTCGAAGAATACGAAGGCGATCGATCGTGGTAGCACTACCGGGCCGAGATGCTTCGGCGCCATAAGGCGCTCTTCAACCTCTCCGAGTCGACGTGCACACTGCATCGGCGGCCGCCAGAGCTACTGGCCGCGCTCTCCCGGGCACACACGGAGGCCGAGACACGGCGCCTCGCCAAGGTCGAGCAGCGCTTCTTTGAACAGAGCTTAAGCCAGCAACTGCGCGAGTACAAGCACGACAAGGAGCATGCGCTCAAGCAGACAGTGCACCCGCCTGTGCCCGCAGCCATGATCCACCTCGACCAGCAAGACGAGAGCGGGGCGTGGGAAAATGCTGAGGCCAAGCTGACAGCGGCCATGGACGCGCTACTGCAGACATGGATCGATGACCAGCGCGACTTGAGCTGCTTGCTGCCTACGGCCAACACGCCACCAGCTGCACTGCGCTACTTTGGCAAGGTGCGCGACGTGCCGCCCAAGCCGTTCCAGTCGTCTGCAGACCGAGGACTCTAACTACTACACGATCACCTTGAAGTCGCCTCGCCCGTCTCTTCCGAGAATCGCGTCCCAAAATCCATGCATTCAGCGGCATGCAGGCGGCGCCCGTAGGCCATCGGCGTACGTTAGGTCGCCTGGTCGACCGTGGAGGTGCGAGCGCTGCTGGGAGAGTCCGTCCTCGCAGCATCTGCCGGCTTTGAAGCGTCGGCCGTTTCCCGGGTCTGCTCGTCGTCCACCAAGCTGCCTCGAAACGATTGGTGGAAAAAGTCGACGAACATCTCTGATTGGTGTAGATTTGGATGTTCGAATGCATTTTGGCCAATCCGCGGTCGTATAAAGAGATGCAGTCGTAATCTCCCGCTGGTTTAAAAACGCATACTAAAATCAAGTGTAAATTCAGGCCCCAAAAGCCGCGAAAGATCAAGAGCCCATTCCAAGACGGGCGACGATGGACCAATACGACCACATCCGGGTCATCGGGAAGGGCAGCTTTGGCGTCGTGAGCAAGATCCGGCGCCAGACCGACGGCAAGGTACGCGTACCATGCTGGCGATGGCGGCCGACGCAGCATGCGTAGGAGCTCGTGTGGAAGGAGGTCGGCTATGGCCAAATGACCGAGAAGGAGAAGCAGCTCATCGTGAGCGAGGTCAATATCCTGCGCGAGCTGCGCCACCCACACATCGTGCGCTACCTCGACCGTGTCATTGACAAGCAGTCGTCCAAGATCTTCATCGTCATGGAGTACTGCGAAGGCGGCGACTTGAGCCAGCTCATCAAGCGCAAGCGGCGCGAAGGGTACGATGAGGATATCGTCAGCCCCGATACTGATACACCGGCTAGGTCGACGATCGAGGAAGCCTTCATTTGGCAAGTGTTTACCCAGCTGTACATGGCCTTGAAGGAGTGCCACCGGCATCGCGAAGGCAATACGGTCCGGCCTATCCTGCACCGCGACATTAAGCCCGGCAACATCTTTCTCGACGCTCAGGTATGCGTACCGACGACATATGACGTATCGCTCATGTCCATGCGACCAGAACAACGCCAAGCTTGGCGACTTTGGCCTCGCCAAGGAGCTAAGCAGCGAGTCCAAGTTTGCGCAGACCAACGTTGGAACGCCGTACTACATGAGTCCGGTACAATTCTACCGCATGTACATTGGCATGTGATCCTGACGCCAGCGCACAGGAAATGGTCAACGAAATGACGTACGACGAGCGGTCCGACATCTGGGCCCTTGGATGTTTGCTCTACGAGATGGCGGCGCTCGCGTTCGTACCAGCCGGCCTTTTCTGCACACTGACCTCGTCGTAGACCACCTTTTGATGCGACCAACCAACTCGCCTTGGCCAAGAAGATCAATGCCGGCAAGTTCGCCCGCATCCCCGAGGCGTACTCGGAAGACCTCTTCCAAGCCATCAAATGGATGCTGCACCGCCAGGTTGATGACATCGACCACCTGCCTGTATGCCTGACGACGCCGTAGCGGTCACGCCGGCCACGGATCGAAGACCTCGAACGGATCCCGCAGCTGGCGCGTCGTCTGCAGACGTACTCGATGACCCTGGCCGAAGCGTCGCTTCACGAAACGTACATTTTTAACACGCGGGCAATCGCTCATGCTCGCCTCTAGGTACACCGCCAAGATGAAGGAGCTAATCGCCATCGAAGAGGAATTGCGCCGGCAAGAAGCTGTCCTTCTCGTCCGCGAGAGTCAAGTCAAAGGTACTTTTCCCCCTCAAGTATCAACTCTGTATCAATCCAAACCTAGAGGCCGAGGACGATGTGCGACGACGGGAAGCAGACGTGAAGAAGCGCGAGCGCCTGTACGCAACCCATCGTCGACATCTCGACCATGCTCACTGAAGCGTAGGGTCGAAGCACTCTCCCGAACGTACTCGAACTCGTCGCCCAACAACTCGTCTTGCCACTCGGGCAGCTCGGACCACAGCCCCGTCTGTAGCCAATGCGGGTCGTCCTCGTCGCCTTACAGCGTCAATAACAACGACGTGCACTTGAGCCTCCCGACGCCGCCCCGGAAAAGTCGGTCGTACGAGGCGACGTCGCTCAAGGGCACGCCAAGCCGGCACTTTCGCTTTGACGAGTACTCGCCGACCAAGTACACGCCACCACCAACGTCCCGCTACTATCCCGCGATCGAGTCGCCCGTGAGAAAGTCACTGGACCGATATTACCAGCAGGCGTAGTCGTCGTCGCCCGCAACAGTACTAGTTCTTAGTCCTCGTCGTAGTAACCCGTTAGGCCCGTTTCTTTCTACCCTCTTCCTCTACTTTGCTGCACACTGGTTGTATCAAGCCCATCGACGTATCGATATAGCAATATATACATCAACGCCGGGTTAGGACGACACGCGAATCTGCAGTAGAGACTCGACTTTTGTGCGGCAGATAGGGCATGTGCTGCCTGGCTTCTTGAGCGCCTCGGAGCACTCGAGGCAGATGCACATGTGTCGACACGGCAAGATGGTCGTGTTGCGCGGCTCGCAGAGGCAGATGATGCACTCGGCGCCTTCGAGGACGTCGTCCGTGGCCGTCGCCTTGGCCTCTGCGTCGCCGTCAGTTGGCGACTTGGGCGCGGCAGCAATCGAGCCGTCCATGCCGTAAATCTCCTGGAGCTCGTACGTTTGGCCTTGGACCTGGACCTTTTGCTTGAGAATTGTCGCCTTGAACGTCGTCTCGTCGCCGCGCGTCACCTTGGGAAACGAGAGGAACGTCGACTGCTTCTGCGGCGGCGACGGTCCGTCGACGTGGACTTGGATCTCGACGACAAGCGGAAACGTCGTCGAGCTCGCTTGGTGCGTCGTCTCGAGGACCGGCCACGCGGCGAGGTCGAAGGGCGGCGTCGAAAACGCTTGGCCGAGCGCAGCCGGGTACACGGGCAGCGGGTCCGGGTTCGGGTTGAGCTCGGGCTTTTGGTTGAGGAAGTTCGAGTTGCCATCGTCGTCAATGGTCTCGAGCGCGTTAAAGTAGAGCAAGATGTTGCAGGGCTTGGCGCTGTCAAAGAGGAACTCGAGCACGCACTCGCCGGTCGCCAACGTCTTGAGCGCGACCGACTGCTTCTTCAAGTTGACGTCATTGCGCACGGTCGTCGTTTCTTGCATCTCGGGCGCGGCCTGGAACGCGCCGCCCATCTGCGACTGGATAAAGCCCATGTCGGCTCGCCCGCGGCTCATGTAGAGCGCCTGCATCTGCGCCTGTGTGTACACGACGGGCGGCGCCGATGGGTTGCCGCTCGTCGGGTCGCCGTACAGCGGCGGCGGGTTGTTGCCGTGGCGGCCCGCCGACCCGTTGTTGTGGCGGACGATGCTGCCCGAGACGCCCATGCTTGGTCGTTAACTGTCAGCGCTGCGCTATTTTGGTCGCATTTTCCGGAAATATCAAGTGCAATCTCGACATAATAATATTGCGCATTTCCGCACGACGACTCACTGTACCGAGCGGCCAACACAACAATGCGAGTGCAACCCCGTTCTATTGGCGCTTCGTGGTTGGAGCTTCGACTTGGTGCTGAGAACGCAGCCACGTCAATTGCTGACCGCCAGATAAAACTCGAGAAGCCGACTGATGATGAGGTCTCTGTACACATCGCAGCGGATCCAGCACTGCTCGCCTTGCCTTGGCCATGCTAGATGGTCAAAAAACCGATCCCCACGCTCGTGAACTAGCCTACCCCTCCACAATCCAAGCCATTTGTAGGTACGTATTGGCAGGTATTGTAGTAGGTGCTTGGGACATTCGAAGGTTGGCTTTTCTGGTTCGACGCCATTGTCAGCTCCACACCAAACGCCGATACTATACTGACGGTACGACGACGCGCGGAATCGGCCGCCAGCTGCGTCTCCTGCAGCACGAATCGTGCCACGTCGACCTCCTGTCGCACGCGTTCTTCGTGGCAGTAAAAAGGAGTGCCTCGGACAAAACGGCGGGACAAAACGGCGGGGACAAAATGCCCGAAGTAGCCAAATACCGTAGGTAGTAGTAGCCTGTCAAAGACGCGTGACCGACCATGCAGCATCTGTGAGTCGCGACGGAGCGTGCCAGATCCAGTCAACTCGTACTTCTTGTGTGTTGCCGGTAGCGACAGGATGTGCATGGACAGTCGCTTGCTGGGACCCAAGAGGCTCCAAGACGACCGCTATCACTCCAATCCATGCTGTCTCGTTGTCGCAGCGTACCCTCTTTTGGTAGATCGAAGCCACCTGAGAACGCTCGTCATTGACGCCGTCGATCAACGTGAATGGCGCACTTCAACCTCACGGCGGATTTCGTAGTTCGAAGACGTTGTGTGCCAGGGAATGCGACGAGATTGGTCAGATTGCGAAGTTTCGTTTGCAGTCGAAGAATTGATACAGCTATTGATACCCTGTCGGAAATCCGTGGCATGTCATGGCTGGTGCAAGAGAGCAGGACAGCCCGCGAGGCAAGATGCGGACAAAGACAGCGCAGGATGCGGCGCATAGGCGATGCGAGCACAACGGCATGCACCGTGTCTGTCACGACCAGCGTCATCTGCCCGGTACACTGCGCGTCGTACAGTGTACCAGCGTTGGTTTGCTTGGCGTAGTAGCTGTCTACGACACAGGTCCCTATTATACGACAAGGTGGCAACGAACGAAGGAGCTTGTCGCGGTTAGACAGTCGTGGGTGCAACCTGGCGCCATGCTTCGAAGGTTTGGTCACGGGATGACCTAACCATCGAAGCATGCGCCAGGTTGCGCGGGGATCGACCGTTCAGCCGTACACCGTACGACCGACAAAGCGTTTACGAGTACCGACGACGGGCATCTTGTCTGTCCTCCCATAGTCTGGGCGCTGAGTGATTGATGATACCCGGTACTGCAGAGCCTGCTCATGCACGCAAGCCGAGCCCCAGGCGCTGGCCACATCCACGCGCCTGGATTGCATTTTGACCAATCGCATCGCATTCGATAGAATGAACCAATCCCACGCTGCTATAAAAATTCGAAGCGCCAATGAACAGTGGCGAAAAAAATGATCGGTGCAGAGTGGGCCATTGATTGTTCGTCGCGCAGTCTTCTTGAGCCAGCTGGGCACGCACGACACGGAAGACGACGAGGTGGTCGTCGCGAGGAAGGTGCATTGGATGATGATGATGATGAAGAAGACGAGGGTTTGGATGGTGCAACGAAAAGGAAAAGCTTAGGCTCGAATAAATAAGCTACAGATGGAGGCCGGAAGAGTCTTCGATCGACAATGCGCGGATACTTCTTAGTGCACGAGCACGACGCGGGTGCCGTGCTTGGGGTTCATGCCAAAGTACGTCGCTTGCTGCGACCGCGCCGACGACGGGCGCGTCGGTGTCTTGGCGAACCGGTTGTCGCTGCGCTGCGACGAGAGACTCGACATGGTCGTGCTGGACGGGGAGGACCCGACTGGCGACTGCATCGGCGACCGCAAATTGCTGAACCGCGCCTTGATGCCACTCTGGACGCTGCCGCGGTCGCTCGCGCCGCTCGTGCTCGGGCGGTACTTGGCCGTGTCGCAACACACGATGCACACGTCGAGCTTGGTGTGGCCTTGCTTGTCGAGGGTTGCGTTGCGCTCTTGGGTGCATTTCGAGCAGACGACGACGCCGCACTTGCGGCAATGGATCTTGCGCGAGAGCAGGTGGAACGCTTTCCGGCACACGTAGCAAGACGCGACCGAGGCTTTCGGCACAAGGTCCAAGTCGCCCAAGAAGCCCTCGGCGTTCATGCGGCGGTCGTGGAGGATGTCGTGGAGCACGTGGAGGTTGTTGACGTGGCGCTTGATGTTCATGCACTGCGTCCAGCTCGGCATGTTGCTCTTCGGGTCCATGCACATGACCGCGACGACATCAATGCAACCCGGCGTCGCCGACTCGGTGAAGAGGTGGCCAGACCCGTAGATCGAGCCGCGGACATAGCCGCCGTGGGGCACCTCGAGCGACGGGTACACGGGCGACGCGAACGACTGGAGGCTGCGCGCCCAGCCGCGGCGACCCGTGCTACTCACAAACTCGTCTTGGGCCTGGAGGAGGCAAAAGTCGCGCGGGCGGAAGAGCGCGGTCGGCGCCATGCTGTACGCCTGCCAAAGGAGCTGCACCGAGTGCATCGGGTTGTACTCGGTCGGTGCCTCGAGCGTCTTGAGCACCTGCATGTCGAGCAGGTGCGGGTGCAGCTGCTTATGCAGGCTCTTCATTTCCGTCGAGTCGTTCATGTTGCCATGGAAGAGGTCCACCACCTCCTCCAACGACCCGCTTACTTGGGTCACGGCGCAGTACATGATGGGCTCGGCCGGCGCCGGCGCCGCCTTGGTAAACACGTTGGACCATTTCGACGCGGGCTTCTTGGACCGGCGCACGCGGTACACCGAGACGCTGGCCTCGTCCGACTCGAGGTCCCATGTGTAGCGCGAGCCTTCGCGCGTCGAGAGCTCGAGCAAGTTGGCCAAGCACTTGCGCGAGCTCTTGAGCAGCAGCGCAGTCTCGTCTTGGCCGAGGCGCTTGTTGCTGCGGAAAGACGGTGCCATGATCGAGACGAATTCAAAGTGGGCCGCAGTTCTGGAACCCAAGCGCGCACCAGCTGGCCCAGCGTCCGGATCCGCAACCGGTTCGTCAGTGGAATGTGTCGCAGGCGGACAAAACGGATGGGCCAAACGGACAAAAATATAATGCAATTAATCAATTAATTGGGTGGGATCCTGCGACAGCACGTTGCCAGACGGCGCGAGTCCCACAGATACGCAACTTTCGACACGACCACAGAGCCGCATGTCCTGCATGCGGTTGGGTGTCAAAGCTATGGCTGTACGCTCGCGAAGGCACGTCGTCGTTGCCAGGACCTCCTGGCGCACCTCGTTGGGCCGCACCAGATCTAGAGTCGAGTCGGACCCAACGAGCTGCCAATCAGAAATATTCACAATGTGCGCGCATCCTCCGTGGCGTTGGCGCGCTGCAGCAACGCTATTATTTTTGTCCCGATCCTCAGCCACCAACGACAATCCTGAAGTGCTGGCGCCAGCTATCATTTCAGCCGTGGAAGCTTGTGGTTGTCGGGCCCTGACCACAAGCGCGCTCTCCGGCCACCGTCAGGCCGTGACCAGCGCGCTTTATCGAAGGGTGCGCAGAGACATCACCCTGCCGAGATAGCGCGCAGAGACGAATTCGAAGACTGTGACTTCGGCAGAATTTACGCCGACGCGGCCGCCGAGACGGAGAGCGATGGATGCAGACCTGGCGTGCTCCAGAGGAGGAGGTTGGGCGGGCCATCATCATCAGGAGAGGGAGTGGGTTCGGAAGCGCTTGACACTCGCATCGTACCTGCCATCGAAGGCGGCCATCAACCCATGCGCGCTGGCCTTACCACCCGATATGGCGGCGAAAGACGGAAATCCACCCATAGTACAAGACTCCTGTCCACGAATTCAGTCCACAAATACGCGCTCCCAGTGCCATTCTTGTCGCGAGCCGACTGAGCCCCACGTGAAAATCAAACTCCAAACGGGATCTGGTAACACGTTCTGATAGGGGCTTGTTATGATGGTATGCAGCTGATCGCTCTGATAGCAGTCGAGCCCGAGAAGGACCATTCCGCTCGAAATGTCGATGTTGTTGTTCCGACCATTTTGGCCCGACAAGGACCAGCTCCTGAGCGTCGGGTGGGTGGCTAGGAGAGATTATTGTGCTCGCGTATGGCGTGCCTGTGGTGGCGACCGAGAATAATCCGGCGCTGGCGTGGCAGCCGGGTTTCCACGCGCGCGAGTTTGCAGCTCAAGGTTCCGTCGGAGTCGCAATGTCTTTGCCAAATTATGGAGGAACTTCCAAGCACTCTAGAAGGTCCAACCCGAGCCATTTCTGAAGCAGACAATACGCAAACCCGCCTCGGCCCTTTCCAAGATGGTGGGTACCAATGTGGTTCTAGCGTCAAGTCTTCTGAAGGTGCTGCTGCGAGCTGCATTGATAGGCGGCGGGAAGACCACGGCTCACGCATGGGGCATCGGCTGGACACCGTTTGGTCGTACGCTCTTGCATTTGAGAGCATCGTCGGCGAAGGGGTTGATGGGTGATGGCGGTTCCACGTTGTGCTGCGAACATGTTGAAGGAGCGATCTCTGCGATGCTTGGCGTTCGATAGCGTTGCGATCTGCGCCCGAGCCATGCCGCAAATGATTTTTAATGCGAACCAAGTAGAGCTACGCGAAGACACACCTCAGATGCTCGGTGCGAAAGCAGCAGGCCGTGGAGAAGGACGGTGGTGCTGCGCAAGAGGTCAAGGAGAGACAAGGCGCCGCCAACAGTCCAAAGCCAAGTCACGTTCGTAGGTTCGGTAGCAACCTCGCCGCGAGGCTGCGTTCTGCAGATTCCACTTTGCGGCGTTCGAGACGATCTCAAACCAAGAAATCCTGGCCTTTGGACGACGTGCCGCAAGGCTTGGAATCTGTGGAAATGTGTGTCGCTCTGCTACGCATCATATATACTTATACCTTCAGCGCACGGCAGCGCTTGAGCTGCCACGAGAGGTGCAGGCGTCTGCGCACGGCACCTCGTTCAATGTGCAAGGGCCACGGAATAAAACGGCGACGCAACAGTTGTGAGATATGAGCTCACGAGGGTTGCCACAATGCATTTCCAGTCTATCGCCTCAAGCGGCTCGGCCTCAAATCAACAATCTTGGCCTCGAGCCGATCGACGGTCGCCTACCCCACGCTCCGGGCACCCACCCCGTACTCGGTCGCTCCTCTCTCAAGAGAGGAGCTAGATAGTCTAATGAGTAAGTGCTGTCTCGGAAGGGCAACATCAATAACATCTCAGTTGCGATCGCTCGGCCACGCTGTACGCCACGTCACATTCTTGTGGAGTAGCTTTTGTAGAGATTGGCGCTTTGCACACCATTTGCACCGCACTCGAGTGGCACGAAGTCCTTTAAAATGCTAGTGCCAGGAGCAGATTAAGAGCCACTTCTTTGGAGTGACATGCTCGTATTTGGCCGAGGCAATCGCATTCATTTCACGTCCTTTCTATTTGAAAGCATTTCGTATGCGTCAGTTGCTCAGATTTGATAGTCCAGTTCCCTCCCGTTGCCAAGCTCATGGCCAATCCACATTCAAAACTAGTTTGTAAAACCCTTTTGGGCTCCGTGCCAGGCAACAACATTGGGGCAGCTCGTATGTGACCTAAATTGCTATTTGAAAAATATGCGCGTACCAAGGTTCGAAGTGGTGACCAAGTTTTTGTGTAGTACTCAGAATCCACAGCGTGTGACGTGGATAACCCATAGCAATTAACGTCGCCACCTGGTACAATGATGAACCTAAACGGGATGCACGCGCCAGAGACACGGCAGCAAGGCCCGGGCGCCAGGGAAGAGGCCGACTATGCAGGTGCGAGGACGATGGGCACTGTCCCCCCCTTTTTCTCGTCCAATCTATTTTATAGGAGCGATATCGTACTACGTACTAGCATGTTGCGGATGGAAGGGACTTCTACCGTCCTTCCTCGCAGGGGCTTCAAGGCGCCCAATGCGACAATATCGAGATAAGGCAAGCATTATGGTAACCCATCGCATCGTGGCCTTTCACAAACCAGGTCACGACAGGGCACTCTATTACTGCGAAACGCTGGTCTGCTTGAGGTACTTTTTCGGTGGCTGGAGGCGGCTCGCGCCGACGTCGACGAGGTCCAGCTTTCTCTTGGGGGAGCCGAGGGACGCTGCTTGAGCGTCAAGGCCGTCGTCGATAGTGAACGTTGGGAACGATGCGTCGTGCGGCCGCTTCCGGGGCGTTGCGCCAGACGACGCATCGGTCGCGAGGCTCTTTAGCAGTGCGGTGGCAGCTTCGTCTTGCCGCACCATGTCCGTTGTCAGAGTGGTGGCATAGGCACCGGTGCTATTGGAGAGCGTATCCACCTACGCTTTGCGTCACGACCGGCTTCCAAATGAAGTAGTTAGTATACAACAGTACCGTTGTCCGCCACGTCTGGCACGCGTCTTGCACGGCCGAAGACGACGTCTTGTGGCTCGACACATACGCTTCTTGCTTGGTCTCGATGCGTTGGAACTGCGTCGCCATCCACTCGGTTGTCGAATTGAACGCGTCGGCGTGCACCGCGGCTTGCGACGCCAGCTGCTGGTCCAAGGCGGAGACGTGCGCGGTCGCTTGCGTCTGGAGAGCGGCTTGCAGCTCGTTCGTCGCGTCGGAATGCGAGGCAACCGCGCTCTGCACGTGTTCCACGTGCGATGCGTGCGTCTACACACATCGTAAGGAGCGTCGTGGCGTCGGAACACCGTACCTTGGCAAAGGCCTCGACGTGCTCGGTCGTCGTCTCGAGCTGCGTACCAAACTTGCCTGCTTGGTCGGCGGCGTCGGTGGTCGCTGCCGCCACGTCCGTAGCGACCTGCAGCAAGAGTTTTTGAACCCCTACGGACGCAAAGCGACGTGACGCTTTCATAACACAAAAACACGCAGAACCGTACGCTCGTCCGAGGCCGAGGACTGCTCTTCCAGCGTAGAGGACGTGTCCGAGAGCGACTGCAGCATAGACGAGAGGCACGTGTCGAGCTGCGCCTTGAGCGACGCCTGGAGCGCCTCGACTTGGTCGCGCATGGTCTCCTTAGTCGTCGTCAGCGATGCCACGGCGCTCTGCGTGTCGCGTGCGCGCGTTTGCACTTCGTCCTGGAGCGCGGCCGTGAGGTGGGCTTGCGTCGCCTCCAGCATGCTCTCGAGACGCGCCATGTAGCCGTCCATACCCACGCGCATCGCGTCGCACTCGCGCTGGACGCTGTCGACGACCGCGGCCGCCTACACGCATCGTCGATTCATGAGGATTGTCGCTTGTACACTGCTAAGTTGTCGTCGCACCGACGACGCGCTGGCGCGCGTGAGGGCTTCGAGGCGCGATGTGAGGCTCTCGGTGAGCGGCGAGAGCTTGTCGATTGCGGCGACCCAAGCGGCTGCCTGCTGCTGACTCAGTGCCTTCTGGTCCATCTGGTCGGCGTGCACGCGCTCGTGGCCGACCTCGACCTTGGCGAGCATCCCAGTGACAAGCGCCGCGAGGTCTTTCTGCACCGATGCGAACCGGTGGCCCACGTCGTCCAGCGCGTCGTTGTATGTGGTCGCGACACTGCGCATGTGACTCGTGAGCGCCGTCATCTGGTCCGTTTGCTCCGTCTTGAACGCGTCGACGGCGGTTCTTAGAGCTTTGCACTGGGACGTCGCCCGCTCTGCGTACGCCTGCGTCGTCGCATAGTTGGCTTGCAAGAGCGCGTCTTTTCGACCTATTCCCCGCATGAATGCCAAGCGCTCGAGATGGTGCAGTTCGTACCCGCGGCGTCCTGCAGCGCGGCAATGTCTCGCAGACGGTCCTTGTGCATGGCTGTCGCGATCGCAGCTTGCCGCTGGAGCTCGGCGACATTGGCTTCGGATACGTGGAGCATGCTTTGCGTGCGTTCGAGCTGCGCTTCGTTTGTTCGCAGCTGCAATTCGGTCGCGACAAGGGTCTCGGTCGTGGCTTTGAGCTCCATCTACGGCATCGCCTCGTATGCAATTAAAGGAAGGAGGATCGTACCTGGGAAGCCGAGAGCTTTCCGTCCAGCTCGGTCACTTCGGCTTTGGACGACTCGAGCGCTTCTTCGACTTCAGCGACCAGCGTCGTCTTGATGTCGAGTTCATCTTCGAGCTCTGCGAGCTTGGACGAGAACCACGCGAGACGGTCTTGCATCTCGGCGTACTGCGCCGGCGGCAGAAAGATACCGTCCTTGGCCCGCGCGGCCATGAGCTGGCTACGGAGGGCGTCGATTTCGACACCGTACTCCTTGATCAAGACGTGTTTCGTCATGCGCTGGTTGGCTTCCGGCTTGTTCTTGATGCTCTTGGCGCGATGCGCATAGTCGAGCGTGCTCATGGTCTCGTCAATGCAGTCGCCAGCTACACAAGGCGACGTGAGCTCAATGAAGGAAAGAGGAGGAGACCGTACCAGGGCCGAGGGTCGCAATGATCGTCGTCATCGCGCGGCCGCCCAGCGACTCTTGCAGGAGCCGCGTCAGCTTTGAGTCACGGTACGGCACGTGCGGGTGCTTGTCGACGAGGGCGGTGATGACGCGGCCGAGCGTGAGGAGACTCTGGTTGATGTTGCCGGCCTCGCGCGCGCGGACGTTGCGCGCGCCGGAGCGGCCAATGCACTCGGACCCGGCGAGGTCGACGAGGTTGAGCGTCCCGCTTCGAATGAGCTCTTCGCCGGGGATGTTGGACTCTTTGCTGTGGATGCGGATCGTAAAGATGCAGTGCGATCGACTGGACTGGTCGTTGAGGAGCGTCTCGGCCATGATGCGGTTCTTGGAGCCGATCTCGAGGAGCTCAAAGACGTGCGACGCGGTCAGCGTCGTGACTTCCTCGAGGTTTTGGCAGTAGACACCACCGCGCTTGGCGTCTTCCATGAGTCGCAGCGGCTTGTCCTTCTTGTTCTCGCCCAGCAAGTCCTTGAGCTCTTCGTTGTAGAGCTGGAGGAACGAGACGCGCACCGAGTACTCGCACTTGGTGGCCTGGAGCTTCTCGAAAATGTAGTTGACGCTGCGCGGAATGATGCCCGCGTTCTCGTCGAGCGGGCTCAGCTTGCCCTGGATCGTGTGCGTCTTGCCCGTGCCCGTCTGGCCGTAGGCGAAGACCGTGCAGTTGAAGCCCGCGAGCGCTTCGTCGACCACGCTCTGTACGACGCCCTTGAAGATGTCCTTCTGCGACGCATATTGGCCAAAGACGCGGTCGAAGGTATACGTCTTCTTGCGCACCGTCACCTGGTGCTCCTTGGGCGCGACGGCCACGACGCTCGGCCGCGCGGTCGCCTTCTCCTTGGTCGAGAGCGGGCGGACGCGGACCGCGACGCGGACGCTCTTCTCCATACCGACCTGGAATTCAAACTGGTCGCCTCCCGGATACATGTCCGGATACGGAGCCTTTGAAATGCAGCCAATCAGTGACCGAGAAGTACTCTCTCGCGCTCAAACCATGGGATCCAGCGCTCGGGGGCCGAGCCGCAGCCAGGAACATCTCCTCGGTGTGCTTTGATCTCCAGCAGAAAGCGACGATCTACGGTGGTGCAAGGCTGCGCGATCGTGCCTCCACGTGGGCACAGTGCATGTCCTGCGCACCTCTAGCAGCAGGACCACGCTTGGCCTTGCTACTGGTAAGATTGTAGTACTACGTAGTAGGAGCTAGCATCGACTGCCATATACTACGTATGCAAGACCCGCGCCCATGGCACCGCCATCCAGGCAGCCTTGATTCATTCGACTCGGGAGATGACGCGGCAGAGTCGTATGGCGTGCTTCCATCGATGATGGAGCCTGCATGACGTGGCCCTTGATGCGATCTACAGCATGGTGCTCCTTGTCGACACCGCTGACGATTCGCGTCCTCGGGTCCATGGGCCAAGAAAGGGCGATGCCACGTCAAGCACATCTTTTCAGCCAATAAGCGCTCGACGTTCAAATCAATGCATTTTAAATGGCTGAAAGTCGTGGTAATTGATAAAAATGACGGTGACAGCATGGTACATTGACGCCGGGGCATGGGCGCCGACGCCGGACGTCTGGAGCACCCTCTTGGCCTACCTCCTCCCGGTCGAGCGAGAGAAGGTACTACATACGGCAATGTTGCCAGCTTGCTGCTGATGCGACGACGCAGGTGCAGCGTTTTCGCTTTGCAAAGGACCAGAAATTCGCACTCCTGAGCCGGCTGCTCCAGCGCCACCTCGTCCACACCGCGTTCGGGACGCCGTTCGATGCCATCCACCTCGATCGCACGCCGCATGTACTATGTCAACCGACCTACCAGATCTTATCCTAGCTGCTTGGGCTAGGGCAAACCCTCTTGGCCGGACTGTCCGAGCCCCACCTGGAACTACAACGTCTCGCACCAAGAAAGGTTGGTCGCGATCGCGTCAGCCGACAGCGTGCGTATCGGCGTCGACGTCGTGTGCGTCACGGACAAGCCGTCGCACGTCACGACCGAGAGCTTCTTGGCCACGTTTGCCGCGTTCTTCGGGCCGCGCGAGTGGGCGCAGATCCACGCGTCACCCGACCCGCTCCGTCGCTTCTTTCATCTATGGAGTCTCAAAGAGGCGTACGTCAAGGCGCTCGGCGTCGGCGTCGGCTTTGACCTCTTGCGCGTGCAGTTTGACTGCACCGACGTGGACGCTAGTCCGACGCTGTACGTGGACGGCGTGGCGTCGCGCACGTGGCAATTTCATACGACGCCCCTCCTCGACGCGACCCACCTCGCATCGATCGCTCTCGAGCTGCCCGCCGACCAACCGAGGGTGTCCGTTGCATGGCAGCAGCTGCCCATATCGGCTCTCCTTCGATCCACGTAGTGCCATTCCGGTCGCAGCCGTAATCCTCGTAGCATAGCTCCAGGCATGGCTCTGTTGTTGGCATTGATACCCAAGTGATGCAACCATACACCGATAGGCTATCACAAGGCTACCAAAAGGCCACCAAACAGCCAAAAGGCCACCAAAATCTCTAGCAAATCGAGCAGGTGGATCATGGATTCTTGGGCAACGGCATTGGCGACGAGACGAACGTCGGGACTTGGCGTCGTTCCGAAGCAACCTCTCAAGTCATTCATTGTCCCAACCTCCCTGCTGCACGACGGCGAGCCTCGTGATCATGCTGCTGGAGTCGACGGCCTTTCTGATCTTTCCACTACTCTGACCCAAGGCTACGCTATCAAGTACGACGCTGCGGCGTGGGTCGTTAAAGGGGACTCGGACGTCACCGGGCGCGTCTCCACCACGCTGCTTGCGCGTGCGTCTGCATTGCGCGCGACCTTTGCAGGTCCTCCTTGCGCTTTAAGGGCGTAGAAATTGGTTATAGGGGTTTAAAAGGATGCAAAAAAGGTCTAGCGTCTAAAACTGCGACTCGGTGACGCCGCTCGACATGGTGTTGGTCGAGCTGAGGCCGCCCGTGACCGTGTTCTGCATCGCGTCAATGAGCTCCGTGCCCGACCAGCCCTGGTGCTTGAGCGTCTCGACGCCTTCCTGGCGCTCGGCGCGCTGGACGCCCTCGACGTACGCGAGCATCTTGCGCGTGCCATAGTCGCGGGCAAAGCGCGTGATGCCGAGCGAGTCGCTGTGGAAACCGGCGAGCGTGATAAACTGCCACGTGTAGCCCATGGCGCCGAGGTCGTCGATAAACGTGCGGATCTGCGCGTCCGACATGCCGGCCGCGTCCCAGTTGAACGACGGCGACAGGTTGTACGCGAGCATCTGGTGCGGGTGCTGCGAGTGCACGCCGTTGGCAAACGTGCGCGCGAGCGGGAGGCCCGGCACCGTCGTCTCCATCCAAATCAGGTCGCAGTACGGCGCGTAGGCGCGCGCGCGCGAGATGCAGAACTCGACGCCGCCCTGCACGCGGTAGTAGCCCTCGACCGTGCGGGCCTTCTCCCAGCAAAACGAGACCGTCACGCCGTGCTGCGACGCAAACTTCTTCATGCCCTCGAGGCCGAGGATCGAGCCGTTGTCCAGACCCTTGTCAAAGGCAGCGACCGCGGCCGCGTTGAGCTGCTTGCGGAGCGCGGCGGGGTACGTCATGCAGCCGGCGAGCTTGTCCCACGACTCGGCGCGGCCGTTGCGGGCCGCCTCGGCGTACGACTCGACGCTGAGGTTGGTGGCACCGAGGATGAACGCGTGGTCGCGCGGGTCCGAGTTGTTGTCGAGGAGCGTCGCGGCTTCGGCATCCGTGCGAGCAACAATGACGAGGGGGACCTGCATGACGTCGGCTTGGAGGCGGGCCGCAATGAGGCGCGTAATGTGCTCGGCCGTCGTTACCAAGACCTTGCCGCCCATGTGGCCGCACTTCTTGGTGCCCGGCTTCTGGTCTTCCAAGTGGATGCCAGCCGCGCCGCGTTCGATAAACATCTTGACGAGCTTCATGCACGCCGTGAGGCCACCGTGGCCCGTGTCGGCGTCGGCAATGATGGGGCGGAGGTAGTCCACGGGGGCCGACGCGGCGCGCTGCGCGGGCGTCATGCGGCGGCGGGCTTCAAACTGCTTGCGGTCGTGGAAGCACTGAGCGCGGAAGAGCTGGTCGACCTTGTTGGGGACCGTGTCCATGGGGTAATCGGCGACATCCGGGCCGGGCTCGTTCGAGGTCGACGCCGTCGACGACGACTGCCAGCCGCTCACGTACACCGACGTGAGGTGCTTGGCCATCTGGACGACCTGGATCGTGTCGAGCGCACCAAAGGTGTGGCTGCACTTGCCCTCGGCCTGGAGCTGGCGAAGCATCGTGTAGAGCTTGACCGCCTGCTGCGTCGAGGCGTACGCCGTCTCAAACGTGCCCTGGAGCTTGACCACGTCTTCGGGGCCATACGGGCGGGTCGTGTGCTTGAAGCGCTCCTGGGCGATGAAGGCAGCCGTGGCCTTGACGCGGGCCTGGAAGACCGTCTCGTCGTCAATGGCGACCGCGGGCGAGATCTGGCTGCCAATGCGGTCGAGGCGCGAGTGGGCGTTCGGGCTCATGGTCGGTCTGGGCGTCGGACGGCGAGATGGCTAATGACGCCGAGCCAACTCGACACTGCGTGCGCAACCTCTAGCAATTAATACCTCAACGGCCCGAGTTCCATCCGCCAATCAGAAACCAGCACATTGGAACCAGCCAATCATTGAAGCTCATGGATCCGAACAGGCCGTCGTCACGTGCACAAGTTGAACTACTTGGCTCAATCACAAGCCAGGTGGCCGATCTTTCGGCCACTTCAAGATCGCAGTCTCTCAGAGCTGATAGTTTACTCAACACTTGGCACGTTCTGGCCGACGCTGTTGACTCGACAGCTCACGATCGGCCACGTTCCGACTGGTTCTTTTTTCCCGGGGGGTCCGCGGAAGGTTTTAGAGCACCACGGGAATAAGTCTCATCTCGTTGTAGAGGACCGACGCCATTTTGATATGTACGAGTATGGCGGATGCGTGGGTCTGCAGCCTCGCCCACTCGATTTGCTCGTAGCAGCAAGTGGCAGGGCGACGTGATGGCATGCTGGCCACTGCATGGGTACGAGGCCGGGACCTTGTCGACGCGAGGGCTGCATGGACACGAGGGCGAGGCGGGATAGTTCTCTTAGCTGCATCGACACGATGGCGCCGCACTCTTCAACCTACGAGAAGACGAGGTCGCTGCGCGAGGATGCGGCGTCGGCGGTCGTGGGTGCGGTGGGTACCTCGCGCGTCTCTGGCGCGAAACGGCGAAACGGGTCGTTGCAGCCATCATGCAGCTCGTGGTGCTGCTGTGGCTCGTTCTTATTGTCGCCGCCGAGGAGCTTGTCAACCCCGAGGTAGTAAGAATCGTTCGACCAGAGGCGCCACCCACGCTAGGCGACCAACCAAGTGTTTGGCGCTGTCTGGGTCAAAGGCGTGAAAATCACGTCCGACGCACTCATCGGGTCGTGCTTCCAAGGCTACGGGCTCACGGGCTGTTCGAATGGCAACGTGACGTCGCAGCACTATGGCGTCTCCAACCAGCTCGTGCCGGGACGGTCGTATTGCCTCCAGTGCTGCAGCAACCCGACGCCAACGGGGTGCGTTCTCCTCATGGCGGACGACGACGAGATATCGTAGGAGCGACGAGACGTGGGACCTCGCTTGCCCGCTCACGCTGCTCCAGCAGTCGGTCATCACCAACGACATTGGCAAAGAGTATGTGTTTGCCCGCCGTCGCAACCGCACGGACACGGGGCTGGTACGAGCGCTTCGCTTCTCAGTCCCATTGGATTCATGCGAAGACGAGGTCGTGTGCCAATGGCCAAAACGCACCAAGGGGCTGTACCTCGTCGGGTACACGCTGGAGCTCGTCGTGACCGAGTACAGCGCGTCGAGCGGCGCGGTGTTCTGGGTCGGCGTCGACGCGTGCTCTGTCATCGCGATCGAGTCGACGGCGCTACCGACGACGTTTACCGAGCGCATTCGCATGGTGTCGGTGCGTCCATCGTACACGCCGTCGCCGTACTGGTACTTTGCCCTCGGCGGCGTCTTGGTATCGATATTGCTTGCATCGCACGATGCGGACGAGGCTTCGCACTAGGTCCTCGCGCTCTATATGGCGTACGTGGGGTACCGCGGCTACATGCGCAACGAACACTGCGTCAACTGCGCGTCCAAACTCGTCTTCTTCCACTCGCTCTGCCTCCTCTGCATACTCTGCGGCTGCCGCCTCCACGCACCACCGGCCAAGGCTTTTGCGCCCAAGCCTACGAGAAAGAGCTCGCCGCCGCGAACAGCGACGCCTCCAGCGTTAGCGCCGACGAGTAGCGAAACCGACCTAACTTATTCCTGTACCAAGTCTCTCGCTGGTAGCAATCCTGACCGTTGAATCTCAAGCCCCACTGCAGAGTCCCGCTGCGTTGTCACCACATATGGAGCACCAGGCAAGCCCTGTGACGTGATCCCGTGGCCAGCAAACTTGCACTTTGGCACCAGCCGGCGATCCCATGCCAGCCGGCGATCCCATGCAGGCCGGATTTGATTGGCGCGACTGCCAATCACAAGTCCCGCTCGAAAGGTCAAGGCGGCCTCTTAGCGCCTTGTAGGAAGCCGAGGTGCACTACGAGACGTACCTGTAGGGCATGGTCACGATACTACGCACACAAAGGCTCAACAAGACGCTCATCGACCGCATCCAAGAGGACCCCCCCGGCATTGGTGAGAGGCGCCCATCCATACCGGGAACAGTCCTCTTGGATGCACTCGATGAGCGTCCGAGACGAAAGATGAGCTGGGCCGGTACACCAGCACCACAGCCTCTGGTGCGCCTTGTCATCCACGAGCTCCGTGATGACTTTTCCGTTTCTATCGTACAGCAGATGAGTATCGCATGGGGATGGCGATGCCGAGGTCGTCCGATCCAGTGCTGCGTCCGAGCTCACTCTAACCACCTTTATAACCCCTTTACAAGTGTACATGCGCCGCGAGAACGCCAAGCTGCGACGACAACGAGCCACGAGATAGAAGAGGAAATGGGTTGTTAGCACACATAAATAACTGCGTCTTCTTCACTCACGAGCCAAAAACCAGAGAGGTGAACGAGCTGCTGCTCACACGAGCCCTTGCAGTCGGCCGGTGAGCTTTTGGCTCTTGCGTTGGATGAAGCTCTCGAAGTCTTCGTTCTCGCCAATGTCGCTGTCGCTGTCGCTGTCTTCAAATGCCGCCGCGGCCGCCGAGACCGAGACCGAGCCAGGCAAGGCCTTGGAGATGGTCACCACGTCTTCGTCGTCCGAGGCCTCGTCGTCCGAGATGTCGTTGCCGCGCGCCGCGCTCTCGCCCGGGCGGCTGTAGCGCTCCCAGTTTTCTTCGTGGAGTTGCCGACGGAGCTGCTTCATTTGCTCGCGGCTCGCGTTCCCGTTGCTCATCATGGCCTCGATCTCGTCGATTTCGTGCTCGGAGAAGCGCGATTTCTTCTTGCCTCGGAACGAGACGATCTCGACTTCCGAGTCGTCCGAGTCGTCCGAGTCTTCCGACGCCTTCTTGTGGTTGTCCATGGTCCACTTGAACTGGATGTAGCCCTCGAGTTTGGGCGGAATGCGCCACTCGTGCGTGTTTCCGTCCAAGAGCACTCGCGTCATCTCGGATGGATCAAAGAAAGCCTCTTCGAGCTCGAGGCAGAGCCGCTCGGCGTCGATCGCAAGCCAATTGTCGGGCGTGATGCGGTAGCAGCCCGGCTGGCGGATCATGGCTTTCGCCAGAAACTTGTCGAGATACCGGAGAAGCATGAGCGCACCGTCGCGCGTGAGGCCAAGCGATTGGAGCTCGGTCTCGGCGTTCCCGACAATCTGCGCTTCGTTGCCGGACGGGATGCGCTTGAGAACGACTGGCTTGGTCGACGCATACCGCGCGTCCTTGAGGAACGACGAGTTGACGTCACGCGACCGGGACAAGCTCGACTAGACAGGGTAAACATGAGCTTGCAATGCCATACTACAGTGCCTGCAGGTGTACCCGGTTGCTGCTGCGATGACGGTGGCTCGACTTGGTTGGCGTCGGCTCGGGCTGGTCCTCGAACCGCGTCTTCGCACGGGTTTGCCGGGTCGACACGGGGCGCTCGTTCGACTTGAGGATCGAGCGCGGTGGCAGCGACGACGAGAGCGACGAGTTGGACGCGAGGGACGACGAGGATTCGTGGCGCGTCGTGGCCACGGACGAGGCCGAGTTGGACTTTTCTTTCGTCCACTGGGACCGCGGCGAGAGCGTCGGCGCGTAGCCCGGGAGGTTGTCCGTGTGGCGCTCGTTCTCGTTGGTCATGCTCGAGCTGCCACCGCGCTGACTTTCCATTGGCATCGAGTGGCGCTTTGGCATCGGCACGACCTTGGGCTCGTCGCCCGCCATCGGCACCGGCACGCGGTTGATCTCTTCAATGTCGGTGGTCAAAAACTCCTTGAGCGCGTCCAGCACAAGCACGCTGCCTTGCGTGTTGAAGGACGCATCGTGGGTCGACTTGCGCTTCTGCGCCTTTCGGTATTCGTGCGTACAGAGCAAGACCTTGGTGAGCCACTTGTCGAGCGCTTCGGCGCGCGTCTTGACGACCGACTCGGTGCGCGAGCCAAAGAGGCGCTTGGACGGGAACGAGAGCGCTTCGACGGCTGCGAGGAACCGCCCGTTCGCCGAGTCCATCGCCAACGGCTTCATGATGGCCAAGATCTTAGCGCGGAGCTCGCGGAACTCGTGGTAGGGCCGGCGCACGGTCATCTCGACGCCATGGATCTGGTGGTCCGTGACCCGGATGACGTACTGCGTCCGGTCCGCAGGCGTGTAGTCGACGTGCGTGATGGCGACGACGAGGCCCTTCGCCTCCTCGGTACTCATGCTCGAGTCGGTTCTGTTGAAATGACCAAAAACCCTCCGCGATTTGCAATGGCCAAACTCGCTTCTGATTGGCCAACGTGAGAGCTACAGTGCCGCACATTGTATTACCTTGGCGTTTGTATTGCGATTAAAATTATTTACGCGCATTACCAATCGAAGGTCCTTTTTCGGGCATTCCACCACGTGCATAAAACGTGCGTTAAACGCACAGCGTTTTTCCGCGTCGTAGAGGCTGGCTCGTATACACCTACTGCGCTTGATACACACCATTATGGATACACACGACCCTGCACACGACCCTTCATTGGTCCCTCGTCCGTAGAAGCCTTCAAGCATTCCCGGCGCTTTTACATGGCCCCACATCCATGGACCCTACGTAGTACACACGTATAGACGCACAGCTTGCCGAGACTTGGTCGTCGTCGTCGACCGGGAGCTTCTCGGACTCAGAGAGCCAGAGACGGATACACAAGTCGTGTGGCCGAGTGCATACTATTGGAGGCGCAACCAAGCTCGTCGCGGCTTGCCACGGGCGCTGTCTTTCCCATGTCTTTTTTGGCGCGGGGTGTGTGAAATTTTGACTTGGTCCTAGGATGCGTTTAAACCATTAAACCCCAACGGCAAACACGTTAAATGGCGGCCGACAGGCTGCGCGTGGACTTGAAGAAGCGATGGCCATCTGTAGCGCGAGCCAGTCAACGCGCATCTCGCGAAATGGCGAGAACGCGGTGGGCGGACCCGCCGACGCACGAACCGACCCGCTCCCCCGGCGACCTACGATGAGCTAGCTATTATTATTATTACACCTGGAGCCACGACGTACCCAGCCGCATAACGCTCATCGACTGACGCCGTGGTCCGCGCTGTAACGCCGGCGTCCGTTGAAGAAAGCGCGCGCAAACCAAGTGGTGCATCAGAAATCAAGCGCGGGTTTGTTCTTCGAATGCACACAACAGCAAACTCGAGCGGCGCCCGGGATCGAAGCCCAGTCCTCGGGCACGCGCGCGAGGAAAGAAGAAGATCATAACGTTCTTCCTCGCAGCCTCTCCGAGGCGGCATGCGTCGTCGTCGGAGGCATGGACTTTGACGTGGAAATGCATCGAATCGAAGCAGGCACAAGCGCCCTTCTTCCTCATCCCATGCACGGGCTTTCGATATTCATCACGAATATATATTGTTGCGCTGCACTTCAAGATCCGCGATCCTCCCGGGGTACTTTGGTGAAGGGCGTGGGCTACAAATCCCAAGTGTCGTCCCTTCGGATACGTAGCGGCGAATGATTCAAGGCTTGTATGGTATACAGGCGCGCCGTCATATCCTCTAAGATCTGAGGTCCAAAACGACGTTGAAGTTGTGGCCGTGGCGGGCCCGATACTCGAATTCAGTATAAAGCGATGTATCTTGATGTTCACATTTGATTTTGCCATCCCGCCGCAAATGCTGCCCGAGACCGTCGAGCTCCGCGACTTCCAGTTCTATGGCTTCGCCTGCAAGGGCCTCTTTGCGACCGCGGACCTCCCGACCAACACGCCGGTGTGGACCTGGGACAAGGCCACCGAGCCGCTCGAGACGTGGACGCGCCACGAGATCATGGCGCACGCCGACCGACAGAAGCTCATCAACTTCTCGTACATGGTCGGCGACGACGCGTTCGCGACGACGCTCGAGCCCGAGCGTGACCCGACGTGGTATTTCAACCACGCGTGCGATCCCAACTGCTGGTTTGAAGGCGACGGCCAAATCGTGACGCGGCGACCCGTGAAGAAGGGCGAGCAGCTCTGCTACGACTATGCGTGCACGGAAACCGAGGTACGCCATCGCGGGATGCCAGCACGTACATGATGGACTTATACAAGCATGTAGTCGTCGCTTCATGCGGGCATGATGTGCCAGTGCGGCAGCGACAAGTGCAGAGGCAAGCTCAAGTTTGACGATTGGCGGAGCCGGGCGTTTATCAAGGCCAACTACGGCCACGTGACCGATTTCATCATGAAGAAGCACGCAGAAAACAGGTATGATACGCTCGACGACCCTTGTGCGTAGCCGATAGCGTGTGGAGCGTAATAAAACCTTGCCGCTAGTTGGTACGACTCGCGCATGGAGCTCCGCCACAAGAGCAAATCGTCGCTTGGGCTCTTCTGCCGCGAAGACGCCGATTGCAAGATCCACGCCGGCGAGATCGTCCTCGTCTTCTCTGGCAAGGTCATTCACAAGGACCAGTTCCTCGAGCCGGGCGCGATGACGGCGCGGGACTTTGAGATGTCGCTCCAAGTGCACAAGGATTTGTGGCAGATCCCGGCGTGGAAGGTAGTAGTACTGCGGTCGAAGCGAGTGCATCACATTGCGCGTCTAGGAAACCGGCGACAAGATCGAGACGAGCGACTACATCAACCACTCGTGCGACCCGACGTGCGGCATGCAGGACTCGGTCACGGTCATCGCCATCCGCGACGTGCACCCGGGCGATGAGATCACGATCGACTACTGCATGGTACGCACCTTGTCGCCACATCGCGCTCATCCTTACGTAGGTCAACGATGGGTGCAACGACGAGCCTAGCGACAACTTTATGTGCAATTGCGGCAGCGCCAACTGCCGCGGCGAGATCACGACGCTCGACTGGCAGCTGCCCGAATTGCAGAGCCGCCTCGGCCCGTACTTCGCGCCGTTCGTCAAGCACCTCATCGAGAACCCGCCGTTCGTTGGCATCCCGTAGCACTCCTCGCACACGACGATGATCAACAAGATGTGGGAAGAGACGACGATATGCACCCCACTGGCAATACCCCGTAATATAAGGCCTTCGATCTGATGCGATCTTTCGAATTTCCGCCGCTTCTGATTCGTTCCTCAATAGCCAATCGCATCGCGCGTATCTTGTGCCGAAAATAAGACCGCCCACGACTGCCACAAACACAACGCCGGTGTCCAGCTCGGGCACGAGAGACCCACGAGCTCGCAGAAGTCCATGGTTGATATGTGCTCCACCGCGACAAGGTCGTCTTGGACGAGGCCTACCATTTCGATTCGCAAGGCGACGTCAGGTCGAAGCACCTGATGTCCTGCGCCCCTTGTTAAATGTGGCACATGCCACTATTGCGTATTTTGGTGGCATGGCGGTCGTCGGCGCCGCGAGCAACGCAAATGGCTCACGTCGCTGCGTAGGAACTCATCGAAGTCAAGGTCTACCGCGTGCTATGGCACGTCTGCCGCCCGTTCGTCGAGTGGCTCGTGGCGTCCAAGGACCTGCGCCGCCACGTCCCGCCAGCTGCGACCAGAGAGCGCTTCGGCGAGGCGACCGCAGGTACGTACGCCGCCATTCATGGGCACGAGCATCACGTATGCTAGACGTGTTTCCGTCAAGCAAATCCGGGCTTGTTTGGATCCACGGGGCATCCGTCGGTGAGTGCTTGAGCGCCCTTCCGCTCATTCAAGCGCTGACGCACATGCCGGGCGCTCGGGTGGCGCCGGGGACGCTGCGCCTCGACGTTCTCTTGACGACGACGACGCCTAGCGCCCGCGCACTGCTCCAGGAGCGGCTTCGCGCGGTAGTTCTTGTCCCTCGAATGACGACGCCAGCCAGATGGTAGAACCCGCATGCGCATTGCATCTTTGCGCCGCTCGACCACGCGCCGTATGTCCAAGCCTTTCTCTCGACGTGGCAGCCGACGTACGTAGTCCTGCGCTCTTTTGCGACGACCGAAGCATGACGTAGCGCGGCGATTTGGGTCGAGTCGGAGCTGTGGCCCAACATGATTGTTGAAGCAGCCAAGCGCAAGGTAGTCATACTCTTCTACATGTGCCGACGGAGACGATGTACATACTAGATGCCCATGGGCTTGATCAACGGCCGCATGTCAGCCAAGTCGTTTGGCCGATGGAACTCGTGGCTCGGGCGGCGGCTGGCGCAGCACCTGCTCGGCCCGTTTGCTTTGCTCACGCTGTGCCAGAGCCCCGAGGTCATTAGCAGTGTATGCTGAGAGCGCGACATCGTTTGATGCTTAGGACCTCTATCGGTTCCAAACCCTCGGCGCGACGTCGGCCAAGTACGTGGGCGACCTCAAATTCCGTACGACCTCGTACAATAAGATTGCTCCCGTCGCTGGACCGTCACTCGTAGTCTCGGCCAAGCAAGACGTCGACGCGGTGTGGCTCGCGCGTCTCGGCCACGCCGTGCAAGGCCGGTGCGTCTGGGTCGCCGTGAGCACACACGAAGGCGAGGAAGCCATCTGTGTGCATGCCCACATGGAGATTCGGCGGGCGCATCCCAACGCGCTGCTCGTGCTCATTCCCCGGCACCCGCACCGCTGCGACGGTATTCAAAACACCATCCACACGGTCCGACACCCGCGGCGTCACCATGTCGCTCATTCTAAATTGCCTAGACCACTTCGCTGCGAACCCAGCGGCGCTCCAGCGACAGCACGCCCGGGCCCGAGACGGACATCTTCCTTGTCGACGTCATCGTAGGAGCGTCGGCAGAGTTGCGGCGAAGCGTCTGACGCGAGTGCCCTAGGGCGAGACGCAGCTGTACTTCGACGTGTCGCCCGTCACCTTTGTCGGGGGTACGCCGGCGCGTTTCATTGCAGAAAGATTCACCTTTCTCGTAGGGTCGCTTGTCGACGTTGGCGGCCACAACGTGCTCGAGCCATTGCGTTCGGGGTAGTTGGATCCTTGCACATATCGCAGTGGCGACAGTGTCTGTAGGTGCGCGGTGGTGCACGGCCCATACATGGCCAACTGCACGTCGGTGCTGGCGACGCTGGCGACGATTGGAGCGCCAGTACGCGCCGTCAACGCAGAGTCCTTGGCATCGACGGTGACGCGGCTGCTGTCGACGCCGGAGGCTGCGGCAAGTACCGATGCAACGATGCCCGTTCAAGACGCACTCTGGGCCGAGCTCGACCCGTTTCTTCAACGCATTTCACACAGCGCGCGTTCGTTGTAGTTGTTTCGTTAGTAGACAGTAGTATTATAATGCACAAAAGGGGGCAAAACCGCGTCCATGTTTAGTAAGGGCGATAGCGGTCCGACTTGCCGCCTTGCTGGCCTTGACGTTGGTAGCTGCCGTAGCCGCCCGACGACGGGTACCCAGCGGCCGGGTCGTCGTAACTCGGCTGGCCCTCGGCGCCGCTGGCATCGCCGCCGTCCGGCGGTGCGCCCGACGGATCATACGGCGGGTAGCCGCCATAGCCACCAGCACCATAGCCGCCGTAGCCGCCGGCACCGTAGCCGCCATAGCCACCGTAGCCACCATAGCCACCGTAGCCGGCAGCAGCCGCGGCACCGCCGTAGCCACCGCCACCGTAGCCAGCCGCACCGTAACCACCACCGTAGGCGGGTGCGCCGTAGCCACCGTAGCCACCGTAGCCCGCCGCGCCGTAGCCGCCGCCGCCACCGTAACCGCCATAGCCGCCGCCGCGACCACCGCCGCCGCGACCGCCGTAGCCGCCACGACCGCCGTAGCCGCCGCGACCGCGACCGCCATAGCCAGAGTCGTAGCCACCGCGACCACCGCGCATCTCGCCCTTGGGCTCGGCGCGCTTGATCTCGACGACCTTGCCGTGGAGCTCGTGCGACTTGGAGATGACTTCAGCGACCGCGCCTTCTTCTTCAAAGCTCACAAAGCCGAAGCCGCGCGACCGCTGCGTGTCGCGGTCCATCATGACGATGGCGTCCGTGATCTTGCCATAGTCTTCAAAGTACGTGCGAAAGTCGTCGTTCGTGACCGACGGGGGCAGACCACCGACAAAGATCTTCTTCGACTCGGTCGAGCGACCGCCCGACGCATACCGGTCGCTACACAAGCAGACAAGACGTCAGTGGACGCGCATGGAAGACGTCGTGTGATCTGGAGCAGGACGGCAAGAGAGTGCGGTGGACAAGAGATGATAGATGTGGGGAAATCGACTCCTCGTTACATCTGCCTGTGCTTGTTGTTGTTACTGCACTCTCCTGCCTCCTTTCAAGCATAAAGCTTTCGCTACCAGTGATCACTACGAGGAAGGAGCATCTAATCGAGACGAACCTATAGCCGCCGGCCGACCCGCCCTGCGGCCGCGCGCCTTGGCTGTCGCGCGGTACGGCGCGCTTTACTTCAACGTTGCGCCCGTCCAACGTGTGCGTATCGCTCAGTACACGCTCAATCACTACAATCGACGACGATCAGCGTCCTACGTCCTCGCCTCTATAGCTACCAGAAGGGTCCTCAAACGTCACAAAGCCAAAGCCACGCGGCTGGCCAGAGTACTTGTCCTTCATGAGCGCCGCGTCCGTCAGCGCGCCATACTTGCCAAAGTGCGAGCGCAAGTTGTCTTCCGTGGTTTCCCAGCTCACACCACCGACAAAGATCTTGCCCGCGCCCGTCGACTGGTGGGCCGCGGCCGGCGGCGCCGAGTTGTAGCCGCCCATGTGGCCAGCGTCGGCGTAGTAGCCGCCGCTCTGATCGTCGTTGTGGTACGAGGCTTGCTTGTGGGCGCCCATGTCGCCGCCATCGTGGTGGCCATGACCATGGCCATGACCATGGTCCGCGTGGTGGTGCTCAGGCTCCTGGTGATGGTCGTCTTGCTCGTACACAACTCCGTCCATCTTGCTCGTGTGCGAATTTGGGAATGGCTGGTTTGGGGCCAAAAAATTAAATACCATTTTCAAAACAATACCGACGCATTTTAAGCCCATGGAATTGAATTTCGTGCATTTGCATACAAAATAGATGCTGGTAATTCAATCATGTAAAAAGAACAAGCCACCGGCGGTGTATTATTTTAAAATACGGCATAAAAATCTGGAATAGAACTCTCACAACACATAATCGAACACAACCCCTCAAAATAAATTATCCGCTCGCACCACATATCTTATTCGACGGCCGATGATGGGCAGAAGATGCGATCTTGGCGACCGACGAGCGGTGGCATAGCATGCAACAGAGACTTCCGCCTCGTCGACGCTGCAGCAATAGCCGAGCGAAGGCAATGATGGTCATGGGCGGAAGTAGACGCAGCGCAGGAGTCCGCCTGTCCAGCGTTCCGCCGATCAGATAGCGGTACGCAGAATCCGGCGTGAACGACAGCAGCTGGCCACGGAGCTTGGCCATGACATCCGTGGCACAGCTCCGTGGCGCCACGCGCAAGGTGCCACGCAAGATGCATACGACACAGTAGCTGCCTTCATTGCATCGACTCGGCGTGTAGACGCAGCTCTGCGTAACCTTGTTGGCAGTACAGCGCATCAACTGGCCTCGCGTTACAGGTCTTATACAAAGTTGACGCATGCGGGACGACCCGACGAGCTTAAAGCTCGGGCGTCGTCTTCTCCATCATCTTGCGGTAGATTGCCTCGACCTGCTCCTCGCCCGAGATGCAAATCTTCAGGTCGCGAATGATACCGTCCTTGAGTCTACGTAGCAACACATGCGTCATTCGCTGGGACGAGCTGGCCTCGCAGGCGTACCGGTAGCACCAGCCGTGCACTTGGAGCTCCTGGTTGCGCTGCCAGGCGTTCTGAACGATGCGCGTGTGGCAGACGTTGTAGACGGACTTGGCCACGTTGAGTTCCGTGAGCAAGTCGGACTTCTTCTTGTCGTCCGAGAGGCCTACAAAAGAACGATGCAGCTGCGGCCACGTTGGTGCATCCCGTACGCTCAAAGACCGCCGTGTTATCGCTGTAAATGTCCTTGATGCTGCGAAGCCAGTTGTCGACGAGCCCAAACTCCTGTTGAGACAAGGCTGCGTTGACACCGCCGCAGCCGTAGTGACCGCCTAATGGCAGCATTGAATCCATTTCGACGGAAGAAGGACAAAGGCGACGTACAGACGATGACGTGCTTGACCTTGAGCACGTTCACAGCGTACTCGAGCACCGAGAGCGCGTTCAAGTCGGTGCTCACTACAACGATTCACTGCGTGAGCGAGCCGCGTCCACACGCAAGGACGTACGAAACTGGTTGGCAATGTTGCGATGCACAAACACCTCGCCCGGCGGAAGGTCCAGAATCTGGTTGGCCGGCACGCGCGAGTCGGAGCAGCCTACGCACCACGCCTGAGCATCGAGCGCGATGCGTGGCGAAGCGTACCGATCCAGAGCACTTCGGGCGTCTGCGTGTCTGCGAGCTTGGAGAAGTACGTCGGGTCTTCCTTCTTGACATTGCTCGCCCACTCCTTGTTGCGGTGGAGGAGTTCCTGGAGACCCTTGGTGCCATGCGAGAAGGCAACCGAGCGCTTCTGCGCAGTCGTGCCAAGCGGACCTAGTCACGTTCGTCATGAGCCTCGCCTACATGGAGAGCACGCAGGGCGAACCGTTGGCGCGGACGAGCGACGAGGCAAGGCGAAGACCGAAGCGGCTGTGCATGCTGCAACAAATCCAAAAATGATCTGCGGCGGGATCCGCCAGTCCTTCGCGTTTTACTCTTCAATCCGATACGTTAAAGAGCATTGGGTGACGTTATTTGTTTTCGGAAAACAAAGTGACCAGTGGCGTCGCCAGTGCCGATGTACCCACCATCCTACGACCATCTTGGCGCCAACGCAAAGCCCCAAAAGCTTCCAGCAAGGGTATATAATAATATACCCTTTACTCGTATTATATACCCTTCCCTCCAGGCAATGAGCGGTGACATGTGGTATGTACAAGTCGTCTCTGTTGCCCTTTGCGGCCACTCGGCACTTTTATGCGCAGCGGCTGGCGTTGTTATCACTTGAACTCAGTATACTCGACGGAACCCAGAATTACCCAAGACGACGTTGCCATCCCATTATTGTTGTTTGCATTCATATTGCCCCACGCCAACACGATGGCCAAGCAGATTGCCAAGGGAACATTCCCTTGGCTCGTCAATTCGATGGTTTGCTTCTTCTAAGGGGGTCTATCTTTTCCTCGTGGAAACGTTTAGTCGTACTATCGGTACCAGCGCACCACTTTACGTCGCTTGCGATCCCCAGATCGATGCGCGTCCCATCGTTTCCGGTTCTACCGACTTGGCAGTCTCGAATACCGTAGGGTCCTTCTGGGACGGTCCGGCTCGAACCGTGGAGCCGACGGCTCGGCTCGGCTCGGCCCGGTTATGGCAGTTCTGGCTCCATTTTTTAAGCCGGCTCTAAGCCGAACCGAACCGAGCCGAACCGTAGAGAGCCCTAGTCTCGAAGCACATATATGTCGCCTCTCTTTGCTCATCAGTAACTGTAGTGCATCATTGGCGATGCCGCCGAGCAACCATGCGATCGCTTGGGGATCGGAGTTAAAGAGCTCGAGCGGTGGCGTCCAAGCAGCAGTTGGCGAGAGATATGTACAACATGTCCACTTTAGATAGTCTAGCAACATAGTGATTACGGTGCCGGCTCGGCCATGACCTGCAGCAAGCTCCGGTTGTACGCCTTGACCTGCATCTCCATCTGGATAAACGTCTATCCAAAAGGTGTGTTGTCGCGCGATGTGTCGAACACGAGGCGACTCACCTCCTCCATTTCTCGCAGCCTGTGCTCGTACTCCTTTTGCTCTTGCTGCATCTACGCGAGAGCAAAACTGGTATCGGAGGAATGACGAGGGGTGGGTACCTTGCGCTGCAGCTCCTGCGCCGACTGCTGCTTGGTGCTGATCGCCACTTCAATACCGCGCGTCTTCTCCTGACGCTGGCCCAAGTCGTTCAAGGCCGACTCGAGAGCCTACGCAAGTGGCCGTCACAACCGGATGATACTTGAGGTGGAAGGTACATGCTCCGCTGCCTGCATCTTCTTGGACCCTTGCAGTTTGTACTGTTCGAGCTGCTCCTTGCGCTGCTGCAACAGCTTTTGGAGGCGCTAGGAAGAGATGAGACGGACGCTCCAAGGGCGTCGATGGAAACCGCGTGGTGGGCGACCGCGTGCTTGGCCTTATTGTAGCTTTCCTCAATGAGCTGATGCTGTGCCTTGACGTTGTCCTTCTCAGCCTTGCAGCGGGCCGTGTCCACTTCGGTTTCTTGCATGAGCTCAATGGCCTTGTTGGTTTCCTACGAGCGACCACGTCGTTGCTGAGATGCATCTGCTGCGTGCGCACAGTCTACCTTGTCGGCCCGGGCAAACACGTCATGAGTCATTTGAAGTTCGGTCGTGCGTCGATCCAAAAGGTCCAGTTCTTCCTTGGATGCATCGACTTGCACCGCAATATCGGAAATTTCCTGTGTCATCATAGACGTTGCATGTTTGCAGCGGCTAGAAGATCAGACGTACCGACTTGAACCGCGCAGGCGAGCTCACAATCTTGCTCTGGAGGCGCTCAGTGGTCTTGTTGGCCTCGAGGACTGCGAATTGCACCGACGCCTACTCCAATCCATCACATGGTCTGGGAGAGAGTTGAGTGTACGTAGTCGTCGCGGAGCTGGTTGCTTTGGTTCTTCATGCCAGCATTTTCATGGCGGAGCACGGCCTGGCGCTTGTTGAGCACGTTGATTTCGCCCTCGAGGACGACGCACTCCTCCATGACCTGCTGCAGCGCTGGCGCTTCGTTCGCTTGGCGAGCCCTACGCAGATTGTGGCGGTGTGTGGGAGAGGACAGACGCTACCGGAGCTCGTCGAGCTGGCGCCGCAAGGCTGCATTCTCGTCTTCAGCTTCCTGCCGCAAGCGCAATTCGTCGTCCTACATACCGCTCGCTTCATCCTTGTCGGTCAGGCACAGGGATGCATCTACCGTCTTCTTTTCGTACTGGGCGAGGAACGTCGTGCGCTCCTCCTTGAAGCGCGTAAAGTTGATGAGCGCGCTGAGGATACGCCGGACGCGCTTGAGAGTCGGCTTCTGTACGTCGGCCCAGCCAAAGTCGTTGACGCCGGCGGCGAGCGTGAGCCGGCAGGCCGTCCGGTAGTATGCGATCTCTGGGATCGAGTCTTCGTGGAGCTGCGGGTACTCGAGCGCGCTGAGGCCCGAAAGCGCAGGTTGGCACAGCTCGTCCTTGCCGATGCCCATGATGACAAGGATGAAGTCTTCGATGACCCGACGCACCTACGTCGCTTGAGGCACATGCATGGCCGTCGCCACGTACTGCGCTCGGCTCGCAGTTGCGGATGTCGTCCTCGACGAACGTGATGTTCATGCCCTTGAGGTGCAGGAAGAGGTCCGACATCTTGAGCACCGGGAACGAGTACGTCGACGCGGGTTGGCTCATCGTGCTGGACGTCGACAGGCGAGGGTTTTGAATTTGAACAGGACGGTCTCGCCGGACTCTGATTGGACCGTGCTCCTGGGCAGCATTCGATTGGTCAAAAATCCCGCCGTGACCATCGCGTAGGCTAATATCACGCACATTTCACCGCCCGTGCAGCCCGAGCAAGGGCAGACCAAACGCGCATTCGCGCAAAGCCTACTTTATTCGCACAGCAGCAGTCCTTTTGATGGTGTACAGCAGAGTCGCATCGCATGCAACCGTGCATTCTCCTATGGCCAAGCACTGGACGGTCAAAGTTGAGTGTTGCTAGTGTGGATCCAGTCTCCATTTGAGCATGAAGCTCCTCGCCATCGGAAAGGACGATGCCAAGATGCGCTTGGACCGGTGGCTCAAGGTCCACTTCAAGCGACCGCAGAGCTTCTTCCAGCGCCATCTCCGAGAGGTGTGCTCGTCTTCCTCTCGACATGCTGCTGACGACGCCTTCTAGAAGCGCATTGTCCTCGTCGACGTGCTCGACAACACCAAGCACAAGGCCAACGCAAGCTACACGCTCATGGCCGACGCCAAGTGGCGCATTGGCATCCAAGAGCACCTCTACGCCGAGCTGACCGCGGATGTCGTGCCAGCGCCAGCGCCGACGTCGTCGCTTCCACCTCTGCCCGTTCTGTACGAGGACGATGTCCTGATCGCTGTCTTCAAGCCCACGCAGCTCGCGACGCAGCTCGGTTCCAAGACCCTCGACTCGGTCGCTTCGCGCTACCCACAGTGCAAGCTCGTCCATCGTCTCGATAAAGGTACTCGCCATGGCGGTCTACAGCCTTACGCCATACGATGAGTCTAGGCACGTCGGGCGTCTTGCTGCTGGCCAAGACGCGGCTGGCGGCCGCCGAGCTTGCAGAGATGTTTCGCACCGAGCAGGTGCGTTGGCTGCGGCCCATAGCGAGAAACTCACGCAACGCGCAGGTGTGCAAGACGTATCTCGCACACGTCACGTGGCCGGTCGTCGGCGACTTGGCCGCCGACGGGGTCATTGACCACCCGTTGGAATCCAAGCCAGCGCGCACAACCTACCGGCTGCGGAAGCGCTTTGGACGCACCGCGTTGCTCGAGCTGCAGCCGTCGACCGGACGCAAGCACCAGCTGCGCCGCCACTGTGCCGAGGTACTCGGTGCCCCGATCGTCGGCGACCGTCGCTACGGCGGCGCGACGAGCACTCGCATGTGGCTCCATGCCATGCGCGTTCAGTTTCTGCATCCCCGCACCAAGCGCCAGGTGACGATCGAGGCGCCTTTGCGGACCGCGCCGTCCCACACGGCTGGAACGTCCACGACACGGACTCGAGGGTTGACTTGATCGATTGATACTAGCTTTGGATTCGATTCGATTAATAGGTTATTGAACATAGTCGACCATGGCTGTGACGTGCGGTGCATACCACTGGGCTTGGTGCTGGTGCAGCAGTAGCGCAAGCAGAGTCGTGTCCTTCCGGCGCTCGGCAAAGTGCAGTGCAAGGCCGCCGACACGCGCGCCGTGTCGCAGCAGCAGCGTGACGACGTCGCGGTGGCCGAGCATGCTCGCGGCGTCGATCGGGCTCGTGCCGTTGGCTTTGGCCACGTTGACGTTTGCGCCCGCGGCCAAGAGTAGCGCGACAATGTCGCGGAAGCCGCGCTGGCACGCAATGAAGAGCGGCGTCGTGCCGTTGTGCGTCGGCCGATCCAGCTGCACGATCGGCAGCGAGAGCAGATAGGCGACAAGCGCGACGTGGCCTTCTTCGCACGCAATCAAAAGCGGCGTGAGGCCGGATCGCGTCTGGCCGTTCGGATCGGCGCCGTGCATGAGCAGGTGCAGCGCAATGTCGCGGTGGCCCATGCGCGCGGCGATGTGCAACGCTGCGCTCTTGTCGTCCATGGTCGCCGTGACGTCGACGTGGTACTTGGTCAAGCAGCCGACGACGTCCAGCTTGCCTTCTTGGCTCGCAATGTACAAGCAGCTCACGCCGCCCGCGCGCGTAAAATTCGGGTCGGCGCCGCGCGCCAAGAGCGTCTCCACGATCGTGTGGTGCCCCATCTGGCACGCCAGATACAGCGGCGTGACGCCATTGTCCATGAGCACGTTCGGGTCCAACCCGAGGTTGAGGAGGTCGAGCACGATCTCGTGGTGGCTGCGCTCGCATGCCAGACAGAGCGCGAGGACCCACTCGGGCGTCGGCTTGATGTGCGCGTGCACAAAGCTCGGGCGCCGCGACCGGTGCCGAATGAGCTGCCGCACGCTCGAGCGCGACCCGTTCTTCGCGGCGACGCAGAGCGGCGTCGTGTTGGACGTCGTCGCCGCATCCGTGCGTGCATTGTGCGCGAGCAAGGTGGCCACGATCTCGGTCCAATCCA